AATGTAAGTATGACTTAAAATGTAAGTCTCGGACGAAAGTAAGTCTGACTTGAAATGTAAGTCTCGGACGAAAGTAAGTCTGACTTGAAATGTAAGTCTCGGACGAAAGTAAGTCTGACTTGAAATGTAAGTCTCGGACGAAAGTAAGTCTGACTTGAAATGTAAGTCTCGGACGAAAGTAAGTCTGACTTGAAATGTAAGTCTCGGACGAAAGTAAGTCTGACTTGAAATGTAAGTCTCGGACGAAAGTAAGTCTGACTTGAAATGTAAGTCTCGGACGAAAGTAAGTCTGACTTGAAATGTAAGTCTCGGACGAAAGTAAGTCTGACTTGAAATGTAAGTCTCGGACGAAAGTAAGTCTGACTTGAAATGTAAGTTTCGGACGAAAGTAAGTCTGACTTGAAATGGAAGTCTGATTCTAAATGTAAGTTCTAGACTAAAGTAAGTCTGATTCTAAATATAAGTCTGATATTAAGATAAGTTTGTAACTAAAATTAAGTCTTATTCCAAAAGCAAATTTAATTGTATAATAAGTCTGGATCTAGAGTAAGCCTTAGTCTACAGCTATTCTGTGTCAAAAATAAGTCACGAACCATAGTAAGTTTCGGACTAGAGTATGTCTGTAATTCGAATCATTCATATTCTTCAATTATCCCGCCAAAAAAATTATCGTCTTTTTATCATACCATAGTTTTTATCAATCTCGTTCTACTAAAAAAACCTTTATATTGGTGATTTCTTTGTTAAACCCGTATTTTTTCATGTGAATCTTATTGTATAAACTCTAAAAGTTCAATTTCCGGTCGAAAAAAACTTGAAAACAATTTGTATTCGACGAGTTAAAGAGCTCTATTTATTCTAAATTTTCCAAAAAAAATTAGATTTCGTTTTTTCGCTTCAAAAAATGTTGTTTTAAGTTTTAAAATTTGTAATTCAAAATTTTTTTGGAAAGATTTACGATTTTTTAATACTGCGAATGAGTTTTATTTTACATACTCTATTGATAAATCATATTTTTGTCGAGATATAACTTTTTTTAAAAAAATTATATGCAAAGAGTGTTATAGAATTCTAGAAGGTATAGTGCATAATTTGAAGTATACTATCAAATAAAGAAATTTTACAGTTTTTTAGTTTTATTTAGATGTACGTTATTTTAGATGGCTTCGTCGAAAACAAAGCATGTCTGTTAAGTTTATTCTTAACATGGTAAATAAAATGGCAACGAAGCCCAGTGTACTGCGTCTTATGCCGTAGTTTTTGTTATCTTCATACTCAAATACAACAAATACAAATAGATTTATTACGAAAAAACGTATAAAACAAATGATATATTTATTTCTAGACAAGTTGACGAACATGTAGCGCAACTGTATCGCTTTAGAGAACAGTTCTTCCAACACCTACTCATTCAGTGAAAGATTTAAGAAGAACTCTTACTCGACCTTAACTACCTACGCTTTGCTTGAACAATTCCCAACGAGGTTACTATAAGGTTGCAAGTCTTGTCAAAATGTAGTATGCAATACGTTGGGGAAAAATAGATATATACGAACAAACTACTACAGTCTAGCAACTAGTCTTTAAGTGTAATGTATTTTTGCTACAAAGAGCTCATAACGAAGTCAAATTTTGCAATTTGATGTCAAAACTAGCTAGTTGTTGAATCAAATAGCGTTGTGACTTTGTATACATCACGATCTTGTGGTATCAGAGCTGTACTGCTGCAGACTAATTCAACTAAACATGAGCAAGATTGGGATTTCTATTCTCTGGGGTGCGAGGCTCGTCCAAAGTTCAAGCAGCTACAGTGTTTTGGATCACCTAAAGAATTTTGGGAATTCAGTTATCCGTTACTACTCTTAAATTAAAGTAGAGCACTACAGCGAATCAATCGTAATGCCTAGTCTCTCCAGTAACAAGCTGATCTGCTATATTAACTTTAAAGCCAAATCGATTCACATTGTTGCTGGTAAGTCTGATTGCTTCAGATAGAGAGCATGAATTGCTTCTTTATCATCTAATCCCCATCCCCCTTGTTCCCGATTGGATGACATGGACAATTCATCTTTCTCTAACGAAACAAAATGACACTTTTTGGCGGCTTATTGACTCAGAAAAATTTGAGAGTTAACGAATAATTTTGGCGCCAAAAATAATTTCTCTTAATTTATTAAATTTAATATACGCACATCTATAAGTTATGCTATTTTTTCTATTTATTTTGTTCTAAAATTCTAAATATTTTTTTTTCATAACATAAAATATGATGTCTAGTCTCATTTACATAACAACATGCCTTAGAATAGGTTTTTTATTCTTTTTGTCACTTTAAATTAAGAATAAAAAGATAATTTAAATTGAATATTTGCGATTATTCTCACTAATGCTGCTTCCTCTTTTATTAGGTAGACAACAAAAAGTTAGCCTTGGACTCCCATATCAGATTTTTGATTGGTTGCGTATATAATGAGCTGGGATTGATAGACGAAAACCCAGTGAGAAAATTTTTGACGCCATATAATTAAATCTTTATATAATTATATCTTAAGCCATAATTACAGTAAACTCTACCTTGGTTCGTCTAAAATAGCACATGTGATCCACAATCATTAATCTTTTGCAAATTCATAATTTTTCAATATTATCTCAGAATTATTCAATCAAGTTATGTGTGAAATTTGTTTGGTATCAAAGCTCATTTAACATTTTACACATGACATTTAACAGTTATAAAATAAATAAAGAATTAATCATTTTTAGACTTGTTTTGCTTACTACTTTATCATATCTATAGTGTCATCCCTCTTACCTATCGCGATGGTTCAAATCAAGTTGTTGTAAGCTGTTCATCAGATTCTAGTCGCGAAGTTTTTATTCCCAAAAAAGTCACAGAAATATATAGCGAAAGTTCAAGTGTTTATGCATTTCAAAACTGTAAAAATTCAATCTCGTCACTTAGATTCGAACCAGATAGCGAGCTTTTCAATCTAAGCAAATATAGTTTTTATGCAACTAGTCTAGAATTAGCTGATCTCAGCGAATGCAAAAAACTTACATTACTTGATCAATCTGTCTTCCAAAACTGTAAATCCTTGAAAACAGTTATACTTCCTCCAAATATTACAAGTATAGGAATCGAATGCTTTCGATACACATCCAATTTAACATCAATAGATTTACCAGATTCTGTGATTAATATTTCAAAATCTGCGTTTTCGAATTCTGATTTAATAAGCATTAATATATCGCTTGACTCTAAATTAGAACAATTGGATGAGAGTTGCTTTGAAAGATCAAAACTTTCTTCTTTTTTTATTCCTCAAAATCTCAAAATAGTCTATTCAAGAACATTTTATTTGTGTCCATTAGAAAATATAACAGTTGATTCAAGAAATAAAATCTACAAAAGTGATAATACATCTTTATTTGTCGGGCCAGGTAATTCCACATTATTTAAAGTTGTTCCAGCATATTCAGGTGAATATATTGTTCCTAATTTTGTATACTATATTACTGAATTTTGTTTTTATCAATGTAATATTTCATCTTTTCAATTTAATGCCAAAGTAGCATCAATTGGATTAAATGTGTTTGGCGAATGCTCGTTATTAACAAGAATTACAATCCCAGATAATATAAAAACCATTGGAAATGGAGTATTTTTTAAATGTACCTCTATGACAACTGTTGAATTGCCGGAGAATCTAACAAGGCTTGAAGCATCTGTATTTTCTTTATGCACATCATTAAAAGACATTACAATTCCATCAAAAGTATCATATATTGGCGAATCATTGACAAGCATAATAATTCCAGATAAAGTAACATCTATTGGAAAATCTTTATTTTATTCTTGCAAATCACTATCAAGCGTTATTATTAAAGGAAAAATAACTTCAATTGGAGATTACACATTTGCTTCTTGCAGTTCTTTAACAACTATTGAAATCCCAGAGACTGTTAAAGAAATGGGAAATGGTGTATTTCAGCTCTGCACAAATCTAACAAATATTACATTCATGAACAATGATAACACTATCTCATTTAAAGATAGAATTTTCTATCTCATTCAACACCCAATAAATATATCTATTCCTGGAAATTTGGATATATCCACAAGTTATAAAAATCAAATTCCAAGAAAAAGTCATTTATATATTACAAGTGAAACAATTTTAACAAATCCGATTAAATTATATTTTGGTCAAAAATCAGTTTATATTCATTTCTAAGGTACAGAAAACATTAGAGATACAACAACCATCGAAGTAATTGATTATATTGGTATTCCACCAAGAAAATCCCAAACTAAACCAAACAAAGCTTACATTAAAGTTAAGATTTTACCCAACGTTTCCATTTTGCATTTCCTGAAATAATAAGTTAACATGTTTAAGAGAACACGTTTTGAAAATAGCAGAATAACTTTAATGACATGAAACTGATTTTTGAGTAAAATATAAAAATGGCACCAAAAGGCAAATTAATGAACCTCTTAAAAAGATTAATAAAGCATTAATGTTTTAAAACGAATTAATATCATTTTTTTAATGATTTAACTTTTTACACACATTTAAAAAGTACATTGACGTGGGCATCTTTCATTTTTTATCACTCCAATAAAAACCAGACCAGTGCGCTATAATTATGGATATAAAGTTCAATGTATTATTTGTAAGTTTTTAATTTCAATTATTTGCATAGATAGATCTATTTTAATTCAATGTATGCGCATTCATTATATACCTTATCTATGTAGTCATACATCTCTATAGGATATTTCCCATTAGGTTTTTAAGATGACAAAATTGAAGCACTTAAACTAGTCAATAAATTGAGTAGCACGGATCTCAATAAGGCAATGATTTTTGCATACGAAATATATTGACTATTACCAATATATTAAAAATTCAGCAATAACAACCCTTGAAACATAATAATCAATGAAATTGATAAAAAAATTCAAATTGAATACTTTACATCAAATTATTGGCCAGATGAGTTTTGCTGTAAGGAAGCAACTCCAATTATTCAGCGAATTTCAGAATTTATCAAAAACAAATCATACAAGCAAAATAGCTAAAAAGCTTAAAGAAATCGAAGCAGTTCATGGACTTCCAGCTGAGGCACCTCCAGTTGTTGATTGCACTCATATGATTATGGCCAGAGTTAACAACGACAGAGATAAAGAAATAGAATTTGCAAGAAAATTAATCGCAACCAAAAATATGGAATACACAATCATCACAGAATTGTTGGCCACTTTAACAGCTTATAACTTATACTCTGACATCGAAGAACTTTACAAAATTTTAGCGTTTGCAATGAAAAACAAAGCAGAATTATTCAGAAATCTCATGGGTTTGGAGTTTATGAACAAAAACTATAAGGAAGCACAAACAAGTGCAATGTCAATTGTTCGCCTGGAAAATACTGACGCAAATATTGGTACAGCAGCATTTGCTTATTATATCTTAGGAAAACAAGAAAATAATCCAGTTTTCTTCAAGTTTGGCTTAGCTTTCATTGAAAAAGTCAAAAACCTCTCTCAAGGAGTTATTCAGCTCAAGATTAACCTTCTTGATGCAAATTCTAAGTATCAAGAGATTATTGATTACGTAAATCAAGAGAACGTCAAGGAACTCTTCAAACCAAATGATCTCGTACTCCGCCGCGCTGAAATGGAAGCATATAGAAAATTAAATAAGCTAGAAGAGGTTGCAAACTGCGCAGCTAGGTTCTTAGCAGAGTACAATGACGATTCTATTGACGAATGGCGCCTTGTTGTTCAATATCATGCAGATCCAAAATCATTGATCGAAAAATACAAGAATGGCATCAAGCGCGGACCATATCTTGCAGAAATAGACCTTGCTCTTAAGAATGGTGAAGATATTGCTCCATTGTTATTGCAATATTCCGATAGATTTTTGAAGAAGAATTGCGTATTCGGAGATCTCAAGAAATACTTTACTAAAGAGATTTGCAGTAAGATCCAAAACATCAGCGACCCTGCTTGCAGCGCTTTTGTCACAGGAAAATTAAATTTCGAATCTTCAGAGGGCAGATTGGCCGCAATTGCAGGCGAATTCTACTTATCTAAGTATCTCGAAACAAAAGATGTCGAACAGTTCAAACTCGCAGTCAATGAAGCGAGGAAGTTCCCCGACCACCCAGACTCTCAATTTTTGTTCATCAGGTTATGCGGTATTGCAAAGATGGTTTCAGCGGAATCAGCTGCCTGGGAACATCTTAGACTCGAAGGTATCCAGTACTTCAGCCTTTCCTCGACAATTGTCACTGATGCAATTAATAATTTTAATGTTGACGTTTTGAAGGAGTTCTGCAACCACGGAGCCTTCTATTATTCAAAGTCCATCCCTAACTTCTCAAGTGCTATCGATAAAGCATGCCAACACTTGAATTATTTCAATGTTGAATCAATGATCAACTTCTGTCAGCAGATTTTCTCCCATTCGATGCATTATCTCTTCTGCTCACTAGATGCCATATTCAATGTTATAGATGGCAAGTATTTCAACTACGAATTAGACAATCTTCAAATACTCTCAAAGATAGAGTTATTCAACAAGACAGATAGAACAGTCCTTCCTATCTACTTCGATAACGAAAACTTAAAGAATGCAATGTACCCAGAAATCATTGAAAAAGTCCATAATTTCGGTGCAGTTGCAAGAACCCTCTTGTCACTTTTCCTCGAAAAAAGTGACACATCCCTTGAAGAAATCAAAGCTCCTGAATGGAAGCCATTTGTAGAATACATCAAGTCTGAGGGCAAAGTTGTTCCTGAGCAATGCAACATGTTCACACTTCTTTGCATTTGTGCTGCAGCCAAGAAATTCAATAAAATTGCCGAACAGAAAGAGAAACTCTCCAAATTACTTGATGAAGCATCTAAACCAATGCAGGTAGATACTCAGATGCTTACAAAGGATCTCGAAGAGAGATTGGAGAAAGAAAATCAGAGCATTAACAAATCTATCCAGTTTATCCGCAATTTACTTCAGTAATTTTTATAAAATCTTAATGTTTGCTTCAATGAAACTATTTTTCTTCTCTTTTTTTTTTGAATCGCATTTTTTTTTTCAAATCCTTTAAATGACGAAAATTTATATAAATCAGTTTATGGAAGTCATATGGTTTATTTAGATTTGATAGATAATCATTAATTCAATAAAATTTTTCAATTTGATTGTAAAAACATTAGATAGATCCATATCTCAGCGAAAAATATTTCATATGTACAATGTACCAGATGAAAATAACAAAATAACATCAAATAATTTATTATTGAGCAATGTTTTTTGTTTTGAAATTTTTGAATACACTAATAACATTTCAGAAGGGAACTCCTTGAAATCATGTATAGATCACAATTTTCAACAAAATTTTAGATTCACTCGAGAAATATTTGAAAAGTGAAAAATAACGTGAATAATTTTATCAAAAAGAATGGGTTGTATTGTTTCGACGCCAGCGAAAGTACAACCTTATTCTTATGCAAAAAAAGATACTAAGCAAGTCTCTAAATCTACAAATACTGGCAAATCTTCAACACGAGTTGAAAAATCCGATCCAAATAAGGATTATTTCAATCAACTAACTGATCAGGTGAATACGATGAAGTGTCCACCAGGAATGTCACCAGTTGTATGCTTAAATAAAGACAGTTTTCCAGTAGTTTTATCAGAATTGTATCTATCAGATGAAGAAGTTGTCGAAATTCAATTACCAATTGTTGCTGCATCATCTTCAGATAAAGGAAGAGTCGGATGCATCTCACATATATACTTTCTCGTTGATACAATCTTTTTAGCAGAAGATAACTCAATTATGTTCTATAATATGATGTCATGGCTAGCCAGAAAGAATATTCTTAACACGAGAGTACTTCTCATCGGAAAAGGAGCAACTTTCAAAGAATCAATTCATTCTTGCTTTTTAACACAAGGAATTTCTGCTCATGTTGGTACGATGGACTCAGATTTTTCACCATATGCAGTCGTAGTTATTGCTTCTGACACAGATTTATCAATTAACAGATATGATCAAAAATTACGCGATTATGTTAAAAATGGAGGTGGTCTACTATGTCTTTATGCACCACCTATCGATGAAAACAACCAAGAAACCATAATGAACCCATTTTTGATGGAATACGGATTAGCTTTCTCATTATGTGTGCTAAATCCTCATTCTAGTAGCAGAAACATAGTATCCATATCATCCTGTTACGAAATGGTTAGCTATTGTCATCTAATTCCAATGGCAGAAGATTTTAAATATTTAGCATCGCAAACAGACTTAGATACAGCTCAATTAGACGATCTAGTGACCGCTCTTAGATACCACGTTATCGTTTGTGGGCCGAACCAATACGATATCCTCAGTGATATTCTTGATCAAGCATATAATCACTTAGTTAACACAGGATACAGGACTGAGCAAGGTCTATGTCCTTTACTTAGCCATTGCATCATGTCCACGCTCATTCCGGACCTTGTTTCCAAGCTTCCAGCCAAATACATCAAAGCATCACCAGATGCAGAAGATTTTCCAGGTCTATGTCCAAATGCGACCGTTGAAAACCACGAACTTGAAGTCAGACTGCACGAGGAAAGCTGGATATCCACAGGATTGTGGCTTCCCGCCGGTTCTCTTGGCGAAATTATTTCAGATCCAGAGGACAAAAGCATTTTCAGCATCCAAATCGGTTCCCACACAGAGTCTCTTCTCTCCAGACAAGGCCCGTGGAAGAGATGGCCGGTCGTTTCAAAGACATACGACATTGACCCATCAGGAAAAACAGAAATCGCGTCACCTTTTGGCGGAATTGTTTACATAACCGTTCGGGAACTAAATGAAGAAACAGACAACAGAGTTAAACTGAAATTCAACGGTTTTGTGAGACATCCACGTGCTGTGATCAGGAAACCAGAAATCTGGGAGTCCAGTAAAGATTACCAAGTTCCATGGGGCGAAATGTGTTCGAAAACAGTAATTTTTACACTTCCATCAGATGAAATTCGGAAAATTACAGATATTGACAAAGTTCTTGAACACGTTGATAAAGTTGTTACTCATGTATTAGAGTTCATGAATGCATCAATGAACAGACCATACAGAGTAGTTTTCGACACACAATTACCAGGTGATAAAACAGAATCTGAATACCCAATTGTCTTGGATATCAAAGATCTTGATGATATCATTAATAATTACAACAAACCGACTGTTGCTATGTTTGAATTAATAGCAAGAGTCAGTTTGTTATCAATAAGAGAAGCTTATTTCGATAATCTCGTTGAAACAGCAATTTCTAATTTAGTTGCTTGTATTATTTTCAATGAATTCTTCCCTGGATTCGATCCAAACATCTTTAAGGATTATAACTTCCCTCCTTTGTTCGCTGAATTATGGGTTTTGCATCAGCATATTAATCAAGGACTGATTAAAGATTTGTTGGCATTGTCTCAAGCACCAGAAGCTCCTTATTTCGATAGCGATGAAGATATGTGGACTCAGTTCGTTAAAGATGTATCTGTAATAGGAAAATACAATTTCACTAAATTGTTAGAAAGAGTTAGACCTATTCCTCTGAACTTATCAAAGACATTGGCTGAATTACCTAATCCTCCTATTCGTGTTTGTAATTAAATGATTTTTTTTATTGTTTTGTATGAAAAAAAACTTCGATTTATATTAATACATTTCAATTCAATAACACTATATAAGACCTATTTTCATCTGGATTGATCAAAGGCTTTAGCAGAACAACATAGCACGCATATTCGTGTTTGTAATTAAATGATTTTTTTTATTGTTTTGTATGAAAAAAAACTTCGATTTATATTAATACATTTCAATTCAATAACACTATATAAGACCTATTTTCATCTGGATTGATCAAAGGCTTTAGCAGAACAACATAGCACGCATATTCGTGTTTGTAATTAAATGATTTTTTTTTATTGTTTTGTATGAAAAAAAACTTCGATTTATATTAATATATTTCAATTCAATAACACTATATAAGACCTATTCCTCTGAACTTATCAAGGACATTAGTCGAACTAAAAAAAAAACGAAGTTGAATTACAGACTACAGGGCACACTTAAACAAAAAAGATGAACTTATAATATGTTAAAATGTGTTTACTATGTAAGACCAAGTAATAAACTAGTCAGATGAATAGATTGATAGAAATAATGATATGATGAACAGTCTTTTGAGCAATGGAATAAGTATGGAATGAAAATTGGACAAATAGAAGTGCTCTCTAGTCGTGTGATGTTAAGATTACAAAATGTCTTATAAACATATTGTTCTGTAACGAAGATAGTGATAGTGACTCTTTGAATGATTCTGATTGTTGTATCATGCGAATAATCTTTTGTTCCATTATAATATACACATGCATGAATCAAATCAAATGTACCTTCATATAAAAAGTTCATTCCATGAAGATAAATCGATTTAATATTAGGTGAATTGAAAAAAGAATGATCCCGCGAAGAAATTTTTTGTAAAACTAAAATTTCCAATTTATCATTATCAGAAAATGCTCCATTTTCAATATTACAACCACTAATGATTAATTTTGAAATCTTGTTGTTTCTGAAAGAATTTTGTGGAATAGATTGGAATGTTTTCTTCAATGTTAATGTGCCGCTGATGTTGCATGATTCGAATGATGATTCATCAAGACGTGTGCATGAAGGGAAGTTGAATGTCGTGATTGATGAACACAGCATGAATGATTCACGTCCGATTGTCTTGATGATGTTTGTGCTGCTAATCTTGAGATTTGTGCATCCTTTGAATGCACGATCTTGAACTGTTACCAAGTTGTTCGTGTTGAATGATTCTAAGCTGCGACAATTCATGAATGATTCTTTCCCAACTGTGTTGACTGAAGATGTATCTGGGATATGCATGAGATTGTAACAGTTGCGGAATGTTCCATCATATATGGTGTTCATCGTCCAAGATGGAACATTGAATGTCTCCATATGATGACAGTTATCGAATGCATTAGGACCGATTTCAATCAATGTTGTCGATGTGAATGTGATGAGTGATGTGCATCCTGAAAATGATGAATCTGAGATAGATGCCAGCATAGGAAGATTGATCGACTTAAGAGATGTGCATCCATTGAAAGCATTTGATCCGATGTTTGTGACACGCGATGAATTAACTTCGATCATACCAATGCAATCTTTGAACGAATTTTGTGGTATTTCTGTGATGAATGATGAATTGAAGTTCTTCAAAGATAAACATCTTTCGAATGGCAAATATCCTAATATTTTAACATTGAATGTATCAATATCTGCTAAACGAAGACAACCATAAAACGCCGAATCACCTAATACTGTTATATTTTGACACAAAACGCATTCTAGATTTTTACAACTCTTAAAGCACCCTACACCAATCTCTGGGACAGATATTGCAGAAAATCTTTCTAAAGATAAACAGGATGTAAATGTATATTCACGCAAAGATGTATTTATAATTGAGTCAAAAAATCTGAGGGAGTAACAATTTACAAAGACCTTATCTCCAACTTGATAGACATTTGATGCATCTATTGAAGTTAATTGTTGACAATTACAAAATGCTCTTCCATCAATTGTTGTGATTCCATGTGCATCAAATTGTTGAAGACTTGAGCATCCTTCGAAGCAACTTGAACCAATTGAAGGTATTATTAACCCGCTGAAAATTGTAAGTGAATAACATCCTATAAAAGTATTATAAGCCAATGATGTATTTAGAACTGATCTAAAAGCAAGTAGTGAGTGGCATTGATAGAATGCATGAGTTCCAAGGCGAAACACATTTTCTGAGTTAATAAATATTAATTTCTTGCAATTATAAAAAGCACTTTTATCAATAACCAAAATGCTTGATGCTAAAACTCTTTCAAGGTTTTCACAATTTATAAAACAAGTTTCTCCAATTGAATCAATTGATATTGCTGAGAAGTTTACAAGAGAAATGCATGATTTGAATGAATCTGCAGGAAGAGAAGTGTTTATTGATGAATAAAATGTTTCTAAAGATTTACAACCTTCAAATGCACCGGATCCTACAAAATAAACTTTAGATGCATTTAAATGTCTCAGTTTATTGCAATTTGTGAATGCGGCATCTTTTATAACATTGATTTCATTAACATTCAAAGATTCCAAATCATAACAATTCTGAAAACAATTTTGATAAATTTCAGGAATAGAAATTCCTGTGAAATTTTTAAGCCTTTTGCAAAAGGCAAAAGCATAATTGGGAAGCGATGTGTTTAGTATTGAATTGAATGATTGTAACATGTAACATTGATAAAATGAGACTGGACCAATTTGAAATACTTGAGAGGAATCGAATTTTTTTAACTTCTGACAATTACAAAATCCTCTTTCGTATATGATATTTACTCCTCTTACATCGAATATCTCAAGATTTATACATTCTTTAAAACAACAAATCCCTATAATTGGAATTGATATTGCAGAGAAATTCACAAGTGATCGGCAACCAATAAACGCATTCTGTCCAAGAGAGCTATTTATTATCGAATTAAAAGATAGTAATGAATAGCAATTTGTAAATGCATCATTGCCTACTTCATAAACTTTTGAAGCATTGATATATTGTAATTTTTGACAATTCCAAAATGCATATTGTTCTATTTTTTGTATATTATTTCCATAAATATATTTAAGATTTGTGCAATTATAAAATGCAACTAAGGAAATAATTGACGTTTCACCTACATCAATATACTCTAATGAAATACAATTAACAAAAGCACGCCCATTTATTTGATTGATTGATGGTATATTAATGTTTGTTAATGAATGACAATGATAAAAAAGCTTCTCTGCTGCATATCTTATTAAACTTAGATTTATCTTTTTAAGATTGATACAATATTCAAAAGTGTCCTCGCATACTTCAAAAACATGAGTTACATTGAAATCTTCTAGGTTTGTACACTCTGAAAATGCAATACGATAGATTATTCCCACTTTATTTCCTTTCACTGAAGTTAAATTTGTGCATTTTTTAAAAGCAAATTCACCAATGTACTCAAGTTCATTAAATTCAATACTAAATAATGATATACAATTCATAAATGAATAAGATTCAATCTTCTTCAGTTTCGAACAATTAATGGATATTAGGCGGAAACAACCATAGAATGCATATGATTGAATTTCTGTAAAGTTATTACCAAATGTTAGATTCTTCAATTTTTTGCAATTATAGAAATCGGATTCTCTTATTATTGTAATTAATGGAATATTTATAAGTTCAATATTATCACAGTTTGAAAACTTGTTTGGTCCTGTTGCTGTTTCTAATAGTGGTAAATTTATTTCAATCAATGAACTACAACCTGAAAACATTCCATTACGTGCTAAGCGAAGAAGAGGACAATTGATATTTCTCAATCTTGTGCAACCAATGAAAGGAAATTCTAATGCAGTCTCTAATTTTGGAAAATTAATTTCGATTAATGATTCGCAGTTTTGGAAATCTCTCGATAAAAGTGTTTGAATTGAAGGCAATTGAATATTTTTAAGATTGTAGCAGTTGCCAAAACAATACGATGAATCACTCCCTGTGACTTTATTAACAAATGGAAATATGGCTTCTTCAAGATTGATGCAGTTCCAAAAGCACTTTTCATTGAGAGTTTTGAGAATTGGGAATTCAACTTTCTTGAGTGTTGTCAGCATTGAGAAAGCTTCTCTCTCACCAATGCGAACGCATTGATCGCAAATGAGTTCTGTGATAGGCGAGTTAGAAAACATGTTTTTATCAATGTATTCGATTGGAGCTGTAACATGTATTTTGTTGAGATTCGGACAATGTGAGAAACATCCACTTCGATATGATGTGAATGTTCCTGATATTTTGACAGCCTTGAATTCAGAGCGACCAGAAAAATCGGGAACTTCGCCATCTCCTGAAATCTCATAAAAACCATCTCCAATTAGTGTTTCTGAACCATGCAGTGAGTGATGATTTGAATATACTATCCCAAAATCAAATTTAAAGAGAGACATTAAAATATTAAACAATTTAATAGAATTATCTTAAGAAAATTAGTTTAAACTAATATCTTAATATTATTTTATCTTAATTTAATATCTTGCGGATATTACAAAATCCGCAAAGCTAATATCAATACTATGGTTTCATTAGAATCTGACACTTTTTGAATGATTCAGAATAATCGTGTTTGAGATGATGTAGATGGCAAACCCAAATTTTAGCTAAAAGTGACAGGGAAAAAAAAACGTTTAGTATTAAAAAAAAAGACCGATGAGAGCTTCGTTCGAAATATAGAGGGAACTGAGAATGCGCAACCATTCTCAGGGAATATTGGATGCTATTCCCGTTCCCTCTGTATGGAAAATTGAGGTTTTCAAAGGGAGTTAAAATAATATCAAATTTATACTATTTTACTTCAAAATACAAAAGTATTTGACAGCTAAAATTAGTTACTTTAGCAAGCCTATCAATACCCTTTTACGATTATTGTTACTTTTTCGAAATAAAAGTAAAAACAAATTTATACTAATTTACTTCAAAATACAAAAGTATTTGACAGCTAAAATTAGTTACTTTAGCAAGCCTATCAATACCCTTTTACGATTATTGCTACTTTTTCGAAATAAAATAAATTTATTATCAAAAACCTTTTTTTTCTTAGTAAAAATAAAAATGTTATTTTATATCAAGTTTTTATTCATAAATTTTTATAATGTTGTATAAATTTGAAGGTGGAAATCTGTAATAATTTTATCTTGAAAAGACTTGGCATTCTCAACAATGAATTGAGGGGTATTGCATCCAAATTCTGTAATTTGCGTGAGAATACTAAGCTTGATTTCCATTGGGATACTTAATTTCGAAAAATACTGGGTCATTCGTTTTTGAACCTTTGCTGCCTTGACAACTTTATCAAGTAGGTCATCTAAACCCAATTGAAGCGTATTTAAGTTTGCTGATGAGTTAACTATTAACGATTTAATTTTATCAGTGAGCATTATACATTTTTCTGTATCCAGTCTGATTGTAGACTTTTTTGGCTTTTTTTCAGATGGCAACGGATTTGGAATTTTGTCTCTGAGCCTTATATCTTGAGAAATTCTGTAAAAAATGAAGGAACGATAAAATCGATTAATTTCATCACAAATCGATCAAATCTCATGAAAATTGTTCCGCCAAAGTAGTAATATTTAATTTTTTTGTTAATCGATTCTGAAATGTTATTTGTGAGAGCTAAATTTTCATCTCTTTCAGCGGCTGTCCATCTTTCTTGGTTTGATATCCATTGATTTTGTATGTATTTTGAAAATTCTGGGAATTTTTCGGCTATTTCCAGAATTTTTTTGAACGTTGGTTCAATCCATTCTTTCTTGCCATTTCTGCCGTATGCAAGATAGTTCATTTTTGTATCTAATATCAATTTGTCTGAACTCTCAAATGCATAATCTTTCAAATTTTTTCTGAACGCCCTCATTACATGAACTGCACACCAATGAAGGATAACTTCTGGAAAAGAGTTGATAATCGCATTTTCGATTTCTTGTGCACAATCTGACATAAAATATTTTGGTTTTACTTTTGCCCAGTTAAAAAATGCCTTGAGACAGAATGCAATATTTTCTGAAGTGTTTGGATAAACGACAAATTGAAAAATTGGGAATGCATGTGTATTTGGAAATTTGGCTGATATCATGTAAAACAACATTTTAAATTCAAGTAATGAATGGGTTGCATCAATAAAATGCTCTTTCACAATTTTGATTATGTCCAGAAATTTGAAAGAAGCATAATAAAAGATTAATTTCTTTGGTTTGTTGTAATTATCGACATCGAAATAAATTAAATCTTTTGGTGACTCTTGTTCTTTGATACCCTTAAATAATTGAGTTGACTTGAATTGATTATCATCGTACTTTTGAATACCTTTGATCTTTTTATTTCCTTTTTCCTGAATTGTTTTCATTTGATCTGAAGATGCATTCAAAAAAGATGGCCTGTTAAGTGGATCATCCAGATCAAGTTTTTTGTCGCATTCAATTTGAGCCATTTTCGGATCACCCCCCTGTTTTATAAAATTAATAAGTACCCGACGATAGCATTGTGATAATGTGTGGTATTTCTTTGTCTCATCTTTGATTTGATTGTGATTATGTGTTCCATTATATTCTGTTAGGATATATTCTTCATCATCCTTTAGAAATGAGATACATGCTTCACATTTATCTGCACTGCACCTGAATTTTAATTTTGTTCCCCCTAAATTTGGATTTTTTTTTAATTGATATGGACAACCTGCATGGCATTCGTTATCAATGACAGCTTTCATAGCATCTATATAAGATAGCCTTTCTTTAAGTTCGCATGGTGCATCGATATGCATCAAAAAAAAATGAAATGAAATTTCAATATCAAAAAAAGCACAAAATTTGAAAAAATTCACAAATCTCGGTTTCTGAAAGAAAATGGCCTCTTAAACTTTGTGCATATATTCATCTATAAGACACATTTTATCCATATATTATTTAGCCAACACAACTTATCTGGTATCGAGAAAATTCAAAAAAAGCACAAAATTTGAAAATTGCTCGGTTCTACATTCAAAATAAATTTCATTAATTTTTACGTACATATTAAGGTACTTATCTTCTACATATATAATCTTCATTAGATATATACATGATAAATAAAATTCATAAAACATTAAAAATCAAAAAATTAGATGAACCTTGGCAATTAAACTTTATTAAATAATAGTTGTTTATAAATTATATTATATTATCATTTAATATTATTTTGATAATGAAGATTTTATTTTGCAATAATATAAACGAAATTTTTTACCTTATGAACTTTTGATGGAAATATGCAAATTTAAAATAATAAAGAAAGCCGCGAGCGAAGCGATCGGCTTAGGTCTAAGATTTTGATTCAAATCTTTGCTTATATTCCTTAAATTCTTTATGAAACTCGCAACAGTTCCATAAAAAATTTTAAATTCTAAACTGTCGCAATTACCGATCGGTAATCACACCCTTCATGGGTGTGTCACTTTTTACAAGCGTGTCACTTTTAGCTAAAATTACTCCTACTCAATTTCAATGAGAGTATATAATTTTGGAACTAAGCTCGTTTTCATGTGTAAAGTCCCCATTTTGTGTAATATAGCTGAACCTCCCTATAACCCAGCTTTGTCTTTAATATTTGAATAAAAAATATTATGAATCTTGAACATTTTGTGGAAATGAAGTTTGCTTATACCAATATACTATCTGTGTTATGCGTTAATACATATTTTGGTTTCTCATTTTTTGTTTTGGAGAAAGAAGAATTATCTGACAAACGTGTTAAAATCTTTCTCCATAACAATGATCAAAATAAACAATCAGATACACAGCAAGTAGATTCATATGACGAGTTTTTAAATTCTCTAGACTTAACTTGCATTTTATCACCAGATCCTAAGATTCGTTTAATAGAATTGAGAAATCTTTCAGCAGCACTAGATCGAGGATACGATATCAATCAAATTGATCACGAAATACTCGAGCTAATCTTTCGCCGTGTTTGTAATGGAAATTCAGATAACAAAATCATACAGGAATTACTAAATATTCTCGCATATATTGGCTTCTCATCCGATGAAGTTTGTACCGAGCTACTTCCAACAGGTTATTTAGATTTACTTCTCGATATTTTATCTGTAAATCACGAATCTTCTATTATAACACAATGTTTAGATTGCATACACAACGTTCTTTATGAGCATACATTAGTTTGTCAGACATTAGATGCCGCAAATATCATTGAAGGTTCAATTTTTATTTTTGATAACGCTTTGGAAGAAAACGATTACTTTATATTCCCTAATAGTAATAATCCAGATCAAGAGAGAAGCTGTATTCTGCAAAGTAATCTAATGCTTCTCTCAGATTTAGTTTCATATTTTGATTGTAGTCCATTTTTCGATAAAATCGGAGATATCCTCATAGAAATTTCCCAAATCAATGAAATCTCTATCAAAACTTCTTTAGTAAGGTTTATTTCAACAGTTTCTTATTATCATTCAAGCCACCAACTTGGATCGATTTTAAATCCGGATTTCATATCGTATATTTGTTGTTCACTCGAACCAGACAGAAACGAGCTAAATAATACGATTTTCATGGCATTAAATAATTTATGCCATTCGAATCCAGAAATAAGTAATTTGGTGGTGGGGTCACCAGTACTAACAGTTGATTTCAATATTTTTCATCTCCAAAAACGTGAAATCAAAAATTATTTCAAATTAATTTCAACTTTATTTGAATTTTCGCAAGATGTTTCAAATATTATTCAAAATATTGGACTAATATTGAATAATATTAGTCCTTCTTCTAATATTTCATTTAAAATTACGAAAAATTGCTGTTATGCAATTTCTAATCTAATTTTAATGAAAAATCAGGATGTGATGAATCCTTTGATTGACTTTAGAGAATATATTGTAGATAATTTTATTGCAATGCTACAATCTAATGATTTGAATTTAATTAAGAAAATTCTTGAGTCAATATACTTGTTAATGAATTATTCAAGAAATTTCTGCTTAGATAATCTGATTAGAGATGATTTTATGCAGAACGAAATACTAGAAACAATTGATGAACTGGATCAACCTCCAAATAACGCTGATTACCATGAATTGATAGAACTGATAAGACAAGAATGTAATTCTGAATAAAATATTTGTTTGTATCTCATATTTTTTCGATAATTTTTTTTTTATGAATCAGAAATTATAGATTTTAATAGTCTCTTTAATTTTACATTTCACTAGACAGTAAATTCATATGAGCTCATATTATATGAACAGAATTTTGTTTAATTTTCAATAAATTCTAAATTATTGATAAAAAAAACTTGTTTAATTTAAGGATTTAAGGTGCTGGTTCGGCTTGGTCATCTTTCTTCATAAAAACGAAGAACTAAACAAGAACGCCAACAATAACTGCAATAATGACAATGCAACTAATTGCAATGCCTGCAATTGTGCCCTTTGGAATTATCAGGTTCATTTGTGAGATCAGCTTCATTTGTAAGATCAGACAGTGCATAAACACCTACTTTCTTTGGAATCCATCCTGCAAACTTTGGGAACATCAGTTTATCGCCTTCTTTTTCTGAGGTGTATGAAAGCGTAGGATCTGCTTTTTCGTTTCCTGCTAAAACTCCGAATGGTGCTGCCAATGTTACTTCTGTATGGAAGCTTTCGTCAGCTTTGGAATCAGGTGCATCATTCATAACCGTCATTTGAATTCCTTCAGATTCAGCCTTAAGGGTGCACACGAGAGGATTATGTAAACTTCAGAATTTAGAACCTTATTTTTAGGCATTATCTTGGCTACCTATTTAGGCTCGAAAAGCAAAAAATATCAAAAAATACAACTTGAGTCCATTATGACCCTTTCATGGAGGTAGTTTTTATCCGCTAGTATTTTCCCTTTGAATCTCTTTACAATTCGAAATCAAATTCAAAACTCAGTAGAAGAAAGGAAGAATCGACTTACTACGGTTGTAATACGAATAAATACATATATTTAATTATTTTTATTTACATAATAATTGTTTGAAGCTCATATTCCATCAAATTTTTAAATAAAAACATTAAAATGTTGAAAATGTTCATATATTTTAATAGGGTTTTGGCACTTTATTGAGGAATTACTACATACATAGTCGAACTGAACTTGATATTTTGAAATTTAAATTATTTATCAAATTAAAATTTAACTTGAAATTTATAATTATTTAGTCATATTTTGCATAATTCTAAGTAGATTTTGTAAAAAATCAAGAAAGAAAAATTTTAACGTGCTTTATTTTTTCTTTTTTATAATAATACATATTATTATATAATTAACATATTCATAATGTTTCACCCTTTCAAAAATATAATCCTCCTCCTCTCAAATAAACGTACATACGGGTGGCCTCTTTTTTCAAAAAATTAAAATTTGAAATTTTGGGCTCAAATATTAGAGATTTTTTCAACCTTCAACGATATATGTTGTCTATATCAGACCTCCTTTCTTTTTGATACTTAACATTGTTCCTAAATCTTAGCCGTTAAGGCTGTTATGAAAATATTTTTTTCGAAAAAATTCGAAAAAAATTCTTAAAATTCAAAAATCCCTTAATTCCTGAGGATAGGGTTGTACAAACTGGCACAATTTTGCGGGCCGCGTGCCAGCTCCTGGCAGGCGGCCAAAATCAAAAAAGTGGCCAAAAATCGGGCCTCGTGGCGTGAAAAGGGTGGAGCCCGAAGGGCGACATCCTTTCCACGCCACTCGGCCTATGACCACAATTATATAATATGCTCATTATTATTTTTTTCTTCTTTTCTCTTCTTTTTTTCTTTTTCTCTTTTCTTTCTTCTTTTTCCCTTTTCCCTTCCTTTTTTCTAGTTTTGGAAAGGAAAAAGTAAAAAATTTAATAATTAATTTTATTACTATGAAAATATACTTTTTAGCTTATATTGTAAGCTGTGAGAGTTTTAAGTGATGGAAGATATAAATCAAATTTGAAATTCAACAAATCTTGTTATGATTAAGTTGAATATTGTACTCTAATTAAGAGTTTTCAGTTATGAACTCAGGTATTATATAATAAAAGTATAACTCAAGATAATAAAGAGGTTTTTAAAATGTATATCTGAAAATCAAACTACCATGTTTGATATGATTAAGTTGAATAATGTTATTTTATTAAATGGTTCAAATCTGTGAAATCGGCAATTACAAATTAAAGGCGTAGTTCAAAAAATTAAAGAGATTTTAAAAATTTAATATCAGAATTAAACTAAAAAAAGGATTTAGTTATTTCAGTAATTATCAGAAAAGGTTAAAAAGATAGGGTAAGTAATGAGACTTGAGTGAGATGTGAGAAATCATATGTAAATAATTAGATATCTGATGAGTAAGGTAGTAATGAGAGTTAAGATCTGGTTAGTAAGGTAGTAATGAGAGTTAAGATCTGATGAGTAAGGTAGTAATGAGAGTTAAGATCTGGTTAGTAAGGTAGTAATGAGAGTTAAGATCTGATGAGTAAGGTAGTAATGAGAGTTAAGATCTGGTTAGTAAGGTAGTAATGAGAGTTAAGATCTGGTTAGTAAGGTAGTAATGAGAGTTAAGATCTGGTTAGTAAGGTAGTAATGAGAGTTAAGATCTGATGAGTAAGGTAGTAATGAGAGTTAAGATCTGGTTAGTAAGGTAGTAATGAGAGTTAAGATCTGGTTAGTAAGGTAGTAATGAGAGTTAAGATCTGGTTAGTAAGGTAGTAATGAGAGTTAAGATCTGGTTAGTAAGGTAGTAATGAGAGTTAAGATCTGGTTAGTAAGGTCGGAGAGTTAAGATCTGGTTAGTAAGGTAGTAATGAGAGATCTGCGGGCAGTAATGATACATCTATGAGTACATAACTAAAACCTGAGTTCTATGAGCGAAATCTGAGAGCTAAAAGCCGAGAGATCTAAGGTAAGTAATGAGAGAAGAGAATTTGAAATTTTACAAAATACGTTTACTCATACAAAATAATTCGCATTCTTTTATAACGAATCTCAATGCCAATTAATACATAAAACAGATTTTAGCAATCAATTGCAAGATTTAGAAAGATTTTATTTATAATCTCAGCCAAATTAACAAATATTTTATTGATTTCGTAAAAAATAGCAATAAAACATAAAAATATGACATTCTATTTTCCAAAAAAATTTCAAAAATCATTTTTTCACATGAAATTTATATTTTTTTATTTTTTTTTTAAATTTTGAATTTTTTTTTAGAATTTTCAACCATGTCAAAAGTCGGGATCTACAAATGTATTCTCTTTGACATAGGATAAAAACATCCTTTCTTATAATTTCATTGTAAAATAAAATTTTCTTAAATTTATTGAATCCAAACTCAACTTTGCAACATTTTATTATCATAAAAACTAAGAAACATCAGGTAAACTTCAATTTGGAGAGCTTAAAATCATATCTAAATTGAAAAATAAGGGGAAAAAAATTGTAAAAAAAATCTCATTAGATGGGGCAAAAAGTGACTTTTTTAATGTGTTTTTTAAAAAAATCGTGCCAGCTGGCCAAAAAAGGTGTGCCAGCAGGCGTGCCAGTTTGTACAACCCTATTATAGCATATCCAAAAGGCAAGGAAATCTATCAGAGAAGCCTTTTTGACCTATCGTTGCCCTACCTCTTATGCACACATAAATTTGAAAAGGTATAATTAATTTGAATGATCTGAAGAATTAGTTTGAAACTCAAGAAATAAGTGCAAAAATCATAGATTAACCTTTTATTTTTGCATTTGCATTTTCATAGCTTTACATAATCGAAAGAATATGTTGTATAGATATGTCTATATATTAATTATTCAGTAAAAATTATTGTAAAGAAAAAAAGCATATTCAATATTAATACTATATTCAAAAAATTCACAACAAATCAAAAATCATCATTTCACATTTTATATCTGATGAAAGTTATCATCCGAAGATATGTAAAAAAATTCATTTTGAGCATACGGTATATTCAATTTCACATTTGAAACCATTTTCAATTTATTCCCCTCTCTTAGATAACAAAGTAATTCACCCCTGAAAGATATTAAGAAAAAATCGTTTTTTATTACTGTTCTTTTTTGTTTTTCAAACCACCCTCAATTTTTACGAAATAAGTTAAATTTTTAACCTATGGAAGACTCATCAACTACTGCAAGCCGTAACATGGACTTTTCAATGTCTGTTAGTAGTAGGTATCAGGGTTTAATAGACATACCCATAGGCACTCAAGTAATTGATGCGATGGTTTCATTTTTCAATTACCTTGATAACTACGCTCCAAGAATGCCATTTTTGTACAATTTTGTATCAGTTGTAAGAATGCTCCAATTGATTGGCGGTGCGTTCATGGCAGCAAATAACGATATCTACGACCCTAATACTATCACATATAAAGCGATGAGTATCCTCACAGTTACATTTCACTTAATTCCTGTTCAATATAGACTCGGAAACGAGTATATTATCCTTGATATTGTCAGTTTAATCTTGTTTCTTTTTGGTATGTATCTTTTAATCACAGCTTGGATGTACAAAACCACAAGCAAAGTTCCAAAGATCTCAACCAATGTACTTGCGATCTACATTGCCGTTGGACCTTTCATTTTGATCCCAATTTCTGTCCAATACTTTGGTCAAATCATCAGTTCCCTTATTGTAGGAAGAACAAAAGATGTGGTATCAATTGTATCATCGATTATAGGCATTTTAATTGTAATTCCATATCTATGGATTATGGTTAAAGCATATTTGATCACTTTGACATTCAGACCATGTTCCTTCATGTCAATCGAAGCAAGTCCGCAATGGAAATTCTTTTTCACTACTTTAATTGTCACTTTTGTTTCTTCCTTAACAACATACTTCCAGAAATGGCCATCGTTAGCGATGATATGTATATCAGCCGCCGGATATGTCTATTGTGGCACAACATGCTTCAATGGAGGAAATTTTGTTTTGGAATTACATCAAGTCATGGTTTTAGGTGGTTCTTTCCTCGGATTCATCTTATGCTGCATGAACTTATACGCACTTCTATCATTAAAAAGATGGAATGAAATATTCTTTGAAATATTTATTGCAATAGCTGTCGCTTGCTTCCTTTTAACACAAGTATACGTACGACTAAGATACAAACGTGACCTTGTCATTCTCGATAAGTCCGAAGAAAGCCAAGATATCACATTATTCGTATCAAAAGGAAAATTCAGAAGAGTTGTTGGTACAGGATACACATTTTGCCATCCTGCATGTATAAACTTCTCAGTTTTCAAAGCAGCGATCGTTGAATGGCCAGAATCAATCGATCTTTGGGCAGAATACGCAAAATTCGTTGCAATTTACCCAGAACTTACACCAACATTGATATACATTGGACAGAGTATCAATGCTTTGAACCTGAAAGACTCAATTTCAACAATTATCATGTCTAATATTGGTTATATCATGAATACGCGCGAAACAAAGATTACACCTACTCTCACGAGTAAGATCTCAAAGCTGAACAAAGTTTTCAACAAAGCGAAGAATCGTATTCGTAATATCTGGGATTTAATTCTTCAAGGCTCAGTTGCTGAAATTAACCATGCTATTAAATCAGCAAATGAAGCTGTAGAACTTGCAGATGTCGAAGTTAGCCAGTTAAAGAGTCTTTATCCTAATAACAGATTTGTTGCTCGTCAATACGCCAAATTCCAAGGCGACATCAACGCAAACGCTGTAGAATACAAGGTATGGATGGAGAATGTCATACAACTTCAAGCCGGTAAGCAAGTTTGTGCAGATATTGTCCACGGATTAGGAGTTTTCGTCTTCCCGAGCCTTCCTGAGAGTGTTGAAGGTTCTGATGGCAAAAACATGATGTCTCTCACCGAAATGGAGTCAGTTGAAGAATTAAATGACGAACAACAAGCCGAAGAAGATGCAAACATCGAAGTTTTAGCAACCTTAACAAGGCAAATTGAGAAACAAAGGATTCCTGCCATCAAATGCATGTATATGTCTACATGTTTAGGTTGGTTCTTTACTGTTTTTGTTCCAATTTTAGCATTAATCATTTATTACACAACATTCAGGGAAGATTTGAATGCACCTTTAGTCTTCATGTACGGTATATCATATATGAGGAACTTACTTAACATGTTGGCCGCATTCACAGCAAAATTCTTGTTCGAGGAACTTCCCGATCCGAAATCACCTGAAGAAAAAGTGACAGATGTCATTCATTTACAAGAAGGATTTCCATTGACCGGATTTGGTGATGACGTGAGATCTAGGGAGATCTTGAAATACCTTGCAGCACAAGTTTCATCCACAAGTTCAATGATGTCATCTCTTCGATCATATAAATTTGGCAACGAATTATTAGAAAAAGCTCGAGATATGGTATTTGGATCCACCATTGTCTTTAACTTCTACACAAACCGGTCGATGGAGTATCCAATGAAGTCATCCGTTGCACAGATCGCAGCAATGATTGCTACACACATTGGATCATTGATTACTGATGATGAAATCACATATGATGATGCTCGCGGATCAGATTATTTGACAGCAACAAATAACAATGATCTTGCAACCGAACAAATGAGCTCAGCATTATTAGTCTGTTTAGAATACATTCTCAAACAAGATGAAAGCCAGAAAGCATGGATTATCTCATTAATGGTTTGTATTCCTGTCGCTATCATCATTACATGGATTGTCACATTTAATTTGCAGTACAAGAAATTGAAATCAAACAAAACAGAGATCATGAATGTCATTGTTACACTTCCAAAAACAGTTATATCAACTGTTTCTGCATCATTCAATCATCTCAAAAAGAATTCAGCATCAACAACAGAAACGAACCAAACAAATGATGATGCTAATTTAGAAGATATGTCAAGACAAGAACAAAACATTATTAAAGTTTTTTCACAAATTACGGATGGCTCATCTTCTACAACAAGTCAATCATGGAATATGCTTTTCTTTGTTGGAATTGTTATTTTAGGCTGTGTTGGTTCCTGTGTAATTTTGTATTGTTATTTCCAAGCATCTAAAACATTAGTTTTCTCAAGCCAACACATTGATAATATGTTTGGATGCAGTGGATATTTGTATTCAGTTTTCAGTCATTTGTTTAAAGTATCTCTTCAAGAATACGATGCAGCATTTCATGATACAACAGTTGATCTCGCTAACGAAATTGTCATGATGAAAATGAGTATTCCCAAGTTTATTGATTACTTCCATAAACTTCGATTGGGCGGAACAGGAGAAAATCAGTTACCATTCACAGGAATGACTAATGCTCTCAAGAAAGCATCATCAATTATTACATGTCCAGATAAATTGGATCCACCTACAACTATCCCTGAAAGTGCACATTGTTTCACTGCTGCAGTTCAGTTGTATTTGACATCCGGATATCTTTTGAGATATTTAGCATTCATTTCCATGGAAAATATTTCTGAACGAACTTAATCCTATCCCTAATGATCCCGATTTCGAACAGATCTGACAGATTGGTCCTATAGAATTATATGAAGCATTTTTCTATAGAATTGGAAAGACATTAACAGAAGAGATTATGTCAGGAATCAACAAATACGGAACAACGATTAAAGGTGTTGGAATTACATGTATATTAGTAGCAATGATATTAATGTTTATGGCTGTTGCTTTAATACACAAAGAAGATATTTTGTTGACATTCACAATGAGATTGTTATTGTTCTGTCCTCCAAGAGTTGTTTTGAGTAATTCAAGAATTATGGATTTGATTGCAGGCGATTATGAAAATAAAGATGCAGATCAATCTGCAAAGCATCTTGCTTATTCTAATGAAGTCGTTAATAAACTGAATGACTCAATTATTGTCATACAAGATGATGAATCAAATAAGATCATTAACATTAACACTGCTTTCGAAGAAACATTTAATGTTAAATCAGAAGATTTGATTGGAAAAAGTGCAAAAGAATTCTTTACACAAATGAGAGATTCCAAGGAAAAGTTGAGTCAGCAACGACGACAATAACAAATCTCCAATTTGAAAAAAGATGAAATACAGTTTTCATGGAATTCACACCTGTTGTTTGTTCAATACAACAAAGATTATTTCAGGAAGAGATAAAACACAAAATATTTTACATGAACAATTAATTGAAGAGAGAAGAAAGAAGTCTGATACAATATTGGCATCTATTTTACCAGCCTCTTTAGTACCAAGAGTACAAGCAGGAGCAAAAGAACATTTCTTTCTCTGTTCAATCAGTTACAGTTTTATTCTTTGATGTTGTTGAATTCACGCCATGGTGTGGTTCACATGATGCTCAGTATGTCATGAGAATGTTGAATATTGTTTTCAAAGAAATGGATGCAATCACAAATGCTCATAAAACTATGACAAAGATTAAATGCATTGGTGATTGTTATATGGCTGCTGGTGGAATATTTGATGAAGTAAATCAACCACAAATTCATGCGAGAGAAGTTGTTGATTTCGGTTGTTTAGCAATAAAGAAATTGTTGGAAATCGATGATAAAGAAAATGAAAATCTCAAAATTCGAGTTGGAATTAACACGGGCGGTCCAATTGTTGCAGGTGTCATCGGAACAGAGAAACCAACATTCGAAATATTAGGACCTGCAATCAATATCGCCCATGAAATGGAACATCACGGTGTTCCAATGAAAGTACATATTTCTAGACCTGTCTACGAATTTATATATGGTGGGCAGTTCTCCATCAAGGAAAGAGGTGAAATAGAAGTCAAAGGTGGAAAGATGTTCACATATTTAGTTGATCCGTGAAGAAATATTTTCATTGTATTATTTTATTTGAAATAATGTTGTAAGTAAACATTTTAATTTATTTGTTATTATCATCTCTGATTTACTTTTAAAAAAAATACTTTATAAGTAAAATTTTTTACATGAGAATCAATAAAATCTTGTTGTATATTAATTCATGAAAATCAAACGAAATATGATATCGCATAAGTGTTAAATCTCTCAATCTAATACACGGATTTGAACAATGATTTCTTTAATGATTTTGTTATTCACTTTTTTTTTGATTAATCACAATAAACAATTACTGAATTTGATTACGGAATTATATTTAAAAAGCTATGCCATAAGTGTGTTTAGGTTGTATAAGATTTGCTTTTTAATGATTGAATGAAAAAAAATGGTTAAATTTTTATTAATTCTCCTTTGAAGTCAAAAACAGTAATATGGAAATGGTCTTGATCACATGAATTCTTTCCTGTTTGTGTTATTTTGAAAGCAACAAAATAATCATTAGTTTGAAGTGGAAATTCTTTGATTTCTCTTTGTTGAAATTCATAGTATTTATTATCTAATACAATAGATGTTCCATCTTCTTTGATACCTTCTAGCTTCCATTTCCTCAATAAACTATAATCACCTTTACATGTTGATCGTAGAATATATGATTTTGGTTTTAATTTATATCTTTTTAGATCAGCTTTTACCCATGAATTAGGTTTATCACTTGTAAAGAATTTAGCATTATCTGAATATGAATTTATATCGGATAAATTTCCACAATCAAGAGATGAAGCAGTCATTTCCATTTGAATTTCTTTTGAAACTTTTTCAACAAATTTTGTATCAACAAAACTAAAACTATGATTTGATATTTGAAATTGATTTCGAATCAAATGTTTTTCGAAAGATGTAATAGATTGATTTGAGATTTCAAATTTATTTCTTAATTTTGAATGATAATGTTTCAATGTTTCATTATAAATAGTTAAAAGACTTGATTCATAAGAGTTTTCAACTGAAAAATTATAAATATAGTCATAAACTTCTGAAGAACAAAATTGTAAATTAACATAGCTAAATAAATCAAATAATGTATTGTCTCTTCTGCAAGTATCTAAAAGTAACAAACATAGTTTGTCTTCATTTTCTATTTTCAGTTCTTTTGACTTCAAAATTTTTTCACAAAATTCAAATCCATTTTTCACAAAATTTGTAATGATATCATCATCTTTCAAACTGTAGAAATGTGATGATATGTACTCAATGCATTCATTCATTGTCGTAGAATCGTTTTCGTATGCAGAAATTTCGTACTTCTTAAAAATGTTTTCATTTGTGAGAGATTTGTCTGATTTAACATGTTTAGCATATACTTGTATGAGAAATTGATTTCCAAAATGTTTGCCGATTTCGAATATGTCATGATAATGTGCCTCATCTGCTTCAAATTCAAGTTTCCCCGTTTCAATAAAGTTTGAAAGTATATCAATCGAATCTTGGCATGTAATATCTAGATGTGTGTTCAATGATGTGATTGATTTATCAATATAATATTTTTCTTTGATTAATTCTGAAAAACAAATCGCTGAAGACTTCTTTGTGTTGATGATTCGATCATTAATATTGATACACAATGTACCACATTCCGTAATAACATGCGCACGCTTTAATTCATTGCACAATTTCGATATTTGCACCATGAAAAAAATTTTCCACCTTTTTTTTAAATTTTTCAATTTATTGGTGAAACTCAAAATATATTGCCACAGGGAAAAAAAATGATCACTAAATTGTAGTTTTACTGAGTGTGTTATTGTTAGAACAATAATAATGCCCTAAAATAGCCAAATTCTACAAATCGTGGAAGTATCAGTTTTTTATTCATGGATTTCAGTAGTTTTACTAAAAACTTTTGGGTAAAATTCTACTTTTTAGGTCATTACTTGTTATAGTGTTTATCAGAAAGGATTTTTGGTCAATATTATTTTTGCAATTCTGTAGATAAATCGTTAAAGCTTCAATAATGTGAAGTAATTCTTTTAATTATTAGATTATGGCTCAATGTTATGTGTATCAATTGTTGATTCAAAGTTAAAAATTCTTTTACAGTTAACTAAATCTTCCTATAAACGAATATTAAATCTAAAAGTTATTAGATATGCAGCGTTGTTAAGTATAAGTGATCGTCGCTGTGTAAATGATGAAAAAAGAAATAATATTTCTTATTTCCGAGCTTTTTCCAACAGACAACTGTTGCCTTTGGTTCAAGCAGGCAAATTCTTCTTGTTAACATTTCCAAATTTTTTAGATTTTGTAAAATAACTCATTTAACTTTTATATTTTGATTTTAATTTTTAGAATTCAAAAATATTTTTGGAAAAGTAAGGTTGAAAAATTAAAAATTTCAATTTTACGAATAAATTAAGCTTTAACAAGAGATTTCAAAACAATAGACTCTTTAGATTTTTAAAATATTACTATTTTCTTCTAGAATTTTTGTCTGATTCCGGATTCGAAATAAACAAATTCACATTATAATAAATTTTCATATAATTCTAATAATTTTTTGTGTGATATATCGTGTTTTATGTCGTATAGTTGATTGCTAGCTCCATGCGTTGAAAACAGAGTTGCATGTTTTTTTCTCACTTTATGCAAAATCTCTCTCTTCCGGAACCGTTCAAAGGACTGAATGAGTTACGGAAGTGGGGAAATGTGCAAGCAACATTTAGCAAAGATAAAGTCATGAAAATAACAGTTCAAGCTGTTGGTCCATTCCTATATTTATTTCAAAATAATAGTATCAAAGATGTAATCCAAATAATATTCATACCAACATCTACAAATGATGTTAGCAAGCATTCTAAAGGATATGAAGTCATACTTAATTCAATCGGAAAAATCTTCTCACCTGTTTCATTAGTTTTCGAATCATCAAAAGAAATGAAAGAATTTCAGATGTATTTTAACAAAATATACAGTGAAACAGTCCAATACTACGAAAGATTAATAACGAATTCTTACCAACTCCAAGAAGAAATTGAAGAAGTAATAGGACCAAAGGAAACAAAAGCAGTCAAAGCTTCGATACATGCAACAGCTAAAAACTTCCAATTTCAACCAACAGAAGGTGATAATGTCAAAGAACAGACGGTATCGCAGAAAATATCAAGTCTTACAATGGTTTACCCAGAACCGAAACAACCTTTGAACAAATCTCATTGTGGATTACTTTTTATTGTTGGAGATATCAATAAAACTTCACCATCTCATACATTCCTTTGCAAAACAGTGCCAGATATGATGAAATGGGTATTAACCATATTCATTATCGCTAATACCCCTGATGCTCAGTTCAAAGCCTTAAATTCAAAACAAAATGCTTCTGAAAAACAGAAGAAACCAAAAAACAACGCGGATTCCACACAACAGACACCAAAATCTACAGCCAATTCAGACAAAACTGTTGCTTCAAGATACATTTTGAAAGAAGAAATCGGAAAAGGAAGCTTCGGAGTCATTTTCCTTGGTGAGCATATTGTTTCTCATGAAATGGTAGCCATTAAACTAGAACCTGTTGATAAACAAAGCCTTCAACTTAAAAATGAATCAAAAATTTATAAAGTTTTAGCTGGTTGCCCAGGAATTCCTGAACTTTTCTGGTTTGGAACGGAAGGCCAATACAATGTTCTTGTCATGGAGTACCTCGGAAGTTCCCTTGAGTTCGAAATGATGCGCCACAACCAACAATTATCATTAAAAACGGTTTTGATGTTTGCAGATCAGGCCATTTGCCTAATACAATACATGCATGAACGCCATTTCATACATAGAGATATCAAGCCAGAGAACTTCTTAATTGGAACCGGGAAAAAATCAAATTTAATTTATTTGATCGATTTCGGACTTTCAAAGAAATATAGGGATCCGAAGACTAAAGAACATATCCCATACAGAGGCGATAAAGAACTTGTCGGAACTTCCAGATACGTTTCAATAAACACTCATCTGGCACACCTTATGGGATATACAGAATGCCAGCTGGCCAAAAAAGGTGTGCCAGCAGGCGTGCCAGTTTGTACAACCCTACCTGAGGATTTTGGAAAAAAGTTTTTACATGAACATGTGTATATTATATGAAGTATATTGATAAGGTAAAAATCAAATTTTATTGCATATTCATCGAGAAAATAAACTAACGAATCCCTCAAAATTGAGAGGGTAATCCTCCTCCTCTCAAATAAACGTACATACGGGTGCACCCTTAACTTTAATGGTATTGCTAGATGCGAATGAAATTGCCTTTCCAATTTCTTTTTTGTTAAACGTTATTTCGCCATTTGATAATGCGGTGACATAAGATTGCCACTGTAAGCCTGAAATACTCTCTTGGATAACATGAATCTTGCATTCCTTGCTACTATCAGCGCATGTTAATTTGACTGTAACTGCATCTCCATCATTTAAGGCATCATTGACTATATAGAATGGATTCTTCACTGTTTTTACAGATTTAGATAAATCTTCGTTCATAAAAACTTCGACATTAAAATCGGAATCACTGCCTAATATAAATGAATAACTGTTCAGTGTATTGCACTTTCCTGCACCAATTGTCATAAGTCCAATTCTTCCATAAAGAAATTCTTCTTTGTATCCATGAGTACATCCAGGAATAACTTCTTCTCCCCCTTCTAGAGGAGTCTTGTCTTTGTGAACAATTCTCTTTCTGGAACTAATACTATAGAATATTAGAACGTGAAATAACTAAAATAATAATAACAATTAAGTTGCAAGTATACGATTAAAAGTCGCAAACGGCAAAAATCTGCGGTGTAAAAAATCAAAATGATGATATTATAACATTTTTATCATATGTTTATTAAAAAGTTTTTGAGAAACGAAAATTGAATGTTTCACAAAATTTTGAAATTTCTGAGAAAAAAAGAAAAAGAAAAATTTGGGACTTCGCGGACTTGAACCACGTACCTTGCGATCTTCAGTCGCACGCTCTCCCAGGTGAGCTAAAGTCCCTTCACGACAATTGAATTTAATATTTATTAATAATAAAAAATATAGGAGACTCGAAAAATTGCGGTCTTCTGTCACTCATTCTTCCAGGTGAGATAAAGTCGCCTGAAAAATTTCATTCAATTTAAAAGGAGTTAATATAATAATATCGACTACTATAATAAATTCTAAAATTCAAATTATGATCACATATCTCACAAATTGTGCCTTATGTTTCTTGGCGTTTTAGAAATCTCAATTCAGTCAAATTTTGAGAGCTTTTGAGTAAAATTTAGAGGTTTGGGCGAATGATCTATAATGAAATCTAATTCAGCAACCACATGATTTGTTTGCCAATCTAAATGAAAGCATAATGTAGGAATATGCAACAATGTACTCATTCATCAAAAATGTCACAAAATCAATGTTGTGTGAAATAATAGCATATTCCATGCATTTTTCATTTGGATTTTGATATTTTAAACATTCACTCATGATCTCTAGTTTTTCTCCTAAAACCACCCCTCAGATTGTTGCATATTCCTACATTATGCTTTCATTTAGATTGAATGAAATTTTTCAGGCGACTTTATCTCACCTGGAAGAATGAGTGACAGAAGACCGCAATTTTTCGAGTCTCCTATATTTTTTATTATTAATAAATATTAAATTCAATTGTCGTGAAGGGACTTTAGCTCACCTGGGAGAGCGTGCGACTGAAGATCGCAAGGTACGTGGTTCAAGTCCGCGAAGTCCCAAATTTTTCTTTTTCTTTTTTTCTCAGAAATTTCAAAATTTTGTGAAACATTCAATTTTCGTTTCTCAAAAACTTTTTAATAAACATATGATAAAAATGTTATAATATCATCATTTTGATTTTTTACACCGCAGATTTTTGCCGTTATTTTGCGACTTTTAATCGTATACTTGCAACTTAATTGTTATTATTATTTTAGTTATTTCACGTTCTAATATTCTATAGTATTAGTTCCAGAAAGAGAATTGTTCACAAAGACAAGACTCCTCTAGAAGGGGGAGAAGAAGTTATTCCTGGATGTACTCATGGATACAAAGAAGAATTTCTTTATGGAAGAATTGGACTTATGACAATTGGTGCAGGAAAGTGCAATACACTGAACAGTTATTCATTTATATTAGGCAGTGATTCCGATTTTAATGTCGAAGTTTTTATGAACGAAGATTTATCTAAATCTGTAAAAACAGTGAAGAATCCATTCTATATAGTCAATGATGCCTTAAATGATGGAGATGCAGTTACAGTCAAATTAACATGTGTTAAAATTTCTAGAGTAACTTAATTCTTCTTTGAATCTTTATTCTTGATGTTATGTTGAGTGAAATATACTCTAACAGAGATAAATTTAAGATGATCATTATGTGTTACATTGATGAAAAAAATAGTTAAATCTTCTTTATTATCATTTATCTTCTCCAGCAAAGATATTTAACAGCACCATTTTTGACTTAGTAAATTTTCACTCAAACGTTAACATTGTATATTTATCTGCATATGTAGGGATAAGATGTGTGTATATTCTTATAATCATCTGCTATCATAATGCCTCATAAATGAATACAATTTTAATCATAATTATTACCCAGATTTTCCTTACTTTTACCACCTCTCTAAAGCTGGGGACACCGCCTATCGTTGGGAGTAGCTATTAAATAGAACCACCAAGGGTATTTTTCAAACTGCTGGTGTAGTGGAAACATCCGACATAATAATTCATAATGCCAAAGTTTGATTCCCGTTTAGCCAATTTTTTTCTTTTTTGGATCATGAATTTTTTTTTGGGTCACTATAAGATTTGTTTCATGTTCTAAATCTGCTGCATATGTAATCTATTTTTATTTACCTATTTTTTAAAAATCTATTGGATTGCCAAATTTGAATATATTTAAAATCATAAAAATCCAAAAACTATAAATATATGTTTTATGCATAGTGCCGATACTCAAATATCAGATCACTTAGATCCATGAATAATATCCGAATTTTTTTTCTTAAAATTAAACTTCAAAACTTCTTGCAATCTTATTCTTAATCAATTGTAAATTTTTAAAACCATTTTTTAAAATAATTTTGCGTAAATTTTATTCTCATGTTGTTTTAATCGAAAATTGATACATTTTCAAAAAAATAATATTGACTTATGAAATTCATTTTTAAGGTGAAATAGTATTGTTTTTATTAAAGTATATGAATAATATATAAAAAATTAATGAATAATATAAGCAGATTTTTAGTTTACAAAACAAATATGAGCAATGCAATTTCAAACTTTTGCTGGCAATTTCGATATTGCTCAAGTTTGTAGTATTTGTGATACCTATAACATCGGCTTAATCAAAATTCGATTTTTCTTATGAGTTATTGAGAAAATTTGATTGCAATGAGAAGGATTTCGACGTTTTTGATAAACTAAGAGCTGAGCTTTAGGGGTTCAGTTCATTTATGGCTGTAGTTTGATGCGTAGATCTCTTTTTTATTGTAAATTCTTTCAGCATGGAGATCGAGAATGAATCTTTTGAGAACTTTATGAGTTTTTACACCCGTAAAGAGGTCCTTCGAGGAAAGATAGTCCAGACTACATGAAGATGTGGGTTAACCAAAAAAATCCGATGGTTTCCCCATATTCATGTAGATCTTCGAAAAAATGAGCACCAAAAAAGCCAAAAAAATAGGCTTTTTATTGGATTTGTACACTAGATCAATAACCTATTTAGGATCTGACACTCTTTTTAGCCAGAGATATGAGGTCCTTTCTAGGAAAACGATCTATTCATCCATAAAAAAAATGAATTATCGTTTTCCCCAGAAATTACATGGGGAGTGGTAAAAGTAAGGAAAATCTGGGTAATAAATATTGGATAATTATACAAATTATATTTTATAATAAATAAACAAAAAATATAAAATAAAAATTTTTCACCACCAAGGAATCCATTGCGATGGCATTTCTGCGATATTATTCATATCTGTTGCAGCTTTAATTAAATCATCAACTTCTGTATCCAAATCCTTTCCTGTTCCGACAATTCTTTCATTTAATAATTCGATATCTTGGTTCAAATGAGTTTCAGCACCATATTTACCAACATAAGACTTTGATAAGCATGGATCAGCGAATGGCGTCTTTCCCAATACGAACTGTAATATTGGTGACAATGAATTTGCATTGTGTCTTATAGATTTTAGATATTTCATCATTGAAACTCTAAATGGTCCATTAACTCCGCAAGTTCCAAGAGCTGACTCAAACATTGGTGTGAGTCTGAATGGTACTTTCTGGCTTTCTCCTGTGACTCTGAATGCAGTAAATGTCGTTGCTCCTGTCGATTTCTCGAACAAAATATCAGAAGGACCAGAATTTACAGAACCAAAGAGATAACTCAAAACACTCAAAGCTCCCGTAGAAGCAGAGAATGTTGACACTCTGTTGAGCCATGAATTAGCGTTTCTTGATGTCACGAAAATGGCTTTTGCGAGTGTGAACTTATTGTCGCCTTCAGTCAAGTGTTTAATCTTTCTGATCTTCTTTTCTTTCTCTTGCAAACTGTCGAGTTTTTGAGTGATGTTGAGGATTTCCAATTCAGGGTTTTGTCCGCAGTTTTGCTTGTAGAGAATTAACAAGTCCAAGATCGAAATGTGTCCCTTCAAAATCTCATGGAGAGTCACACCTGGAGAGATTTGTATCAAAGAACGATGTTCGACATTTATGAAACTTGTAAATGAGTCAATCAAAGCCATAAATTGTTCGGAAGGTTCGTTCTTGTAAATGATACTTCTTCGCTGCAAGTGATAGGAATATTTCTTTCCATCTGTTCCGATTATGGAGATCTTGAAACCATTCTTCCATCGCTCAACTGAGTGGAAGAATTTCTGGATTTTAACATCAGGTTTGTTGTGTTTTCCGAGCAAATTAATCGACCAACTTTGTTTTTTATCAAGAATGTCATCGAGACTCGAAAGAGGAAGAGCTCGAATTGAATCCTGTCTGGATGTGATGTCATGGAAAATCTCTTGGACTATTTGAATGTTTTCTTCATCTGCGGGATTGTCGTGGATTTCTTGCAAAGCTGCTTTGTACTTGAAATTCGACTTGAAAATTTCTTCGTATCTGCAGGAACTGAAGCCACTCAAACTAGTTAACAGTTTCTTAACAAGGGATTTGGTTTGATCGTACTCTTTCTGCTTCAAATGACTGTGGAGCTCGTTCAGTTTGTCAATCCAAAAATTGTAAATTGTATATGAAATTTTTGTCATTTTTTGACAAACTAAATCAAGTTGTGCGTAAAATATTGGATGCTCGTGTTGGAATAGTTCACTCAAGTCTTCAAAGATCTCTGCATCTTTGTTGGTTTGAAGACTTGTGAACAGATCAAAAGCAACAACTTGAGGAGTTTCCAAAATCATGTAATTCAAAATTTGTTTCGCAATTTTTGAAACAAATTTCGATGGATGCAAAACTAAACCAAAGAGAGTTGAGTTCAAATTCAAGTAGATGTTCTTTGGCTTTGTTGACAATACTTCAGAGATTTTTTCCGACAATGTTTTGCTGTCAGAAAATTGAACTAAAAGTGACAAAATTTGGTTGATTATCAACAAAATTTTGTTTTTCTTTATGTTCATTGCGATTCCCAAAACTTCAACAGCCTTTATAGCGTATTCTACATTTTTCTCGAGGAATGCAAGTAGCATTAAAACCTCGCTTTGGCTCTGATAAGAGTTCTTTCCTTTCAACAAGAAATCCAAACTTTCTTTGAGGTTTTCTGTTGTCAAAGATTTTTTGTACAAAACTTTTCCAATTGTGTTGTAAATTCTTGGTTTCAAGTTTTCTGGAGCGTCTTGAAGCAAATCCTTGTAGACTTGTGGATCTTCTACATTGTGCATCAATAAGTTTGCGTATTTGGAATGCGACGAATTCAAATCCGGGAAGAAAATGTCTTTCAATCTATTTGATTCGTTGTTATGACCAGCTTTCATATTACACATGAAAATATGGAAAGCCAAGTCTTCCAAATCAATGACACCTGGTGCCAAGCTTCTTATCTTGTAGAGCTGGACTTGGTATCTTGGATAGTCCTTCAAATAACGAATATGTTCTGGCCAAATCGTCTTGAAATCTTCACTTTTTTCATCATTTGTCAAGATATCAATTACATCGCATAATTCATGCAATTGCAAACTCTGGAAAAGATATTCTTTGATCAATGTCTCGTTGTTCTTTTCTGTTGTTGATACTGTATTCGCTAAGTATCTCCAACTGATGTGTATCAAATCTTGAGCATCATCAAGTTTGTCACATTTTATGTACAAAATAATTTTTGCAATACAATCAGAAACGGTGTAAGACCCTGTTTTATTTGAAATTCTGAGAGCTTCTTCTTTTGTTCCTGTGTATAATTCTGATGTCCAGAAATACTTGGCTAAAAGAGACTGTTCCAAAGTATTCTTTTGCTCAAATTCTTTCTTCATTTTGTGGATTTCACCCCAGTTATCTGTTTCTGTATACGAAATGACTTTGTCGAAAAATGTCATGTCGTTTTCGCCATCGTCTTTTTCTGTAACAAATTTCGGAGTAACTTTTTGGGAATTTTCCAATAAATTTATCATTGTTGCGTTCTTGTTTTTAGATAGTTGTATCTGTCCACTATCTGAGCTGGAGTCAGAGTATTCATCATCGATTTCAGTAATAAATTTATCAGGAACATTTGGTTTTATTATTAATTGGGAAACTTTTGGAGGATTTTTCACTTTTTGTTCAATAATGTTAATGGCTGATTCCCATCCACCTAAAGCCATCCAAACTTTGTGTTTAATGATCTCTTTATTGACTCTTGCGATACCTTTTGCTTCAGTATGTCTGTTAGAAAACTCATTCAACAAAACTAAATTTTGGATTTGAGAAGATGTCATGTTTTTGTCACTTTTGAATGCCAAATCACTTTCCAACAAAAACAAGGCTTGTGAATAGAAATGTCTTTCTTCACAGTTCTTTACAAGTACAGACAAATCAAGTTTGAAATCTATTTCGCAGAGAAGAGAAAATTCAATTAATTCCAAGAATTGTTCCAAAACAACATTTGGTAAGTTTTTGTAACTTAAAATCGATTTCAAATTGTTTGATAATCTTTCTTTTTCATCATCAGAACTTTGTAAATAAATAGACAAATAACTGAACATGAAAGCAAAGTTCGGATAGCTTGGAAGGAACTGCATTGATCTGATCAAAACATTTGGACTTTCCATGATGAAATAATTTCTTAAATCAACAAACCAATTCGAAATCAAACTGAAATTAACAGTGTTTTCTTTTGTCCTCGGCAAAGCGAATTTCTCAATGAAATAATCTGCTGAAAACGGACCAAATTTAGGCTGTGTTGGCTGATTTGAGAAATTAAATTTCTCTGTAGGAATTGAGAAATCGGTTTGATTTATCAAATCAATTAATTGTTTTGATCTATCATGCCATCTCAACTGAGATCTCTGTGTTACATTCACCAAGCATCTCTTGATTGGCGGAATGTAAACAGCTGAGTTACAATATTTAATGACAAACTCAATGGTGTCAAAACATTGTTCATGTAAATAACTTGGATAATTCACGTCAGAAAGGATTTCCAAAACTCCTGTAACAATTGGAAGAAGGAAGTTATTGTTATATTGTGCAATAACTCTTAGAAGATTGAAGATATCATTGGAAACATCTTCGGCATTCTTTTTAGTCTTTGCAAGTAAAAATGAAACACTTACAACTAATTGTAAAATTGAATCACATCTGCCATCTGTTGCAATGATTAATGAACTCAAAACAATGCATCCTTCCCTTGTGAATTTGTCATGCCAGTTATCTTCAATGGCTTGGAAAATCTTGTCAACATAGTTTGCTATTAAATGACCACTACTTTCTATCATAACCGTTAAATAATGATAGAAAAGTGACAATTTTGAAGAACTTGAATTTTTGTGGACGAAATCAATGAAAATACCAATGAATGACTGGAAACTTTGTATTTCATTAGGAGCATATAAGAACAAACATGAAATACACTTTGCTATTGCTTCTCTTGTAGATTCCAAGTTAAAAGTTATGAATAAATCAACTAAATACTTGAAATATTTCGAAATAAAGTATTTGTTAAATTTTTGGCGGTTTGACATTCCGTTTTTGACAATTAATGGATGTTTCTTTGGTTTTATGTTTGGAAGCTCAACCATACCGATTGCGCCAATAACTTTCATTGCTTTTGTAACGATCTTTATCGATTGATTTGTTTTAATCAAATCAAATAAAGAAGACAACAAATCTTTGTATTCAAAAACAATTGTACCTGAAGCAACCAGGTTTTTGAGGGATTTCAAGGATTGTTCAATCGTCCATGGGTGAACAGGCAATGTCAATATTGTTCCAAGGATGTCAATGATCGGTGCTGCAGGAATAATTTTTGGACACATGATGTGAAGTTTTGTGACACTTTTTATCAAAGATTCATCAATTGTCAACAAAATGGCTGAGTTCATGTAGTTCAATGACCTTTCCTTGATCTCAGTGGACTTGAATCTTTGCCTCAAAAGTGAAATGAACTTTCCAAAAATTGCTTCAGCGTAAACTGGCAAAAATGATCCACAACTCGAAATCAAGTTTGGAAAAACGTGCCACGCCGGTTCAATTTCGGCGGTTACAACGTTAAATTTGAGGATGGTCTGTTTGATTGATGATAAGAGAATATTTCTGATCACAGACTTTTGGAAGATTGGCAAATTTCTTATCAAATAAAAGCATTCTTTTCTTATCTCGATGTCTTCATCGTAAATGAAATTACTCAGAACAGAAAAGATGTCTGGCTGGCTGAGATACCTATATGTACTCTTCTTAAATGATTTCAATGTCCGCATGCGAACACGTGGTGATGGATCTTCAAGGGCAAATTTGACTAGTTTACGTATCGTCGCGAGGGGAATTTCCTCGGGGAAGTCATCGAACAACTTTATACAAGTTTTTGAGATATTTTCTCTGACTTCGATATCTTTGTTCTTTTTAAGCTTGCTGATCAATGAGTTGAACTCTAATGCATCTGTAAATGTGATGTTTTTGATTTTATTTAGTGCTAAAAGTGAATACATAATTCGATCTGTTCTTGTTTGGGTAATTGTCAGCTCTTGACGTATAATTTGTAACATTGTGTACTTAAATAAGGAAAATTCTTGGCCCCATTGTGGATGCGACTTGTTCAAAGCCTTAATAACAAAATGAATTGGCATTGGGACAATAGATTTGTTAAGAATAGTAATAATATTGTCGAGAATAGGTTCAATATTGATATCTGGTGGTAATGACTCTATGATTGCTATAGAAATTTTGAATGTAAAAGGAGGACCAACTGCTGGATTGACAGATTTCATGAAATCATCAAGTCTTTTGATTATTTTGCTAATTTGTCCTTCAATACTATCTGGAAATGCTTTGAAAACTTCAGATAAAGTGCCAATTGTTTTCATTGCATCTTTTCTCGCCCAAACGAATAGCATATTGATTATTCCTTCAATAATCTTTGGATCAACATCTATTTCATTAATGGTTTTCATTTTAGTTAATGCTAAAATTGAATATTCAACAATATTTGTATTTATGTGTTTAAGTAATTGTAAACAATGCGGCTGAATTTGCGTTTCAATGACTGTTTTTGGTAAATATGGTTTGATTTCTAATAAAAAGAGAAGAAGTCGTAAATTTGCTAAAATTTGATCAATTGTTTGTGCATTTGCAAATCCATCTTTGATAATTTTAAGTAAGTATTCTGGCATTTGAGTCATAAGCTCTGCACCTAGTGGTGCACTCTTTGAATCAAAAATATTTTCACAAGTATGAATCAAAATATCTGAAATTTCTAAATCACCAAGTGTTAAACTTTCTGTAATTGTTGTAATAAACTGTGTGTCAAGTGCAAATAAGTGTTCTGGAGCAGTTTTTGATAATTCTTCCCAAATTATTGCAGAAGCGTATCTTGAATCTATATTCATCGTTTGTTTTAATTGTTTTCCACTTTGTTCTACAAGCTCTCTAAGAAATAAATCTCGGTTCTGACCTCGAATTTTTGTAAATTGGCCTAAAACGAGAGTTCCTATTTTAAGCAAAGGTTTGTAGCCTGGTTTGAGCAATCTTTCGATAATTGGTTGATATTGTGGTACAAAATCGTCGAATGGAAATAATTGAATTAAAGCAGTCAAAGAAATCGCTGCGGCAAACTTTTTTCTTTTGTCCGATAATTTTACATATTCATCGATAGATTTCATAATTGAACTTAAAAACGGAGGAACTAAATTTAAATTTGAGTATCTGAATAGTTCTACGATTTTAGATTGGACACTTTTGACGAGATCTGGAAAATCTGGAGGACTCACAGACTCACGTAGCGGGACTGATGCTACAAGAATTTGTGATATTAAATCATCCATGAATTTTGAAACTTTTTATGTAAATATCATTTTGTATAATAGTTTTGTGAGAATCAAATACCATATTTATAAATATCCTTACAGATCATAAAATTTTATGAATTTATTTTGTGTCTTTGATAAATTGATATAAATAAACATTTCATATATACATGGCACGATGGGCGCTACTTTTTTGGCGCCAGCGGCACCGCCCGCGCCTCCGGTGTAGGGTTGTACAAACTGGCACGCCTGCTGGCACACCTTTTTTGGCCAGCTGGCACGATTTTTTTAAAAAACACATTAAAAAAGTCACTTTTTGCCCCATCTAATGAGATTTTTTTTACAATTTTTTTCCCCTTATTTTTCAATTTAGATATGATTTTAAGCTCTCCAAATTGAAGTTTACCTGATGTTTCTTAGTTTTTATGATAATAAAATGTTGCAAAGTTGAGTTTGGATTCAATAAATTTAAGAAAATTTTATTTTACAATGAAATTATAAGAAAGGATGTTTTTATCCTATGTCAAAGAGAATACATTTGTAGATCCCGACTTTTGACATGGTTGAAAATTCCAAAAAAAAATTCAAAATTTAAAAAAAAAATTAAAAAATATAAATATCATGTTAAAAAATGATTTTTGAAATTTTTTTGGAAAAATAGAATGTCATATTTTTATGTTTTATTGCTATTTTTTACGAAATCAATAAAATATTTGTTAATTTGGCTGAGATTATAAATAAAATCTTTCTAAATCTTGCAATTGATTGCTAAAATCTGTTTTATGTATTAATTGGCATTGAGATTCGTTATAAAAGAATGCGAATTATTTTGTATGAGTAAACGTATTTTGTAAAATTTCAAATTCTCTTCTCTCATTACTTACCTTAGATCTCTCGGCTTTTAGCTCTCAGATTTCGCTCATAGAACTCAGGTTTTAGTTATGTACTCATAGATGTATCATTACTGCCCGCAGATCTCTCATTACTACCTTACTAACCAGATCTTAACTCTCCGACCTTACTAACCAGATCTTAACTCTCCGACCTTACTAACCAGATCTTAACTCTCATTACTACCTTACTAACCAGATCTTAACTCTCATTACTACCTTACTAACCAGATCTTAACTCTCATTACTACCTTACTAACCAGATCTTAACTCTCATTACTACCTTACTAACCAGATCTTAACTCTCATTACTACCTTACTAACCAGATCTTAACTCTCATTACTACCTTACTAACCAGATCTTAACTCTCATTACTACCTTACTAACCAGATCTTAACTCTCATTACTACCTTACTAACCAGATCTTAACTCTCATTACTACCTTACTAACCAGATCTTAACTCTCATTACTACCTTACTAACCAGATCTTAACTCTCATTACTACCTTACTAACCAGATCTTAACTCTCATTACTACCTTACTAACCAGATCTTAACTCTCATTACTACCTTACTAACCAGATCTTAACTCTCATTACTACCTTACTAACCAGATCTTAACTCTCATTACTACCTTACTAACCAGATCTTAACTCTCATTACTACCTTACTAACCAGATCTTAACTCTCATTACTACCTTACTAACCAGATCTTAACTCTCATTACTACCTTACTAACCAGATCTTAACTCTCATTACTACCTTACTCATCAGATATCTAATTATTTACATATGATTTCTCACATCTCACTCAAGTCTCATTACTTACCCTATCTTTTTAACCTTTTCTGATAATTACTGAAATAACTAAATCCTTTTTTTAGTTTAATTCTGATATTAAATTTTTAAAATCTCTTTAATTTTTTGAACTACGCCTTTAATTTGTAATTGCCGATTTCACAGATTTGAACCATTTAATAAAATAACATTATTCAACTTAATCATATCAAACATGGTAGTTTGATTTTCAGATCTACATTTTAAAAACCTCTTTATTATCTTGAGTTATACTTTTATTATATAATACCTGAGTTCATAACTGAAAACTCTTAATTAGAGTACAATATTCAACTTAATCATAACAAGATTTGTTGAATTTCAAATTTGATTTATATCTTCCATCACTTAAAACTCTCACAGCTTACAATATAAGCTAAAAAGTATATTTTCATAGTAATAAAATTAATTATTAAATTTTTTACTTTTTCCTTTCCAAAACTAGAAAAAAAGGAAGGGAAAAGAGAAAAAGAAAAAAAAGAAGAGAAAAGAAGAAAAAATAATAATGAGCATATTATATAATTGTGGTCATAGGCCGAGTGGCGTGAAAAGGGTGGAGCCCGAAGGGCGACATCCTTTCCACGCCACGAGGCCCGATTTTTGGCCACTTTTTTGATTTTGGCCGTGTGCCAGCTCCTGGCAGGCGGCCCGCAAAATTGTGCCAGTTTGTACAACCCTACTCCGGTGGCTCTCACTGGTGGGGAGGAGACGATAGAAAAAGATATAAATTTTACTAAAAAAATTGAATTTTGGAAATTCTTTTGATTTTTTTGAATGATGTACGAAGAGATTGAACACATTTTGTACTATGAAATATCGTTATTAATAAATTTACTTCTTAAACATCTATGAAAATCGCAATTTTGAATATTTTTATGATTTTTTTTACCCGATCACTTGCGCCCGCGCCCACTGGGAGGGGCGCTTGTAAAGTATTCAAAAATCAATGTAACATTTCAATTTTTGCTCCCACCTCCCATTGGGAGGGGGGCATATATCTTGTAGCGTTCAAGTTCAAGTGATGAAAGTGCATAAGAAAGCTCCTTAATCATACCAATAGAAACAGCATTAGGGGCGCCAAATGGCGCTCGGTGATGTTTCCCATAAAAGCTTAATTTCAGGTATCCATAATCATAACCTGTCAGACGCAATAATTCATTAGCACACAATCATCGTTTCTCAATCAAGAAACGAAACGCACGATTGATTATGCTGGCCATTAAATTTTCATATCAAATAATTTACTACTTCAAGAAAAATTAAAGACTATCATCAACCAAAGCTTAAAATTCTCAGTGTTTACAACTCTCATACTTCGAATATGCATATTTCCAAAATAGCATGAAAATTTTTTTCATTTGAGCTCATTTTCTTTTGTTCTATTAACTAATACATGCAGTACAAGCTTGTTATACGTATACTTAATAAGTAAGGTCTTAAGGGAAATAATAAAAAACAATTTTGCTATTAATTATATTAAACAATATTTATTTGTAATTTCGTGATAATTATATTTCTTATTACAAAGTAAAGGTATTTGATATAATGTTTGCCTTACAAAAATGTTTCCTTTGTCTTGCCACCATAGGTATTCTATTTTGTCACTTTTTGCGCCTGCCGTGCCATGTATAATTTCATAACAATAAACTTTACTAATATGGTTTATTTCAATTTGAGAGTGGTATCGTAATCTTCACAAATTACGATCAGTGTCAGAATAATTGTTTAAAACTCTTATGAGCTTGACATGAGACTATATGGAATATATTGTTCACTCAGTTAATCACAAAGTATTCCACTAGTAAATAACACTAATAAAGATTTCCATTAAAATACTTCTTTTGTAGAAGAAATCAAAATGGAGATTATCTGCTTCATCATGAAATTTCCATAGCTTGTGAAATTAACTCAAATGGAGCGTGTGCTAAAGACACTGAATATTTATTCGAAATATATTGTAAATTTTTGTCATTTGAGACAAGCTGGAAATTTTTCTGATAGATATTATTGATTTGGGATATTAATGTTTAATGTGAAATAAAAATATCCAGGGCAAAAGGCATTAGTGAAATGTGATATGAAATTGTGAAAGTACCATAGAATATTTTGCGTACTTACACTCAAATTAGGTATTACATTATCATTAAAAAATGGTATCTAAATATTTTGAATTTATTGGTATTGGAATATTTGTGAGGAAGTTGGCAATAGCCTTAAATATTGGCATTTTTCTAGATAACTAATAAGTTATCAATATGGATGTTTCGGAATAATTTATCAGCTCTCACAGAAATACAGTCGTATTTCTGATGCAATAAGTCTTGAATCGCCTGATCAAGAAGTCCATCCTCGTGTTGATATAAATTCCGTTTTATTATGGAATTTCCCAAAGGAATATCATTCAAATTTTTATAAAACACCTGTGCAAAGGAATTTGACTATTACATTTTTGAAGGATTCTTTTCGTATTACTTCAATTAGAATTAAAACTTTCGATGGTTTTAGATTTCCATTAAAATACTTCTTTTGGGGAAGAAATGAAAATGGGGATCATCTAATTCATCATGTAACTTCCTTAATTTGTGAAATTAACTCAAATAGAGAATGCAAGAAAGATACTGAATATTTTTTCGAAATTAAAAGAGAGAAGCGATTCCCATTAAATGCAGTGATCATTGGGAATGATGGGATAGATTCATATGGAACATATTGCAATTCATTAAGAGCTATTGAATTCTATGGAGATATTAGTTCTTTCAATGATATTAGATCTAATATTCCAGCTTATAATTTTATAATTTTTATGGCCTACCAATATTGAATATATAAAATATATATTCAAAAAAAGAAATATTATTTGTTATTATATTTTCTAAAGATATTGAGATCTTTCTTCATTAGAAAAATGAGAAACTTCTCGAAATTGAGCTGGAAGGAAAAATGAAAAAAATGAAATAATCAAAATCTTCAAAAGGGAGCCTTTATCTCCATTCTAATATAAATAATTAACTCGAAATAGATAAACTGATAATCAAACCACCACCAGAAGAGTTTAGTGTTCCAGGAACAGCGTTTACTGTTGATTGGCGTGCACATATATTACCAGAATATATTCATTTCTTCTTAAACCATGCTCATACAGATCTATTGGCAGGTGTAGGATCATTCAGAAGTCCACGTGTTATGCATTGCACACCAATTACAGCCAAAATGGTTGTGTTAAAATAACCAATATTAAATACCAATCTGAATCGATTCTTTCTAATTATTAAATTTTAAAAAAGGAATATATGTGATGAAATAGACGATAGTTAAGAAATAATTGTCACTTTTTAGATAACTAATAAGTTATCAATATGGATGTTTCGGAATAATTTATCAGCTCTCACAGAGATACAGTCGTGTCTTTGATGCAATAAGTCTTGAATCACCTGATCAGCAAAGAAATCATCCTGGTGTTGATATTGGTTCTGTATTATTATGGAATTTCCCAAAGGAATATCATACAAATTTCTATAACACACCTGTGCAAAGGAATTTAACCATTACATTTTTGAAGAATTCTTTTCGTATTAAATCAATACGAATTAAAACTTTTAAAGATTTTAGATTTCCATTAAAATACTTCTTTTGGGGAAGGAACCAAAATGGAGATCATCTACTTCATCATGTAACTTCTATAATTTGTGAAATTAACTCAAATGGAGAATGTGCTAAAGATACTGAATATTTCTTTGAAATTAAAAGAGATAAACGATTTCCATTAAATGCAGTGATTATTGGGAATGAAGGAAAGGATTCATTAGGAACATATTGTAATTCATTAGGAGCCATTGAATTCTATGAAGATATTATTTCCATCGTTAAAAATCGACCTAATAATCCAACTTATAATTTGATAATGTTTATGGTATTTCAAGATTGATTATATAAAATATATATTCTCATATACTTTTCGATTTTATTTTCATAAGGTATTGAGAACTTCTCAAGTAATTAAGGCCATTCTCTATATCAAAAGGAGAAACTTCTCTTATTTAGGCAGTAAGAAAAAATAAAAAAAAAGAAATAATAATGATCTCGTTTATATTGAGCATACATGAAATAAGTAAACTAAACCAGAGTATTATAATATATAAAAGTACATCAATAATAGAACAGCACGTTTACCGAATACACATTATAACCATCAAAACAAGTCATTAATTTGAAAATTTTAGTTAAAAAAAATATAAGTAAAAAATTTCTTTCCTCATCAAATGAGGTTTGGAAACGCATACATAGAATGCATTTATTCTTTCGCTGAGATATACGCATTCAAATATAGATTTCTATCATTCATAATACCATACAAATGATTTTCATTACTTTGATTGGCACGCACATGCATTATCAGAATATATTCATTCTTTCTTAAGACATGTTCATGCAGGTCACTTGGTAGGTGCAGGATCATTCTGAAGTTCGGATGTTATGCAATGCGCGCTAATTATAGCTAAAATGGGTTTGTTAAAATACTCAATATTAAATTCCATTCTGAATCGATTCTTTCTAACTATAAAATTTTGAAAAAGAAATATCTCCTCTATTATTTGTCACTTTTTAGATAACTAATAAGTTATCAATATGGGTGTTTTGGAATAATTTATCAGCTCTCACAGAGATATAGTCATATTTCTGATGCAATACGTCTTGAATCTCCAGATAATGAAAACCATCCACATGTTGATATAAATTCAGTTTTAATTTGGAACGAACCAAAGGCTTATCATACGAATTCATATAGATTCCCGGTACAAAGAAATTTGACTATTACGTTTTTAAAAAAATCTTTTCGCATTCATTCAATTAGAATCAAAACTTTTAAGGATTTTAGATTTCCATTACAATACTTCTTTTGGGGAAGAAATCAAAATGGAGATCATCTAATTCATCATGAAACTTTTATAATTTGTGAAATCAACTCGATTGGAGATTGTGCTAAAGACACTGAATATTTTTTCAAAATTAAAAGAAATAAACGATTCCCAATAAACGCAGTGATTATTGGAAATGATGGGATAGATTCATATGGAACATATTGCAATTCATTAGGAGCTATTGAATTCGATGGAGATATTAATTCTTTCATTAAAAATCGAACTGATATTCTTATTTATAATTTAATAGTATATGTGATATGTCAATATTGAGAATTAACCTATTACTATTCATTAAAGAAACACTTCTGGATTTTATTTTTCTAAATATTGTGAGAGCATATATGCTATATATGAATGACTTCCATCTTAAAAAGGAAAAACTTCTCTATTTTTGTGCAGGAATTATTGATCGGGAATAAATATTTTAAATCTTTGTCATTAGAGACATTTATGAAAAAAATTTTTTCTGATTGATATTAGCTATTTAGTATATTAATATAATGTTAAATAGCCGGGACAAAAGGTGTAAGAGGAGGAACTTCTCTTATTTGAACAGGAAGAAAATAAATGGAAAACTCTACTTCCTCATCAAATGAAGTTTGAAAACATATTCATAGAGTGCTTCATTATAATTTTAGAAGTTTCATAATGAATTAAATCTTACAAATGATTTTATTTAATTATTTTGAATAGCATGCATATGCATTATCATAATATACTCATTCTTTCATAAGCTAGGCCGATATAGATCGCTTAGCTGGTGCAGGATCGTTTATAACCCCACGAGTTATGCATTGCACATGAATTACGGCTAAAATGGTTTTGTTATCCATTATTTAATACCATTCTGAATCGATTCTTTCTGATTATAAAATTTTGAAAAAAAGTATTTTTGTGATGAAATGAACTATATTTCATTAAAAATTGTCACTTTTTATATAAATAATCAATTATCAATACGGATGTTTTGGAATAATCTATCAGCTCTCACAGAAATATAGTCATATTTCTGATGCAATAAGTCTTGAATCACCTGATCAGCAAAGAAATCATCCTGAAGTTAATATTAATTCTGTCTTAATTTGGAACGAACGAATGGTTTATCATTCAAATATATATGAAACACCAGTGAAAAGAAACTTAACCATTACTTTTTTGAAAAATTCTTTTCGTATTAATTCAATAAGAATTAAAACTTTTCACGGTTTTAGATTTCCACTTAAATATTTCTTTTGGGGAAGAAATCAAAATGGAGATTATCTTCTTCATCATGAAACCTCAATAATATGTGAAATTAACTCAAATGGAGCGTGTGCTAAAGACACTGAATATTTATTCGAAATTAGAAGAGAGAAACGATCTCTATTAAGTGCCGTGATTATTGGAAATGATGGAAAAGATTCATATGGAACATATTGTAATTCATTAGGAGCCATAGAATTCTATGTTGATACCAATTCTCTCATTAAAAATCGAACTGAATTTATAACTTATAATTTGATACTATTTGTGATAATTCAATATTGATTTTATGAACTACATATTCATAGAAGAATGGCTTTTCGGTTTTATTTTTCTTAAGATCTTGAGATCTTCTTAAGCAATTAAGACCATTTTTTATATCAGAAGGAGTATCTTCTCTTATCTTGGCAGGAAGAAAAAATGAAAAAAAGAAATAATCTAAATCACTTTTATATGGAGCAGACATGAAATAAGTATAGTAAAATCGAGCAAATAATACTGTCATAAGAATAAATTTGTCATCTCCATATAATAATGATCGGAAAAGACCATTAATTTGAAATTAGTAATTAAAATTTAGTAAAAATTCTCTTTCCTCTTCAAATGAAGTTTAGAAACGCATTAATATAATGCATATATTATTTACAGAAATAATCGCATCCAAATATAAATTTCTAACATTCAAAATATCATACAAATGATTTTCTTTCATTGTCTCTCTTGAAAAGTAGACCCCTATTGCCATTTGAATACTAATAATTAACTCGAAATAGATATTAGATATGAATTTAATTTACATTTTCGATTTTTTCAATAATTTACAAAAAAGTGCCCGTTTAAATTAATGACTTCTAAAAAAAATAAGAAAGAAAAGAAAGAGAAAGTATACAAACCACCACCAGAAGAGTTTAGTGTTCCGGGAACAGCGTTTACTGTTGATTGGCACGCACATACATTACCAGAATATATTCATTCTTTCTTAAGCCATGCTCATACAGATCACTTGGCAGGTGCAGGATCATTCAGAAGTCCACGTGTTATGCATTGCACACCAATTACAGCCAAAATGGTTTTGCTAAAATATCCAAAATTAAATGGCTGTATAGAAACTCATGAAATCGGTAGTACAATTGAAATTGATGGCACAAAAATTACATTTCTAGCAGCAAATCATACACCTGGCAGCGCGATGTTTTTCTTCGAATTGCCAAATGGGAAAAAGATCCTTCATACAGGAGACTTCCGAGCAGAACCAGAAGTTGTTGAGGTTGCTCGAAATTACGGCCCGGTTGATCGATTGTATATGGATTGTACATACGCATGCTCAAAATTACAATTTGTTTCCCGAAAAGACTGCGTAAGTTTCATTATTGAGAAAGTAAAAGAAGCAATGAATAATAATTCATTAGTTGTAATCGGTACATACACAATTGGAAAGGAAGAATTAGTTATTGAAGCTGCAAACGCAACTTGCCAGAAGATATATGCTCCAAAAGCTCGTTTTGAAACATTGCAAGGCCTTATCAACAGTGGATTTGCAAAACCAGAGCTTTTTTCAGAAGATCCTTACTTAACAAGAATTCATCTGCTCCCAATTCAAGAATGCGGTAAAGAAAAGGTATCATTGTATGCAGCTTCGATGGGATTTGACTCTGTTACTGCTATTAGACCATCAGGATGGAACGGAAGGCCATTTTGGCGCTGTCCAACATTTGATATCTACAATGAGATCAAAGTTACCAGTTACGATGTACCATATAGTGACCATTCATCACCAATGGAACTGACTGAGTTCGTAAAAGCTGTAAAACCAGCGAAAGTCATCCCTACAACAACAAAAAACAAAAAAGAGATCGAAAAGATACAAAACTCGTTCCTTCCTTACATGGATAAGGCCAAGGTGAAGGGATTCATTGAATATTATATGTCTCCTCCTCGTCCAAAACTTCCAAAAAAAGATCAACCTGGAATCTCATTGGATATTCCATAGTTGTGATTGTAGTCATTTATGTTCTACTGTATATTGTATAAATATACACTAGAAACCTTTTTGTTTCGTATTCAAGAAAATATTTTATTTTATATTCTTCTTGAATGCTAGAAAAGTTAGATATCGTTGAAATATTATGTTCATATTTGTTTTTGTATGCTTGTTTTTATAAAAATTTGCAAATTTTATATAAATTTTCTTTAAATTGAACATTATAATGGTTTTTGTTATGAAACTATACAATATTTTTACATAATTCTTCTATTTATTCTGAGAGTTCTTTTGTTTTGTTTAAAAACTAATTTGAGTAAATTTCAAATTTCATATTATATCAATATCATTTGTTGCTCGATTATTATCATTATTTTGCTTCAATATGTAGAAAAAGAGATATAAATATCAAAATAATACAATTTTATAAACAAATACAACAAATTCACATTGAAAACATGATAAAATTCATCAATGTTTTATACTTGAAGGTTTTCTTGTCTTGCCTTCTTCATCTTCTCTGCAATTTCGCGTGATTCTTTTTCTTTCTTCATAACTCCTTCAATGAATTCGATAAAGCGGAATTCTTGAGCTGAAAGTTTTGATTTAAGTATAGCTTTATCTGCAGTGATACCTTGTCCGATTCTTCCAATTTCTCTTCTTAAATCTTTTTCGATTTTGATTTGTTCCTTAAGATTTGATATTTCTGTTTCGAGATCTTGAATTTGTTTCTGAGATTCATCTCTCTCTTTAACATTCTTCTCTGTTAATTGGATGACAGTCTTCTTCAGCTCGTTGATTGCTTTGTTCTTCTTATCAACATCGCTCTTATGAACATCTTCTTCCATTCTTAGATGCTCTTTGAGATCATCTATTTGTTGCTTCATCATTTCCAGCAAACTCTGTTTTTCTTGTTCTCCTTTGAGTTTTGCAATGAAAATTGCTGCTTCCAAGCAATCAGTTCCATCATATCCAACGCTGCGTGCTTTAGTAAGTAGAGTTTCAATATTATGCCTGTCTTCTTCTGATTGATTAACAAGAGATTTGATGCTTTGTAAAACAGCATTTGCTTTTGCATCACTAAGAGGAATTTCAATCTTTGAAGGTGTGATTGAAGATGAGAGTGAGATAATAACATCCTTGATGAACTCCTTAGCTAATTCATAATCATCTATAAGCTTTTGAACTGACTGAACAATGGATTGACCTGCTAAAGCTCCGGTCATCTTTGCAATCTGATCAGCTTCTTGCCATAAAATCTTCACGGCTCTCACAGCATCATCAGTATTTAGCATTTTTTCTATTTGAGCAATACTTGAAAGTTTATGAGCAATTTCTGTTGCTCTATTCAAAGCATCGTCATCTCGTGGGTCGATGTTAATTAAACTGCAAATGCTTCTGAGCAAACTTGAAGCCTTCTTCATATCATTCACTTCATTTAATGCATCTTTAATGTTTCCTGCTGAAAGTGCAGATAAAATTGAAGATAAATCAGCTGCTGCATTAGAAAGATGAGACATTTGTGCTTGTAATTGCTTGTTTGCGGAATTTGTTTTCAACAGTTTGTCATTTGCATCTTCAACTGCTTGAGTAAGATTGGATGCGTCGTTTCTCATTGTGTTGAGTTGATTTGAAAGTTGTTCAATTTGTTCATTCAATCTATCATTTGTCTTCTTTTGTTTTCTCAATTCATTTGATAAGTCTTCATTTTGCTGTGTCATCTTTGCAAGTGTTCCTTGTAATTTCTGTGATTCATTCTTATCGACTTCTTTATCAAGAAGCATTGTTGCCATTGATGATTTCGCTTCTTCAATCTTCTTATTCTTCTCGTTAATTTCTTCTTCGAGTTCTTCAACTCTCCACTTGGTTTCATTGAATTCTTTTTGTGTATCGGCGAGAGTCTTTTGAAGATTTTCATTGATCTGTGTCTTTTGTTGGAGATTCTTCTTAAGTTGTTCAAGTTCATCTTGTAACTTAGCATTTTTATCTGTTATTGATGAAATCTGCTGCTTGGAATCGTTCTTTAATTGTGTTAATTGGTTATTTGTGTTTTCTAAATTGGAAGAAAGTTCTTTGATTTTATCTTTCTGGTCTGAAATAACAATTTCTTGATCATTTAAGTTCTTCTGAAGCTTATCAGATTTCTGCTTTTCTTCTTTGATATTATCTTCGAGTTGTTGCTTTAGATCATCGCCATTTGACTTAGTTTGTTCTAACTCTTGAGATTTTTGGTTAAGTTTTTGAGATAAGTTGTTATTCTCTTCTGTCTTTTTATCTAATTTGTTCTGTAAATCATTGATTTTCTCTTTTTGTTCGTTGCCTTCTTGTGTTAAGTTCTTCAGTTTAGTTGAAAGATCACGATTGGTATTTGTTTGATTATTAAGTTTTTCAGTTGTTTCATTACATTCTTTGGTTTTTTCGTCTAAATGATGTGTGAGATCTTCATTTTGTGATTTCTGTTGTTCAAGATCTTTTGTAAGAGATTTGTTCTTATTATTTAACTGCTTCAATTGGCTTTCCAATTCTGCAATTGAAGATTTATGTTCATCATTTTCATGCTGTTGATCATTGAGTTGTTCTTGTAATTTCTTTGATTGTTTTTGAGACTTTAATAATTCTTTCTTGATTTTGTTGAGTTCATCATCCAAAGAAGTATTGTTTTTAATAAGATCTTTATTTCCTTGAATTTGTTCTTGAAGATCTTCATTTAATTGATCATGCTCTCGTTTCATTTGATCAATGACTGATAATGCTTTCATGTTTTTAGATTTCAAATCTTTAATTTCTTTAACCCTAGCTGAAAGCTTATTTGCTAAACTTTCGTTCTCATTGACTTGATTTTGAAGCTCCTTCTGAAGTCTTGGAACATGAGAGTCGTATTTCTTTTGAATTGATTCGTATTTTGCATTTTCAGCAAAGTATTGACTTTGCATGTCTTCGATCTGTTGCTTTAGTGTATAAATTGTATCGCGTGATGATTGTGATGCTTTTGCGAGCATTTTATGAAATTCTGTTTTAAGATTTTGAATCTGAGCTGCAGCATTTGCAGAATCTTTCTGCATTTCACCTACTTTTTGGCTTAATTGAGTAATATCGATTTCAGCATAAATATGATTAGAGTCGTCTTCTATCAAATCATGGAAGAGTACAAGTCGGCGAGTCTTCTTCAATTCCTTAATTGTAGCCTCATATTCGGCATTTGCTTGGCGAAGTGAAGATACTTCTTCTTGTAGTTCGTTAATTTGTGTAATTAAAGTCTGAATGTGTCTCATTCTAGACAAAGCACCAGAATTTTGTGCATCTGAGACAGATAGTATGCGATTTCCTAAGACTTTGATCATTTCGCCATATTCTTCGCGATAAACGTTTTCATAAGCTTGAAGTTTTTCCATTATTTTGGAAATAAATAGTTCACGATCATCTGTTATTATCTGATAAAACAATTCTTCCAATCTTTTTGTAATAAATTGACCTGATGTTTGACTAGAAAGCATTTGCCTTACAATCTTATCGGATGCAACTGCCTGTAATACCTTTTCAAGAGTTGCAATGAAATCTTTTCCACGTTTAGAATATATTCGAGCTATTACTTCTGATGATCTGGATGATTCTTCCGTGGAAATGCTCATTAAGAATTTTTACTGTACGTTAACAAAAAGTGACATTGGATTTCAGCAATTCTAGAATTCTACCTAAATTAAAAAGATTTTATCAATTCTTCGATTGTGAATAGAAAAGCTGTTGCCATAATTAAGGATGTCAATTTGGAAGAAAAGTGAGAAAATTCCTAAAATGCTAAAAATGAATTTTCCAAACGTACTTTTTTATCTCATTTTTTTGATTTTGAAAAAAATTTGGAGAGAAGAACTCTTCGTTTTTGAATTTTGTCACGATGGTTTTAAAGTATATTAGACACATGTATTGATATTACTATTTTTGTATATTTTGAGAGAAAATCCCTAAAAAGTGAGAAAATCTGAGACGGTTTGAGAAAATATATAAACTATTGAAAATTTGAATTAAACTTCTAATTTGGAAAAAAGAAATTTGGAAAGAAGAAAATTCAAAAATCGAGATTTAGACTCAGTATCAAATGGAGAACAAAATGTTTCTTCATATGAAGGAAAAAAATTTTCTTGTGAAGAAATAGAGTTTTTAAAATTTTATTGTATGTAATAAAATAAACAAATATTAAAATTATTTTTTGATAACAAGAAAATTCCCAACAGAAAATATTTGAGACAAAGAAAAAAAGAAAATTGAAAAATATTACTCTCCTTTACATTTCTTGAGATTTTCAATTTATTTTTATAAAATTGACAATTTTATACGTTTAGATGAAAATAAGTGATTTTGCTTGAAATAAAAATTATTGTTTGTTTACAGCTATCAAATAGATTTTTGCAATTTTGATTAAAATTTGTTAATCAAATTAATAATTTTTTTCTAAATATCTTAAATATCTGGATCACTCACTGATACGATGAATTAAACGATAAAAATAATACAAACTCAACTAAGTTTCCTGTCTTTCAACCAAAAAATATTATGCAATTTAAATTAAATTGTTTATTCAAAGATAAAACAAAGATAAAGTAATTATAATTATCATATACTTTATGAATAACTCTCTCATTGGATAAGATTTTCGTACAAATATTTTTATTAATATCGATAAGAATATGTTTACCTACTATCACCATATGTCGATAAACGAGAGTAGAGTGATTTTTATCATCGAAACTTTTTAAAAGCTGCAAGCTGGAAGTAAAAATCTTGTTTTTTTTTCTGAGTTAGTTGTAGAACTATTGATTCCCGAGTTATCATTGTGATGTAGAAGGATGTCAATGTACTGACTGAAGGATATGAAGTGAATTGAATTTCATTGAATTTCAATTTGATCAAATTTGTTGAAATTATATGAATGTGTCAACATCTGTATCACTCTCCTTCACTTCTTCCCTATTTTTTCGAGAACGAAGCTAGCTCAGCTTTCGCTGAGCGAATTGACACTTTTGATGCCCTAAACGTACATACTCTCAAATTTATCGAAAAAAATAATACTACCTAAACTCGTATATTCTTATTTTAAATATGATATTATCCTTAGATTCCACACTAGAATATATTTAAATCAACTTTTAAAAAAGTTCGAATCCTGCGCGTCTCACTTTTTAAATTTTCCAAATGGAAAATTATATTCTCCTAAAACGAAAACAATTTTCCGAATTGACATCCTTACCATAATATTATTTCAAGAAAGTAGGTTTTAGATTTTGGTTGATAGGAGAGAAGTTCCCCAAATGAATAGGAAGTCTTTATATTTGACAAAGGAAATAAAACAACACATCAGTGTCTAAGTTGCTAGGTTAAATATTGATAGGAATTTGCTTCCAAGAATTAATTCTATCTTATTTTATACGTCTTAGCGAATTGCAGTCACTAGTTGTTGCAAGATAATTTCTTGCAGTTTGACAACAGCCTGTGTAATTAAATACAATGGAGCAAATAGGATTACAATTTACCCATTGAGCCATTTTCAGAGCTTTAATCAAAAGTTTGCCTTAATTAATTTACTTGAATCCTACTCCTTAATCTTTGTCACATTCATATCTAGAGATGAAATTGGTATATCTTCTCGAGCTAAATGGTTTTTATTGTATATTAAATAGAAAATAATTTAAAATAAATAACAATATCTATTTAGTTACGCTCTCCGCGGATACGCTGAGCAAGTTGAACATCACGTTCCATGATTGTAACTCTGTTAGCATGGATGGCGCAAAGGTTTGTGTCTTCGAAGAGGCCGACGAGGTAAGCTTCAGAAGCTTCCTGAAGGGCAGCGATAGCGGAGGACTGGAAACGAAGATCACCACGGAAGCCAGAAGCGATTTCTCTGACGAGACGCTGGAATGGGAGCTTACGGATAAGGAGATCTGTGCTCTTCTGGTACTTACGGATTTCACGAAGAGCGACTGTACCTGGGCGGAAACGGTGTTGCTTCTTGGCACCCTGGGAGTCAATTGTTGGTGTTGACTTGCGGGCGGCCTTGGCACCGAGGGATTTACGTGGGGTCTTGCCACCTGTTGACTTTCTAGCTGTCTGCTTTGTACGAGCCATTATCAAGAATAATGAAAAACGGTTGCCCGCCATTTTTCCTTTAAAAATCAGTATTCAAAATATTTTGTCATTTTGGCGCCCGATTATAATTGAATCTAACCGTTTTAGTTATTTCAAATTTATGGGACCCAAAATGGATGTCCGTTAAAATATGGCGGGCATTTTTGAAGGGAGGTATCAAATCATTATTTATAATGTCCGGCCGTGGTAAAGGTGGTAAGGGTCTTGGTAAGGGTGGTGCTAAACGCCATCGTAAAGTAATGCGTGAGAACATCCAGGGTATCACAAAGCCAGCTATCCGTCGTCTTGCTCGTCGTGGTGGTGTCAAGCGTATCTCTGGTGATATCTACGAAGAAGTTCGTGGCGTCCTTCGTCACTTCCTTGAAAACGTCATCCGTGATTCTGTTACATACACAGAACACGCTCGTCGTAAAACAGTTACAGCTATGGATGTTGTCTATGCTCTCAAGCGCCAGGGCAAGACACTCTACGGTTTCTAAGCTATAAATAAATATTGTTATTAATATTTTAATTTACTGATTTTTATGTTTTTCATTCAAATCTTCAATTTGATGAGAAATTATTACGGGTTCAAGTCATTAACGTCAATTTTATGAGGTTTTATAGCATATACTGATTAATTTCTTACTTCCTGGGGCTTCTTATGATACTTTTTCATTCGAAATTTTCCCAAAAAATTTTGAAATTTCATATTTTTATTGAAAATTTGATGATTTTCCTATCATTTTTTGAATTTTGTAAAAAATTTGGAAAAATTAAATAGAGTGAATTATTACTTTTTTGGGATATAAATCGGATTCAACTGCTTTTGAATTAAAATGGGCTAAATAAAATTATTGTTATAGAAATTAGTTAAAATCACAATGTTAAATCTGTCAAATCACGTGAGATGCTTGTATTTATAGCAAAAACCGTAAGGTTGACTAAAAAGGCATTTCACCTTATTAGATATGAAAAAGAAAATTGAACTAGAAATGAAATGTTTAAGAAAACAAAAAGGTTAGTGAAAGGATATCTTGAAACATGTTCAATATGGATCCTAACAGCCAGCATCTAATAAAATCTTGGCAACGTTAAAAACTTGATTCTTAGCCTCAATCTGTGGCTTTCCTCCACCACATACACTAATAACAACAACAGTATTGGTCTTCTTCATATAAACGTTCCACTCATCTTGCATGGCGTGTATGTAATTCTTTGAATATTCCAAAGGGAAAAGCTTTCTTTGATCAAAAGGAATTCCATGCTGGCGGGCAAGAGAGGGATCTTTCAGCATCTTCGACCAATGAATCATGTTTGTGGGTGTAGCAGAGAAGTTATTGGTTTTTGCACACAGTGCCCCTTCTACAGAGATAATAGCAGCTGCGTGCGTTTGCTTTGCGAGTAAATCTACATATGCATCCCAAGACATTTGAAAAAATGATTTTGAATTGAATACATTGAGATACTATTCAATTTTGAGATTTTGCAATCAAATTACCTTACAAACGGATAAATAAAAAAGTTCCTTTTTGCATGTTCTCATAAATAGTAATTTTAATGCCTCAGTTTTTATTTGGCCGTCGTAATCAGATTCAAACCTTTGAAATGCTATATCTTTAAAATAGAATAGTTCATCTAATACGTGGGTTCAAAAATTTTTTGAAACCTTATGAAAATTTTGAAATTCAATAAAATACGATGAATTGTATGATTACCACAATTTAGATTTGTAAATTACGACACCAACAAATACTAAAAATCAAATTTTCAGAAAAATTGGTAAGATTCAATAATGAATTTTTAGTTTTATTCAGAGATTCTAAGGTATTGGAACCAGTTTTAACCATTGAGTCACATATCTACACTAGTCAATGCATTTATTTCATTATATTCTTGAATCTATTTCGAAAATTCATATTTCGGTAATTATATAATCATTGGAATTGAATACCCAGGACCTAATAAAAATCTTAGAGGGAATTGTAATGACATAATTGTTTTGACGATCCTAGCGTTGATGTTACATTACAATTTCTTATCAGACAAAGAATTTTATTAACATATACCATTTATGATGCAAGATAAGCATAATTTGTAGCATTTAAGCTCACTTGATAAGCTTGTTTGAAAATTTCTCATCTTCTAACATAAAATTATATGGATAAACCCAAGACCTGAAATTGCAAACATATGCTAATGCAATCTATAGCAGACTACCCAATTTTTAAATAGCTTGAAATTGTTTGGATTAGATTAGCTGATTTTTATGATTCAATTTCGTTATACACAATGCAGAAGCAGTCAAAAAATTAGAATGTAAAACCAAATACTTAATAAATTTAAAATTTTTAACAAATAGGATATCATAAAACAACAATATATGGTTATTTTCGAGTCTTCCTTGTAACAGAAGCTGCACGTTTCTTTTTTAGCTTTGGAGAAGTTTTACGATGCTCCATATAATATTCTTTTGCTTGTCTATCGCGTTCTTCTTTTTCTTGTTGTTCCTGGAGCTTTAGAAGGGAGACTTGAAGAGCATGCAAATATATTGCAAATTCTTTGGCTCGTGGACCAACAACCTTTAAGTCTTTGGAAATCCAAACTTCGTTATCTGTGCCTTCTGGTTCAAAGTCTCCTAAAGCAAAGGTTGGAATTCTTAAATCTTCATCTTCTTGTTGAGGTTCGGGGAGTGGGATTTCTTCTGGTTCTATAAAAGATGCTTGCTTGCTTTTAGGCTTTGGTTCTCTATTTACAAAGTTTCTTTGATCATTATTTACTAAAAGTTCAACATGAGGAGCGTTTTTACGAATATTATGAGCCATTCTTTCGTCCATTTCTTGATTGTTTGATAAATCTACCAAGAGAATTGGAATATCACCGATAGACTCACCGATTTCAAATAGAGCTCTGGTGGAAAGATTGTTTCCGGCAAATGATAGTTCTGAAATACAATTTATTGTGTATTCTCCTGTTCCCCCACGAAGTGAAGCCATATAGTTTTCATTTCCTTGTTCAGAATGATGATAATTCAATATTGAAATAATAACAGGGAGAGAATCATCAGTCAAACCACAACGATTGCAGCCAAACGCGTAAATTCCTTTCTTCTTTGCAAGTCTTGCTACAACTTGAAATTCTCTATCATATAATGGAACATTATCGAAGTAAATCTTTTTCAATGTACCACATTCTTTCATTAAATCAACTAGTTCAACTAATTCCTCTGTCGTAAAGAATATCGATCTAAAGCATATTTCAGTTAGGGAAGTAGTTTTTGGAAAGATGTGCTTTAGAGCTAATTTCATACTTTTTATTGACTTTGAATTAGCTTTAAAGGCAGAATTTTGTAAAATAACTGGCTCTCCTCTTTGCTTTGGAGCTGAAGATTGATTTGCAGGAAATTCATTTGGATATACCATCTGATATGTATCTAATGAAATGATTAGGGATTCAATATTGCTTTTTCCGCATTTAACCAAGTCTGTTAATACTGTTTCGTAGTCTTTTGCAGGAATTTTCGAAATATCTATGAGTATTTGACCTTTTTGTCCTGTTGAGTACTTAAGGAGGTTATCTTTCTTTGGTTTAGCTTCCTTTTTACTCATAATGAAATGAATAAACGTCTTTTTTCTCAATGTAGACTATTGAATTTAAAATCTATCCGTTTCTAATTCAAATTAAGAATTGATTTCTATAATTTACACGGAATAATTTTTAACCAACTAAAAGATCAAGAAAAATACATTAATTATATAATAAACAAACACATCTTTTTACTCGACAAAGCCAAATGTTGGATAAATCGGAGATTTTTGCAAATCAATTTTTATTTTATTCTCTGAGTGAGTTCCTTTGAGAATAATATTCGCAGAGACAATAGACTTTGTAATGAGATCAGCCTCAGACGAATTAAAGCCTTCTTTAACTAATTCTGCGATGGATGTCTTAGTTTCTGTTAAAATCGCTGAAGCTCGGTATTTATGGTCATCCTGGGTCATACTGAGTGTGACACAGAATTCATCAAAGCTTGGAGCTGTTAAATGCTGAATGTTTTGAACAGGAGAAGCAATTTTTTCGTATAAACTTAATTCATCCATTGTTTCATTAGAAATATCATCAAAAAGATTTTCATTCAGCATGTACTTAAAGAAATGAACCAATCCTGCATAATAACTTGCCATTACGTTACAAATTTTAATATCAAGGCTTCTTTCCTTTTTATACTGCTCAATATCATTTCCTGTTACCTTCTTTTGCTTCTGTTTTCCTTTCTTTGCATTTTTCTGTTTGTGGCTATAAGTTTCGAACGCTTCGCAAATTCTTAATTGATCTTGAGCGGAAAAAGCATTTGCAAGTGTAAAACTCATCATGTAATATACAATATACAGCTCTTCTTTGGTGTAGATATGGCTATATAACCCGGATTTGTAGTTGAAATACAATAATTCAGAAGAAATCGCAATAGACCACAAAACAAAGGACTGCTCTATAATTTTTTGATATTCAATGAGCCCGCATTTCGGTCTATCTTGAGGAGAAACCGTACTTTCATAGATATCATAAAAAATTGCTTGAAAATTACTTAATGTTGATAGGTAGTTATTATAAATCATCGAATGCATGTCCTCAAATGGCATTAGTAGTGATTTGGCAAGCGGAATGAACATTGATAAGAAAATAAATGAAACATCTTCAAATTCATCAGATTGGCAGAAGCATTTTGCTAAACCATATGGTTTCAGGTCATTTTCTAAGAATGTTTTTGATGAAAGTCTTCCAAATAGTAGCAAATCATCGCTTTTTCCTAAAATAATTTGAGCAGCTAAAATTCTTGTAATAAAAAGATGTTCTGAAGATTCATTCCACTTAAATATATTATTCATAAGAGAATAAACACTGTCTGATATCGATATTTGCATAACGCGATGAATATCTGTAATAAAATCAATAACCTTTTGTAATTGTTTCTTGTGATCTAATCGTATTGAATCTACTAACTGATTTATTATCAAATCGAAACATGAAATAGGAATATCTCCTCTTGGTATCGTAATCGTTGGATTAAACTTAAAATTAAGTGGATCCTCTAATAATTTAATTAACTCTAGTTCAAAATCAACTAACATTTGTAAATCAGATGATAATTTGAGACTTCTATATTGAGATTCTAAATCTGAAAGTGGAATTTCTTGTAAACTTAATTTTTCAATATCATACTTTGTTATATATGATGGTGATATATCGTATTCGTTATTGATAATGTTTTCTGCTTTGATAATAGCACTAGTAATGCAATTTAAAATAAATTTCAGATTTTCGTCCGTGTTTTTAGCTTGGTCGAATATCCTAATGAAGTCGATCATGTTCCCTAAACAGTTTTTGCCATCTAATCGTTCAATTTGAAAATCAAATAATATTCTTTGAATTGTTGCGATTACTTCAAATGGTAGTCTTTTACAGGTAATAAATATATCATTAAAAGATAGATTTTGTGATATTTCTTTGCTACTTTCTGATGTTGTTTGCTGCTCTTTATTTTCTTCGATATTCTCTTGGGAATCAGCTTTATCTTCATTCTTATCATATATTATTTCTGATTTTATCATCGCCAAAACAGCATTTCGAAACTCATCCACATTGATTGATTTCCATTCATTCATTTTGATGAGTTCAGTGCTAATATTTTAACAAAATTGGCTAAGGCAACAAACTCATATCATTTATATCATTTCCTCAACTATTTAGATGAAATTTTATACGAAGATTCAAATATGAAAGGAATAACGAGATGGCTTATCTTAACTTTTGAAAAAATAGAGTTTCGTTTTATAATGATAGAGTTTGAAGTCATTAAATAAGATTTCCATCATATTTCCAAATAATATGCCATACCTTTCATAATTGTATTAAACAGATTATGCGCAGTTACATATACCATCAATACGTAATTCATATCAGATAATTCAATATTTTATTCGAATAAAGTAGGGATTAAGAATCACAACTATATTCATTGTGATATCTATACGAAAACATTTATAAGCACCTTTTTATGGTTTAACAAGAGTAAGATTTGTTTCCATCAATTTACAAAAACGTTTATTCTCACATTTTTATTAGAAAACTGATTCACTTAGAATATGAAATCATTATTTCAAGCATAAAAATATCAAATGTAATTAATTGTCACTTTTGTTGCTCAAAATCTCAATTAATAACCGCTAACGTGTTAATTTCCGCTCTGGAACAATGACTTGGGCACAAGTTAGCGAAAGGAAATTCGATAACGAAATCAAGAACACGCCCGAGAATGTTGGTCCTGGCCTCTACGATATTACTCCAGTTTTAGGAAATAAAAGGGCATTGAAAGCTCCATTTGGAGCAAAATCTGATCGTATACTCTTTGTTCCACCAAAAGATCAAGTTCCACCACCAGGCTCTTATAATGTAACATTACTTGATAACGATATAAAAATCACATCCGTTTTTCATTCCGGAACTAAAAGATCATTTTTTGATCCACAGAAAACTCCAGATCCAACTCTCTACTCAAACATTAATCAATGGGGTCAAGTCAAAGCTAAAAAACAGATTTACAAGCGAACAATGCCAAAAAATCGTCCAATGACAACATTTTTTGGACAAAAAGGAATAAAAGGATACACAACAAACAAAAACGGCGATTGGGTTCCCATCAAAGAACCAGAGAGCAAACCAGAAGATTTAGGACCTGGAACTTACGACCCAATTTATAAAGTTGACACTTCGATTAAAGTTTCATTGGATCAGCATGCAGGCCGTGACATTTTCCAAGCAAGAAGCTCACAACCAGGCCCAGGAGAATACAATCCTGATATAGTTAACAAAAGAAAGTTATTACCACAAATCGCAAGGACACTATCTCCTTCTCAACCACAATCAGATGTTGCTGAGTTCATCTCTCCAGCTCCTTGGGTTGACGAATCGTTAGTTGGTCGTCCAACTTCTCAATTCAGATCTGGCGATAAAAGAGATGTATTTCAAGTATCATCAAGTACTCCAGGCCCAGCAACATACTACAGAACATCCAAACTACCTCAGGAATACTACGATAACTCATGTTTCGGAGTTCGTGCCAAACGTAAGTTCCTTGACATTACTAGTGATACTCCAGGCCCAGGAACATACTCTATCCGCGATATACCATCGATGACTAACTCTGCAAAGATCCATTCCCGATTAAATCCAATCAAATCAAACTCAATGGAATTTCCAGGCCCAGGACAGTATAAAACAACCAAATCATTACTCGGAAATACAAACAGACCATCGTCTGTCTTTGCAAGTAAAGTTTCAAGAGTATCTGATCCATCAACTGAAGTTCCTGGCCCAGGAAGGTACACACCGCTCATCACTGACACTAGCAGACAAGTTCCTATCGCAATTTCGGAGAGAACTGGCGGAGAAACTTGGATTAATAGGACACAGATGGAAAATCCGGATCCGACCGCTTATCAAAGTATCCTTCCAACGTCCAATGGAAAGGGAGTTACCATTTCCAAACTGGATAGAGACACAAAAACAGCGGATAATACACCAGGACCTGGCCAGTATAATGTTCTTCATAAGACATTCATCAGGAAATCATTCAACAGTGCAGTTTCAAAGTTGGAAGATGATGAGATGTAATTTTATTAAAAATTTTATTATTTTTTGTTTTGTTTATAAAAAGTAAAGCTTCGGCAGTTTAAACTTATTTTTCATCGAGAAAATTCGAGAGTTTTTTCCTTGTAAAATGCTAATATTATAAAAAATATAAAAAAAATTCCAACAATTTGAGCTAGAACATCAAATTAATAAACTATTTTTAATATATTGTACCAATACATTAACATTCTTAACGTATGTAGGCAATTTTAAACGGTATCGCTAAGAATCAATATTTTGAATAAGATTTATTCAACGATGCGCGACCAATACTGTAAGAAATTGAAACCAGAGAATATCATAGTGAATCAAGAATAAGAAAAGACAAAAGATATCGGATCAGATATCTGATCTAAAAATGTAAAATAATAATGAAAAAAAGCGAAAAAGAAAAGTAAGTTAAATAATTAAACGGATGACTTTAAGTAAATTTCTTAAAGCTGGCCGCAATCTGTGATGACACACTTCTTGCTTGTCTTGCCCTGATCAGAGCCGCACTTTTCGAGGGCCTTGACAACATCCATACCCTCGACGACTTCGCCGAAAACGCAGTGCTTGCCATCGAGCCATGGGCATGGGACTGTTGTGATGAAGAACTGGGAGCCGTTTGTGTTTGGACCAGCGTTAGCCATGGAAAGAAGACCTGGTCTTGTGTGCTTGGCCTTGAAGTTCTCATCAGCGAACTTAGCGCCGTAGATGGATTCACCACCGCAGCCGTTGCCGAGTGTGAAGTCACCACCCTGGATCATGAACTGTGGGATGATACGGTGGAAAGCGCAGCCCTTGTAGTGGAGTGGCTTGCCAGACTTGCCTGTGCCCTTTTCACCTGTGCAAAGGCAGCGGAAGTTCTCGGCTGTCTTTGGAACAATGTCGGAGTAGAGTTCGAAAACAATACGGCCGGCTGGTTGGTTGTTGATTCCAATATCGAAGAAGACACGTGGGCGTGAAGACATTTTTCGAAAGTGCTAAAAGGTGACAAAAGTGAGCTCCCTTCATTTTGAAAGAAATGAACGTTTTGAATTTAAATTGAAAAGGTGTGACCAGATGTGAGATGGGGAAATTTTATACGCTTTTATTTAACCATTATTCAGGATGAAAATTATATGATAAGTGTCAAGATGAACTGGTCGACAGTTTTTTTTATAATTGTTTTATTATTTATCGTTTATTACATCCGCCCATTTTCATCAAAAACTCATAGGCTCGTTTAATTTTTTATACGCTCTTCTTTGAGGATTTTATTTCCGTGAGGTTTCCTAATTTTGATAACAGATTTTACATCAGTTGGATTGCTTGTTGAGATAAAATATTGCCCTAAAATGTCCCGGTTTTGAGCTTTATGGCCAAGAAAACGGGAAAATTTTTTGAATCGTATTCAATTGTTTTCAAAAATTGATCAAATCTAACTGATACTTGAATATTGTTAAGTAATTCATATGAACAGATCATCTCATTATAAAAATGTAAAGATTTTATATATTTTTTATACAATTTTATTCTTTATGATGCTCCCACATATGTTGGAGCAGATAAACAGGCGAAGTGCATTTCTGCTTGCAAAGTGCGCATTTAAATTTCAAGCCATCGAGATCTAATTCACCTCTTGCCTTGAATCCAATCTCAAGTTTCTCCAATTGGGCCCAGAACTCATCAGTAACACCACCAGTTGCTTCCTTCTTTATTGCTATCTTAGACATATCAATAGATTGCTGAGGAGAAGCTGGCGGAGACTTTGCCTGAACAGATTGAGCTTGTGGAGGCGGAGAAGCAACTTTTGGATGCTCCTGGCGCGGCTGCTCTGGCTGTTGTTGCTGCTGAGGTTTCTGTTGGTTTGGTTGGTTCTGTTGGGCTAAATTGGCAGCAAGAAGAGCAGGATTGATATGGAAAGCTGGCTGGGGGCTCTGAACAGGACCATTTGAAGGAGCTTGAGCAAACATTTGAGGACTGAGCGGTCCCATTGGGCTGCTTTGCATTCTGTTGATTGGTGGTGGCAAAGCGAATCCTTGTGGAGTAATTGGGGCTAAATTATGCGGTCCTTGGATAAATTGATTTGGCGGGGCCGGCATTGGACAGAATTGCGGCATTTGAGCTGGCATTGGTTGAAACTGTGGCATAGGATTGAATTGATGGTATACTTGTGGCTGTGGATTGAAGTTTGGAGCGTAATTTGGATACATATTCGGATTTTGCATTCTTGGGTTAAAGTTTGGCATCGGCTGCATAGGATTTGGCATCATTGGTTGCGGAATTCCTGGTGGTGGTGTTTCTTTAAGCTGTCCTTGCTGAAATGCACTATTTCCTTCTAAAAACAAGCAAAATAGGGCAGGATACAAACATACTGTCAAGTATGCAATCACTTTACTTGGGAATGGGTTGCCGCGCTTTGCATTATTTACGATATATTTATTATATTGCTCGAAATAGTCGTAAACTTGGTCAGTGCACTGTGATTTCATTTTAGACAAGAAAGTATTATATTGCTGCGAGCCTTTCGTGACGATGTAAGCGCTTAATTGTATAGAATTACGCGATAGAATTTGTTGTGTTTGCTCAGAAATGTCTAAAATGATAATTTTTGTCCTAGTTAAGCTGCAAAGAGAAGCTTTGACAGAAGGAGCTAAAGGATCTTTCATATCTATTATAGCACAAATTTCGCTAGATACAAATATCAAGTTATTACCGACAGAATCGTATGATATAACTAGTTTCTTGTCATTTAGAACAGGATTTAAGTAGGTATCGATAGTATTTGAATTACTTTTGAGACGAATGAACTTTAGTCTTTGATTTGGCGCTATTTCTATATCTTTTACTTCTTCTAATCCCCATTGCTCTTGAAATATCTCTTCAAGTCTTGGGTCTTGTAAAGAAAATTGTGTTGTTGAAGACATTTTTACAGTATGGAAATAATTCAGTATAATCCGACCAAATAAAAACTATCGTTTACATCTCACCAAATTTCAAAGAATATCGGCGTGGCGCGCCGATAGATGTTGTTTTGGAGTTAAATGTAGAGGAAATGAAAGACAAAGCAAACGAGAATTTAGATAGGACTTTACATTACCAAGTTTCTCATTATAGTGTGAATGCATGAAAACTTTTCGGCTACAAATTAAGATCAACAATGAAAAAACAAAGGATATGAGAATTACTACCCAATCATTGTGATAAGTTTTATAAATGATTTAATTCTTTTATCTTAATTTTCCCAAAATATTACCATTTGTGCATTATCTCATTTGAATGATTTTGATTTCAAGGATGATATTGAATAACAGAGTAAAAAAGAGGCAATATTAAGTTTTAAAATACAAACAAACAAATTTTTATTTTCCTTTTTTGTTTATCAATTCAGGAAGTCCGGCGAAGAAAGGCATGGCAAGTATTTGGCTTGCTGTTGGCCTTTCCTCTGGTTTCCAGCTGAAACATTTCAACAGGAAATCAACAAAGTTCTGGTCATTAAAAAGTTTCATTAAATCTCTCTTTTTCGGTATCAAAATTTCACCTTGTTGCTTTTCCTCTTCTTCTTCCTCTTCTTCTATCATTTCTTCTACTTCTTCCTCGTAATTATCTTCTTCTTCCTCTGTTTCTTTTTGTTCCAAATTCATTGGGATTTCTTCTTCTTTTATTACAATTGTTTCCTGTTTCTTTTTGGTATCTTCAACAGTCATGACAAGCAGATCAGGTTTCTCGCATGAAGAAGCAACTTGTGGAGGTGGTTCTCCTGATATTCTTCGGATTTCGAAGATAATTGATTTCGGATTTTTTCCTTGAATCAAAGGAGTGCCAAGAGCAATGTTTGCAAGTGTTAGAGCTGCATTCCAGATATCTATCTTGTCAGGATATGCTTTGTAAACGAGGATTTCTTCGGGAGTTCTTTCGATTAATCTTTTTGGAGATTTTTTGAACTTTTCGAAGAGATTACATGAACTAAAATCTGCTAATTTGAATGAGGCATGAATTAATGCTGGATCTACTAAGATATTTCTTGAATTTATTTTTCCATGATAAATTTTTTGAGAATGGCAATCATTAAGGGCAGCAAACAAACACTTTCCTACAGAACGTGCTAAATTTAATGAAGCAGCATCTGGTTTCGCTGATAAAATCGAATAAACGTTTCCTCCAAGAACTTCAAGGCACATTATTATATGATTTCTAAATATAAACGAAGAGTAAAGATGTACGATATTCTTTGAGTAACTTAATTTCTTTAAAGCTGGTAATTCAAAGGAAGATGAAGTGCTTGACATGATTTTCACAACAAAATTCCTTCGCATCTTATGATCATATGATAATGTTGTAATTGCATGATCACTCATACCAAGAATTTGCTTTATCTGGTATCTATATGATAAATGATCATCAATTTTAACTTTAAGATTGCCGTTATTATCATCAAACCCTCTATTGTGCGATAATCCTATATGTGGAATAACTTTTTGAGATAGTCTCCCTAGATAATAAATTTCTTTGAATCCAAAAATTTCAGTTAACTCATGAGAAGTTAAAAAGCATGAGTACTGTTGTATTACATCTTGAGGTGACATTGGTGCATTAGGAATTATAGCCGTTTGCCGTACAAGATCGTTTTGTTTTTGAAATCTTGCTGAATTTCTGAATCTTGGTGATGTTGGCTCCTTGATTTTAAATTTAGGTGGTTGAATTCTTACTGATGGTCTTGGTGTTCTCGATGTCATTGCCATCTTTGGCATGGTAACATCGATATACATCAATAAAAATGAATCAAAAGTATATTTGATATATAAATTTATATAAAGTAGGATGTTCTAATCAATATTTTTCTTTAGATTTGTGAATAATTCAGATTTAGTTCAAATATTTATAGGATCTATCTTAGCGAAGCATTTTCTTCATTTACACAATCAGTTTGACTATAGATCCCTCTTCCACATTATAGTCTCGTTGGAAGATATAGAAATTAAAAAACTCAAAGCAATGTTGAAGGTTCATCAATGAAACATAGCCAATCCAATTAGTCAAACATCATACTATGGTTATTTTGGAAATACCTTGTTAAGTTGCTGTTTGTACTCTCCAATAATATCAAATATATTTTTATAATTTGATCTGTAATGCCCTTCTGTAACATTATAGCCCAAAGCTCTTGAGTAAAAAGAAAAATAGTTATTGTTTTTCTATTTTTTTTTTAAAAATACTTTTATTAAATAATATAAATATATATAAATAAAGAAAAATTATTTGGATAATTCATTACGAGATGGATCAAACGTAGCAGCAACTTCTAAAAAAGTGATTGCATGACCAATTCTTTGTTTCTCCGATTCATCAATAACATTCTGCATCAATACCTTAACATTCTTTGTAACAAGTTCTGTCATGGCCTTGAATGACGAAATTGCGTCTTCATTTGTAGATTCATTCAGATTATTCGTCATCATGATCAAACCAATGAACAAACTTGTTGATGTCTCGTATATCATCAAGAAAAGAGGAAGTAAATCAATGTTAAACTTGTTATCTTGGAGGATTTTTCCGAAATGGTCCAAGATTCTCTTAACAATCTCAAAACTCTGGTTCTTATTCTCCGCATTATCAGAAAATCCAGGAATTTCTGTTTCTGGGAAGTCAAATTGAGCATTGAAGATCATTAAGCAGTTTAACAAGGTTTTCCACTGGGAATACTTCTCTTCCTTACTCATGGTAACATCTCTGATATCAGCAAGTGCCTTTTTCATTCTAATAAACACTAATTGCATCAATCCGTTGAAAGCATAAGGATTTTCATGGCTTAGCTCGTTAAAATGGCCATGCATGTTGAAGAGAAGTGTTGTTAAGTAGTTCTGGATCTGATACGATGTCGTTGTTTCGCTCAAGAAGAAATTAATAATTGGAAGATAGGATTTAGCGAAGTTTGCTGCATAATCGTGAGCTATTGGAAGTCCACTTATGAGTTTGAATAATGGTGGCCAGACAAGAGAATTCTTTGGAAGTTTAATTTCCAAAATTGAGTCTAAAATACCAGAATTTGCAAGATCATTGGCTCTGTTGGCTTCATTACACAATACGGAAAGTGCAATAACCAATTTGGAGCCAATTACGTCATCAGAAATTAATAAATGGCAAGCATGAGTTAATAATGCAATTCTCTCTGGATTTTGAAGGAATTGCTGGAAGCAGTTGAGTTTAATTGCAAGGTTTATGAGGCAATCAGCTGCAATTTCAAGTTTGTCGCTTATTAAAATTTGAACACATTTATCAAAGAGTTTTTCAAGCTGGTGGAACTTCAAATTAGGATAGTCAGAGTCAGAATGGTCTGCCCTTAAATCAGCTTGACTATAAACTCTATTTTCTGAAATTCCAAGGCTTGCGTTCAATAACTCTAAAACTGCTGGAGTTTTATGTTTCTTGAGGTACCTGTTGAATGATTTGAGATAGTCTGTATTAACGAAATCCCAGAAACCGCCCGTAAAGTTTGTAATTAAAAGTAATCCGAGTTTAGAAACAGTTGTAATCAAACTTTCTGGGAGATTGTTATTCATTACATTCTTAACTAACTCAATCAACTCCTTATGGTCGTAACTCTTTCCATCTTCATTGAATTTCGGAGAATCTGGGTCAATTAAGGCATAAAGCTTAATATAATCGATGATCGTCGATATATATTGTGTTGTTGCATCAATTACCGACAAGTCTTTGTTAAATTTCTTGAGTTCTTCAACAAATTTTTGGTCGATATCTTCATAATAAAATTTAAGTAAGTCGATATCAACGTAATAATCATCGCCGTACTCATGCCTGTCCTTATGGAACTTAGATAAGTCGATTTCGAGCTTTAATTCTTCGGATATCTCAATTTTTGTAAGAGATAACTTATTAACAACAGAACGGATCATGTTTGTGACTCCTATATCGTCGATTTCTGCCTTCGCTTGGCCGACGTGGGAGCAAAGATAACATAAATGAGCTTGCATCAAGAAAGATTGGGCCAAAATGATATTTGGATCAGGATTCTGGTCATCAAGCTTAATAATCTTCTTTGCCTGGCTCCAGAAGTCAGATTTTGTGTCACTTCCCGCAATTTCCTTTAATGTCTTTGAATTTGCGGACAATTTCCTATACATGTTGGCGATAAGTCTTGATAGACTAAGAAGAAGCCTTGAATCTTCGAATTTTTCGATTTTCTTGGCTTTAATCATTGATTGGAAAATTGATTTCGCCGTGTGTTGGACAAAAGAGAACGCGAAGGCCGGCTGCGTCATCAGTGTGTTGGCTATGAAGTCAAGCATCGAAATATAATGATTTCCACTTGAATCGTCGATCAAATTTCCTTTTGCGATTTGGTTCAAAATTTTCTGTTTTTCTTCAGGGTAATAAGCATCTACGGAGACATCCTTCATCATTGCGGCGATCTTGCAAAGAATTTCGATAATTGAAAGGGAAATTCCGGCCAATTCTTCAGAACTTCCTCCAGGAAGCTGCACGGCCAAGAAACCGATCAATGTAGAGAAGATTCCGCTGACGTCGCTCTTCGTGTTGAAGAATAATTTGCATAAAGGAGAAAGTTCCTTGTTTTTCTCAAGATATCTGGACAAAACGATCTTGAGGAACTTAAGAGTTGATATCTCGCATTCAAGTGGGTAGTTTACGTCAACTCTGTCGACATAAACTTGATCTGTCTGGTTCTGCTGATCGTTGGGGTTAATGGCTGCAGCGGATACTGTTATAAGGGATAACAATGCGGATGAGAAGGTCTCTGACTGATGAATCATGTCACAAAAAGAATCATCAGTATCTAATAAGTCTTTGCAAGCATCTACAAGGGATTTGAGGATCTTCCACTTGTTGTACTTCGATTGGAACTTATGATGGACGATCATATGGAACGTATCTTTCAAAATAAAATTCGTAAAACTTGGAATCTCTTTTACAGGGCTTTTGTACTTGAAATACAAGCTGTTCATGTTCCTGGCCACTGTTATGAAGGCGGCAATGACGCTATCGTCGCTGTTCGTGCTCTGAACAATTTGTTCGAAATTTGAGTAATTCGAGTGTAGTTTCGTATTGATATAGTTGATGGAGTCAACAGGTGCGAGTTCTATTGTGTTGCTGATGATTTTGGCAGCGTATGGAGCTAATTTTGGAGAAGAAAGAAATTCTACAACGTAAGGGAAGATGTTTTGTGCAGAATTAGTATGGTCTGTATAGAATCTGTTAGTAACAAGTCGAATTAATGACTCTTTCACGGTTGTTGACTCAGAATATTTAATAAGTTTGTGGAAAAGGACAAAAGCACAGTATTCAAGACTGTTTTCTGTAATGTTGCTCGAACTGATTAACGATGGAGTGATTAAAGAGAGAAAATCAGAAAATTCTGTATATGGAAGACATTTTCTACGATAAACATTACTTGTTGACACGTGGGACTTTTTCAAATCGTCATTTAATACTCTCTTGACGAGATTTGCTGTAGAAGAGTCTTTGCAAATTGCTTGGAAATATTTGTAAAGTTTTGTGAATTCGTTTTGCCTTCTGCCTCTTCCTGGTAATATAACACGAAACGTTGCCTCTGTAAATGGTGTCGGACGCTCTTTTACGGCAACTTTGCATAATAATGGAAGAATATTCGAACAAATGAAGTTATAATCCGGCGGTGTTTGTGTCTTTATAACAAGATACAAAAGACTTTGTAAATGAATTGAAATAAGTGTGAAAAACTGCTTCGAAAAATTATTATAAGAAATATCAATCCATTTTCCAATAATATCGAATAGATCGTAGTTTTTGAGAGAGAACAATGCAAATTCTCCTGACTTTGGAGAGTTATTATCATCACAAAGCTCTTTTATGTAATGGAAGAAAATAATTGGGGCGTAAGCTTCGTCTGGGAGCTGATTTAATGCGTCGCGGCTGAACTTGAAGAAGGAGAGAATAGCTGCGTATGCGTAACGTAAGTCATCTTTGAGAAAAGAACTTACTTCGATTAAAGCACTGATTGTGAACTTTCCTGGCTCACCGAAATCTCTATAATTATCTGATTTCAACATATCGAGTATTGTATCTACAGGCTTATTGATTATTTTCAAAAATAAAACTTCAAGAAAAATCGGGTGATGAATTGCAGGAGTTCTTTGTAGGATATTCTCAACGGCTGTAATGGCTTGTATTTTATCAATAGAGTATTTTTCTTCAAATTTCTTTTTTTCGTCGTTATCAAGATTGATTTTTGCTTCTCCGGGCTTCATTTCACCGATTTTTGTTAAATTTTGGGATTGTATGAGTATAAGCTTCGAAAGATTGATAGCATTACTGTCATCTTTTTGGATTGGATTATCTATACTTTTAAAAAATTCAAAAAACGGGCTTTGAGAAATAGGCAATTTTGAATACTCCATGAATATTAACCACACACCTATAATTTTTTGGTGGCTATCAAGGATTCCTTCGAGAATTAAAATTGATATTGCTGAAAGTAATGCGGAACGATCATTGAAATCATATGCATGATGAAATTTAGTACTTATTTCATCAAGTGACTGATCATTTGTTTCCAAAATGTTCAGAATTGACTCAGTAATCGTTGAATGATGCATTTTTCTTTGAAAGGTCAAAGATTCCGACGATTATTGACGATATGTCTCCTGCAATTTTAATAAAATTTTCACTATAAAAAGGCTAAATATAGAAATAGCAGACATTGACAAACAAAACCCAAAATAAATAATAGATAAACATAAAAATTATTCCTTGGAATTACCTTAATATTCACATAATTATAGCACATGGAAAAATACTCATCTATTTGAGTTTATATACATGAATCTCAGGTTTTTAATTCTGATAAATTTCGAAAGATTTTTTTTATTATTTTGTTGATATTACAGAGTTTCGTATTTTCATTCTCCTTGAGATAAGTTTATCAATTTCTTTTGAAATGGTTTATTTTACTCGTTATATTTAAATAATGTTTTATTTCATTAAGAATTTGATTCGAATTAATTTTGAAAGTCTTCATTTCTACACTCAAAATGTATATCATTATATGCATGCCGACAAATTAAAGATCTGAAGAGAAATCAATCAGTTCTTCAATAAAGTTAATCTAATTCAAGATCAACATCAATTTTAATATCAAATTTAGCAAAATCTCTATCGAGCAGTATTTACTGTAAGTTCAAACGATTTTTTATACATTTGAGAGGATTGAGAGAATTAATCGTTTAAAGCACTTATTCAATTAAGACTACAATTTATCATTCTCAGTGATTTTTGATATTCGTACAAATTTACCATTTTAAAATGTTCAAGTAAAAAAACAAGACCATTGAAATATTTTCGCATGTGATGTTAATTTTTTTATATTGGATATAAACAAATCTAAATATATTCTATAAATATATTTGAATGATTTTGATCCGAATTTCTTTTAAAAATTTTTGAAATGTCTTTCAAATGTATTATTATATTTGACATTAAGACACTTCAGGAACCCCAGATATAATCAATTATAATGTGATATTTTATTATCATTATTGAATTCAATTCAAATTATAAATGATCACTCATTGATGAAAATAACATAGACATCGAGTATTTACCGAATTATAATAATCATAATTTTTTTCAATCATATTATTGAGTCAAATTCAAACTTCTATTTTTATTTGAAATGAATCATCATGGTTGTTGGGAAGAATTTTACTCCAATATCATACCACACAAAACTTATACACATCAAAGTAAGGCAGTTGATGCCATTGAGTACAATTACTATGTTAGTTTATGCAAATTTCGTTTATTAATAACACAAGGGGCAATTAAGATAATTTCAAATACGTTGGCAACAAAGCTTTTGTGTGATACATCAGAGTTTATAAGTTGTTCAAGATATGGTGGAGAAGGAGGAAGTATTTTATTTAAAGAAAAAGGACAATGCGTTCAAGACAGAATTTATAGCGACGATTCATCTGTTTCTTCAGAATTTACAAAAGGAGTATATAGTTATTCAGAAATTAGCGCGTATGAGAGTTTCAAAAATAAGATAATCTATTCTTCTATTGAAAACGCCGGAAAATCAAACAGACTGGGCTCAGGAACAATTTGTATGGTATCAGGTGGAATTGAAATTCAATCATGCAATGTATCTTCTAGTTACACCTATACAGGTTCTTTATATCACATAAGAAGTTGTGGTTCTAATTCAAATACTACTTTTACTTCTTACAAATCCTCAAACAACGAGAGAGATGCTAGTGCATGTGCAGCCCATCATGATTCACAAAATTCTTTTCTAATTAAATCATGTAATTTAATCGACAATAGGGGTGCATGGATTGTTTATGCGGAAATAGCAAAAGTTCATATGTATGGGTGTAGTCTCATTGATAATATAGCATCAGGGCTTACACTGGTCTGCAGGAAAAGCGGTGATGAATTAATATATGAAAAGTGTTATGGTAATAATTTAATCAGAATTAACAATCTTGTAAGAGTAATTAGTGAAGAACAAAGGAAATTTACAATCAAAAACTCTCAAACAAGAAAATTGAACTGTCCAACAGATCCAATTACTCATGCAAGAATTCAACCATATAATTACAATATATATGTGGGCTCATTTTTAACTTTGGGAATGTTCTAATAGATATATTACGGTTGTTACATGCTTATTTCTATAAATTTTATCAAATTTTTCGAAATATAATTTTATTACATTTCAAAATCAATTTTGTTTAAGAATAAATATAATGAGTATTTTCAAGTTAGCTTTTTCGTTTTTGGGATAACTTAAATCTTATCAGATTTCTTTTGGGGAAGGATAATTGATGTTATTTTCTGATTTATATAATCAAATTAACATACTGGTCTGTAATTTCTAATGTGCAAAGCTTGAAATTAGATATCATACAATTAATGTCACTTATAATACTTCTATTTATTTTGAAATATGCTATGTATCTCTATATCATCTTTTATTTGAAATAGAATGTATTGCCACATGTGCTAAAACACCTAACACGAGTTAAAACTCTTCAATCTAATGCAATCTATGTATTTATAGTGATTCAAATTTTCATATATTAATTGAGTAGTTTACAATTGTCACATTTGGATGAGTGAAAAAAGATCTGGTTCTTCTTCTCATATTTATATGGAAATTAAGAATCCAACAAGCTTGCATATTAATGAATATGAGGTTTTCGTGCCAGTTTCAGAGAAAGGACTCTCAGTTGACCATCCAAAAAATACAAAAACTGGAGAGTTCACTAAAATTAAACCAAAATATCAAGAACCGTACGTATTCCAACCAACTAAAACAAATTCGAAGAAAACAAAGCAGGAAAAACAAGTAATTCAATTGGCCCAAACAGAATCTTTTATTTCCGGTATAACAGCACTAATAAATCGCCGCCTGAAGAAGTCTGGTATCACTATAGACAGTAATGCACGAGAATTAGTTCAAAAAGCAATTTTTTCGTATATTTTACAAATAATTAAAACTTCACACGAAATTTCTCAAGTCAGATTAGATATTGGCGGTGACTCAAATCGTGCCATATCATTTTTACCATCCATTTCTCAATACGCTCTTCAATTTGAAAATTATATGTTAACTTCAGCTCGTGGCTCTCAATTTTCCAAGAGCAAAGAGCTCACAGACTTCTTCAAAGACCATATGCTTAAGTATGCACAGCCAATTCCTCTTCTAAAAGAGCCACAGTCGCAAGAAGGATTTATTACACTATTTCCGATTCAATACAACGCCGAAGAGAATGCTTTGGCACGCCTGATCAATGTTAAGCTTACAAAGAACTCAGAAGATGGAGTTGCTCAGCAATTTAAAGACAAAATTAACAAATACAAATCCCAGTACGATGAAAACAAGCGAAACTTCAAAAACATCAACTTAAATGAACTCAAAAAGAACGAAGAATTCGAAACAAGAAGACAAAACCCTTCAATTTTACCAAGTGACATAATTACGTGCATTCAGATGTATCCTAACTTCGAATTCATTAGTAAGCAGGTGTTATCTCTTTTCCAGCTTGAAGAGTAACTTTTATAATAAAATTTGTTATTTATTATTGATAAAGACATAATTTTTTTTATTCCTTTGAGATATGATATGAACTTTACCTAAAATATGCAAATATATAGTCATCTTTTAAATATATCTTGATCATTTTGATTATAATTGAATATCTCAGTTTAAAATCTAAATTTCATGGCCATTTTACTTCAATTTCACTTATCCACATAATACAGAATATCACTCTGCACCACAATTTGAATTATACATAAAAATTTTAGCTGAAATTCCTAATCCATACTGATATTTCAGATTTTAATAATTGACAACGAGACAAGTTCATTGACTATGACAAAGAAATCACTTCCAACATTGTTGATAAATAAAACACATATAAGCATAAGAACCTAAAAACGTCGCAATCAAAAAAATTCTTACTTTGGAATTTATCTAATACATTCTTTTGTATTCAAGAAATCCCAGCACAAACAGTTCTCATTAAAACATCTGCAAATTTATTTCTTTATCACAAAGAAATTTCAAACTGAAGATGAAGAAATATATTAATCAATTAATCAATTCTAAGGTAATATTTATATTTATTTTTACCGTGTAGCAAGGATATCGTCGACCTTGAGAATCATACGAACAGTTTCACTGGCGAATGTTACAGCGCTCTTTGTTACTAAGTACGGCTGAAGGACCTCTTCCTCTTTCATGTCAGCAGGACCGCAAGCTACGACTGATACACCATAATACATCTTTCCAGAGGAGTGAGCTTCTCTCAACTGTGTCACGACATCGAGTGGAGCGAGACCAGCATTCTCAGCGAGTGTGTAAGGAACAATATCGAGGGAGTCAGCGAATGCTCTGATGCAGTGACCGATTTCTCCACCGATTTCGTCAGCCTTCTTTGCGAGTTTGATGGCGAGTTCCACTTCAGGTGCACCGCCACCAGGGAGGAGGTATCTCTCGTAGACAAGGGAGCGGATGACGCAGAGAGCATCGTGGAGGGATCTCTCGGCTTCTCCAATGATGAGTTCGTTTGAACCACGTAATAAGACTGTAACTGTTTTGGAGACCTTCTTCAAGCCCATGATCTTGATAATTGCGCCTCCAGCTGTTGTGACTTCTTCGACTGTCTCTGCGAAGCCAAGCTTGTCGGCGGAGAGGCCTTCGACGGATGCAATTGGCTGGCAGCCGATTGTACGGCAGACAAAGTCAACTTCCTCGCGGTCGATGTCCTTGACAACGATAATTCCCTTCTTGTTGAGGAAGTGGAGGGCTGTATCGGAAATGGCATCTCTAAGGACGGACTTCTGTAAGAGAATAACGTTGGCGCCGGTCTTTGCAATGGCGTTGACGATATTAAGGATGTATTTGCGCTGTTCACGCTGGACACGGTCCATTTGGGCGTAGTCGTTGAGAATGACTTGGGATTCCATGTCTGTCTTTGGTGGAGAGATCTGGAATTGGATCAAGGCAATCTTAGCGTTGTTGATCTTGCGAGCATCGCCACTCTGGCGCTGGAAATGGTGTGGGAAGACAACACCATCGACAAGCTCACTGTCATCAATAACACCGCCAACACGCTGAACAACGCGGATATCGTTGAGATCGACGTGCTTGCCATCATGAACACGCAAAACGGCATCAACGGCAAGTGGAGCAAGGATGTCGCTCCACTGGGAGGCGAGCTTGGATGAAAGTGATGTACGAGCTGAATCAATTAAGATTTCTCTTTCTTGTTCTGTAAATGTTTCGCCTTGGCCAAATGGAATACGCATCTGGTCGAGGATCTTAATTGCTTCGTCTGTGGCAATGCGGAGAGCGTCTGAAACAAGTGATGGATGAAGCTTGCGTTCGAGTAATGTCTTGCATGCTGAAAGGAAGGCACCGGCAAAGATAACAACAGATGTTGTACCATCGCCTGCGGCAACATCTTGAGCTTGGCTCATGGAGACCATAAGCTTGGCTGCTGGATGTGCAGCGCCCATATGCTTGAGAATTGTAGCACCATCGTTTGTAATAATAACTTCGCCGTTCTTTTCTTGAATAAGTTTATCCATACCGCGTGGACCAAGTGATGAACGAACAGCATCAGCAACACTCTTAGCTGCAAGGATGCAAGACATACGAACGTCTGTTGGACGGTCTTGTCCTTGAAAAGCTGGTGGATTTGTTGCACTAGCAGCAGGTGCAGATTGCTGTGACATCAAAAAAATTACCCGTTTAAAATATTTTTTTTCTCTTCATCTTGCTACTTTGCGAAATAATATGAAAGATATATTATAATAATCATTATAATTTGGTTTTTGCAAGAAAAATCACATGGCCACTTAAATGATCTAGCAGAGCGAAACATGTCCGGACTAAACATAGCTTCATTCAGAATCATTTTTGTATCAGGAATGATCTACATGAATAGTACAGCCATTATTATTGTGTAAAATTCGAAAAATAAATCATTTAATATATATTTTCAACAAATCAATCTATGAAAAAAATTTGAGATTGGAAACTATATATTATCATATGAAAATAACTGATTAAAACTATTTCATGGCAAAATTATTTGGAATTATTAGATCAAAACCAGAGAAATATCATAGTGAGAAAAATGAAAAAAATAAAAATAAAAATGAATGCACCACCCGGGAATCGAACCCGGACCCCCACCTTGGCAAGGTGAAATTCTACCATTAGACCAGCGGTGCTTTACATTTCCTCTTAAAATAATTATGATTTTGTGCATAGTTTAACAATTATTTAGTATTTATTCGATTTATTCTGCGGAACTACTGATTGGGAATAAAAATATGAATAAATAGCATTGACTCTTTTTTTATATGGGTCATACGGTAATAGAACAGCTGAATTTTGATAAGCAAAAACAAATCTCATCAACCAAAACTGGATATATTTATATGCTTTTGATCACATATATGTAGTCAATAATGACATTTTCTATTTCCAAAGAATTCTTTGTTTGTGTGAGTGTAAAATGATATTGAGATTACTTAAGGCTGTACTTACGCCCATCTGACTTTAATTCAAATTTTTGACAACTGGCGTGAAGCGTTATTGAATATTAACCTTAAACATCTTGATTGAAGGCCATGTCATAAGGGCGTAAGTGCAGCCTTAATGATATTCATCAAATCTAAGAAATTTTAAGCCGAGTTTTTAAATTCTACAGCGTTTGATACTATAAGTTAAAAATGGCATTATAACCATTTTTATTCAAAAGATGAAGAAGCTAAACTTAAGAATACTCTCGAATAGCTTATGATAGCGAGAATCTGAACGAAAAATCTATTTAAAAAAATTAAAAATGAATGCACCGCCCGGGAATCGAACCCGGACCCCCACCTTGGCAAGGTGAAATTCTACCATTAGACCAGCGGTGCTTTACATTTCCTCTTAAAATAAATTTTACCAACATAGAAAATTGCCAATTTCTAATTAGATTGTCGAATTAAAAAATATGGGAAATCAACTGTATATCTCTTTCATCAAAGCTAAAACTGACAAGGAGTATCTGTATAGACTTTCTATTAAATGATTTTTTTTTTCATTTTTATCAAATTTCAATCTAATTACAAACATTGTGATAACATATTACCACTCATAGCTATGTGTTATTTGTTAGGAATATGCTTGCAACTTTCTGTCACGCTTTCAAAAGCTAAGCTCTTGGAGTTGAATTTTAATGTTAAGAACTATTTTTTTGAGTTTAAAATTTTGTAATTAGTTTCTAAAAATTAAAAGAATGTTATATTTAAGAATTTCGTCTTTAGAAAAAAAAATGAAGATGATATATTTGAAATATAATGTTAATTAAGCAAATTGAAGTGCATCATTAAGATACACTGTCAGTTTTAGCTTTGATGAAAGAGATATACAGTTGATTTCCCATATTTTTTAATTCGACAATCTAATTAGAAATTGGCAATTTTCTATGTTGGTAAAATTTATTTTAAGAGGAAATGTAAAGCACCGCTGGTCTAATGGTAGAATTTCACCTTGCCAAGGTGGGGGTCCGGGTTCGATTCCCGGGCGGTGCATTCATTTTTATTTTTATCTTTTCATTTTTCTCACTCTTATATTTCTAAAGTATGGACAGATAGCTTTATCGTATATTTACTGAAGAGTGAGCAAAATTTAAACTTTTTTAGCCAAGGATAAGGTATTATAGAATTTATATTACATTAGTATATAGAATCAATTGATAAACTCTTGTGGATATTGAAGTTCATTATTGAAAGTGATTTCTTTGAGTTGACATTTATTGAAAGAGTCTTCCCCTACTGTAATTGGTCCATCTTCAAATGTAATATTTGTTGAATAACATTCTCTGAATTCATTTGTACTTAATGTTTCTGCTTTTTAAAACTCAATCTTAGAAACATGACACTGATATAATGCACTTTCATTGATTGGTTCAAGGTCAGAATTGATTTTTAGTGTTTTCAATTATGCCATTATTGTAAAACAAAATGGACCAAGAATTTTCACTGAACTTGGAAGTTCGATTTCTTCAAGACCACTCGGTGCTGCAATAACTAATGTTTTTGAAGAATCATTATATACATTTGATTTTCCACAATAATATTCACTGAATGTTGAAGTTAAATTCGTCAATGTTTGAGAATATTGAAATACCGGATTTCCAAATATTTGTTATTACAAAGCCATCTTCAGTGTTTCTCGGTACATAATTGATTCCTTTCTCGTTAACAAGAATACCATTTATGTTTTTATATCGATTAAGATCTTACAAGTTAAAACATTTCTCTTCCAATGTAACAATATTTGAAATATTGACTATCTCAAGTATGATAGATGGATTGAATGTATCGGTCTTAACAGTTGAATTTTATGACAATTATGAATGTTATGGTATTATTTTGAAAAAGTATTATCATTATAAAGATTTGATAATTGTAATGATGCATTATGGTAAAACATTATTTAATATAACATTGTTTATTCAAATTTACATTTAGTGTTAAGATTTTGAATTTGTTGTATATTCAAAATTATGGGCCTTGAATTCCTGATTAGTTTAGTGACCTCTATATACATTTAAAAAATTAATATTAAAACTACTTGGTCCAACTTTGAATTAAATTTGAAAATCCATTCCAAGTAACATTTAGAATATACCAGAACTCAGCTTTGCACCATTTCAAAAGTCGTCCTTTCATTTTACAATCGATTCGCAATTGAAAATATATATTGAAAGGTCAACCATTAGTTCAATTAATATTTAGAATCATTTTATAAACACTTTATTGCTAGAGTTTTTAAATTATTCACATAACTATAAATAAACGTTTTATTAAAAATAAAACAAGAATAAATATATTTGAAATAAGGGTTTCGTTTTGCTAAAATTGTCACTTTTATAGCATATTTGTTTTTGGATGTTTTGCGAAACCAAAAAAAAACCATGATATACAATGTGTGTGTAAAGAAAATACTTTATTTACTAGTTAAAAAATCATTTGGTATTGATCAAGTTATTTTTTCTGGATAAGATATTATATGGATAATTGGATAGAAAATACAATTATATAATCTTGTACCTGGTTTAATTAAGCTAATTGTCATCAGAAACTTGTAATTTTTATGAATTTCAGATTTTCTTTTCATTACTGCTTTTCTTAATAGGTCAAGTTCTTATTTACGTTATAAAGTATGATATTTACAAATATCAAGTTATCATGTTTTTTGAGAAATTATGAGAAACAAACAAAAATGAAAAAGATAGGAATAGCAATGAATAGTGATGTGGGTATAGAAAATGTAAGAGATATGAATGCAAAGCAATCAGTATTTAGGATATTGACCATAGATTTCGAAAAAAAAATGCTGCATATTGAGCGAAAACTATGATTATATTAGGCTGTCATTTAAAGCATAATGAAACTATTCCCTTTTCATTTTAATCGAATAAGATAGTAAAGATTTTTGAATTAGCTAGAAACTGATGAGATGTTTTCACAAATCAGATTTTTAATCTCTATAATGCATAATTCACTCAATATCTCAATTTTGATATTGCGAGATATTTTTGCTATCGGTTTCGCAATTTTGACACAATAGCAAGAGGGTTCTATATGCATTATTATCAACGTAGAATCTGAATATCATATCAGAAAATGTCGCAAATCTGACATTTACCCGACAAAATAGCAAAAATAATTGAATACTTTTCGCAAAAACTTTAAAAATCGATAAAAATATGAAATATAGATATTAAAGAGACTTTTTATATAATATTCATAAAGATTTTCCAATAATATGATACCGCAAAATTAAAAAAGTGACGTCTTGAGTGGAGTCAAAGGTCGAAATTGCTAGCTAAATGTTTTTTTAGCGAAATTGCGTATTGTACGTTTTTTTCGCAAAACGAAACCCTTATTTGAAATTAGGAATCACCTACGCAGTCTTCTAAAGTTGAAGTGATATGGGAAAAATTTTGTTTGATGAGGGATATGACAAATTGATTTATCTATTCGCATAGTTTCCAATGAGCAAAATTGACTTTCATTATATATTTCAGTTACAAATGCCTTTGCATTCGAGTCGAATGAATCAGTTTTACACAATATGTTTTCAGAACAATAATTAATCATTATGATCCCTGAATTTGAAAAAGCGAATGAACCTATTCTAACAATATTTTTCGGAATTATAATTGAATAAGGAAATCTACATCCATAAAAAGCAAAATCACCAATTGATGATATATTCCGAAGTATTGAATGATCAAGGTTTCGACAGTTATAAAAACTTTTAATTCCTACAGAAACATTTGCGTTTTGGAAATGAACTGTTCTTAAGCTTGTGCAATTCTCGAAAAGAGAGTTGGATATAGTGGATGAGTTTATAAAGACCGATTCAAGACTGATGAAGTTTGCAAATAAAGAATCTGGATGATAAGATGAATATGATATAATTTCTTTGATTTGATTATTTATATCTAAAATCAATCTTTTGAGATTTTCTACTTTTAATGGTTCAATATTATGAACTACAATCTTTTTGAGGTTTGAACATTGATAGAAAATTCCTCCTTCTACTTTTGATGGTATACTATTAATGATTATCTCTCTAAGATTTAAACAGTTAAGGAATGCATTTGCTGATATTTTATTTAAACTACTATTGAATTCAAATCTTTCAATAGAAGTTTGATAGAAACATTTATCCCCAATTGTTAATTTTTGCATATTCGGATGGAAATTTATTTGACATAAATTATAGCAGCTACCAAACATTTGTGTTTCAAGAACTTCGATCCTTGAATGAAGAGTAACCGACTTCAAGTTCTTACATCCAAGAAAAACATATATCCCGGTTGATGATGCACTGCAGCTATCATCAAATATAGCTGTCATTACATTGGAGTACATAAAAGTTTGTGCGCTTATTGATGTTGTATTTCGCAAAATTATTTCTTGCAAATTACAACTTTGAAATGCACTTTCACCTATTATGTAGGGACCATCTTCAAAGGTTATATTTGTTGCATAACACTCTTTAAATGCCCTCTCTTTTATTTCCGAAACAGTTTTAAAATGTATTTCAGGGACATTGCATTGATAGAATGCTCTTGAATGAATGATTTGTATATCGCTATTGATAATTAATTTTTTCAGTTTTTTCATTCCTGTGAAACAAAATTCTCCAAGATATTTGACAGTGTTTGGAAGATTAATATATTCTAAACCTCCTGCTGCAGCAATTACTGTTTCAAATGAACTATTTTCATAAATAACTGAATTATTAACAAAACCACCAGTTATTGTCAAATTTGTGAGATTTTGAGAATATTGAATTGAGGGATTAGAAATATGTATACTTGAATTAATATGTAAATGATCAGATGTATTTTGTTGAACATAAATAAGTGTTGTTCCATTGAAAATGAATCCATCCTTATCATAAATATTTCCATTTTTTGAAAAGTTTGATATGTATGGACATCCAGCAAAAGAATTTGCTTCTAATACTGCATATTCCGAAATATTAACTGTATGTAGTTTATTAGATGGATTGAAAGCATTTTCTTTAATTATCACATTTGCAGGTATTGTTAATGATGTGATAGATGTGTCAAAAATTGCATATTCCTTTATAGTCAATTTTTTTGGCTCTCTAAACTCAACTGAAAATAAATTTGAATATGAATGTATAGCATAGCTTTCGATTATTTCTAATGTGCTTGGCAAAATTAATTTTTGAATAAAAGTATAAGAGAAACTATTTGATACTAAAGTTTTCAGTTCAGAATCATTCTGAAATTCAACTATGTCTATATGCGAATCGTAAAACGCGCCTGGCTCTATCGACATAACTGTTTTTGGAATGAACAAGCTTGTCATTTTTTTAATGAAATGAAAGGCATGATTTTTAATCGTTGTTACTATGTCTTGAATTGCAACATTTGTTGCAGTTACAGGTACTTTAATAATAGTTTGTTTAGCTTTATTATATAAAATTTGATCTTGAACAACAAAATAATTATTGCTAGATTCAACAGTTATATTCGATAATGATTTACAGAATCTAAAAGCTGTTTCCGAAATATAAACTACGCTTGACGATAAATGACATGACATAAGATTTGGATAGTTGAAAAATGCATTATTTTCTAAATATGTATCACCATTTGTATCAAAAATTACTATTTTAATTAAATCGATAGTAAATATGGATCCAATTTTACCTTCTGTAAGTTTTCCACTTGAACCTATTGTCAATATCCCATCGACAAGACTGAAATCAAGTATCGATTGTGATAGAAAAGCCAAAATAAAGAAGGACATAGAAAAGAATTTTGAATATTTTTTGTGATAATCACAACGCTAATTTCATTCATTTTTTGAATAGTTTACGTGATAGAGAACAGACTGTTTTCCATATAGTAATTATAGTAATCAAATTTATTAGAAATAATTTCTATAATTTCGTGTATGAAACTTGAATTCAAATTTATTTCATTTTTCTTCATTTTACAATATATTTTACTAAGTTTTATAATTGAATTTACCTTTATATTTGAAAGGATAAATCAACATGATTGAATTCATAAATTCAATTTTGAGGGCACTTGAATAATTGAATAGTTGTAAACAATGATTAAGATTTAATTTTTCACGAATCCACTCAGGCATTAATGAAAAGTGTTTCGACCATAAGTCGGAAATTGAATTTCATTCAATTTCCTACTTATTTTGAGAAAAACAAACCATCAATTATAAAAAAAGTATATTATTATCTAATCTTGTGCACTAGTAATTAAAAATTTTGTAAGATGCTTGCCAGTTTTATCATTTGGGAAAAAGTTCTCAACTTCATCTTGGTGTTCTTTTTCCAAGTGAACATAAGTGCATGACATAAATCCAGAGCCTAAAATGCAAAATTACGGCCGAGTTCATGAGCCAATGCATTTTTCATTAATTTTACCTTAATAATGACTTAAATTTTTAGGCATACACAAATGGATATTTTTGCCATTCCCAAATTGAAATCAGACATTTTTTCTCCAGAAAAGTGATCAAATTATAAAAAATTTCCTTTGAAATGAATTTATTTTGATTGGTACTAGCCATATGTCATATGTATACCCAAAACAGCTTTAAAAACACGATGGAATTTTTATTACCTTAACGATAGAAATTGAGAGGATTTTCATCATTGAAGATTTTGGAATCAAAATCATGTATTCTTTCAATGACATATTCAAAAAAATTTTCCGATTTTGCATAAGACATGGCCGAAGTTTTTTTCTTAAGAAAACGGTTTTTGACTTGAATTTATTTTAACAATGGATTTTGCATTAACTCCCGATATTAAGTCTATTTTCCAAAAAGATCTTGTTCTTACAGTAATGAAGCGCAATGCTCAAGCTCTAATTAACATGATTCAGAGCGAATCAAACCTAATAAATACTATTCACCTAGCATTAGCCAATCCTGATGAACTTGGCAAGTCCCTTCCACTATATAAAGGCTGCCTGAACTATATTATCAAAGGGCCCCCTGAAATACGCGAGTATATCGCGTATTCTGCCGAATTCATATTTTGTGTAAACACTTTCATCTCCGAAATTCAACAAAAATCCGAAAAACAGATTGTTGCCTTTCACAATCTTATTTCTTCATTTTTAGATCTTCAAAATCTGAACATTATTTCCAGAATCAATAATCCCTTCCCCTATCTTCTTCCTTTCGTTTCGAAATCATGTATTGGATTCACAGTAACAAAAATTTTACTTTCTTTTACGACAATTCCTTCAGAATACATAGATTCTTTTATAGAATACTTCCCCAAAGAAGATTATGCCATTTATTGGTTCAGATCAGCTCTAAATGAGAAGAAGTCACTAGTTTCACTTGATGACGCCCCAAGATTAGCAGATTGTTTATTATCTCTTGCAATTACGAAACAAAAGTCAATTTTTACCATCCAATGCTACGAAATATGTTGGATACTCAAGAATTTCTCATTAACAAACCAATTACTTGAAGTTTTGCAGAAATATCTTGAAGATCACGATGAAAAGTGCAGTTTTGCCGTCAAACTGTTCAATGACATTTCCATAGACATGGTCTTCGAACTTCCAGAGAACAGCATCTTAAACAACGCCATAATTTCAAATTTCAAACAATTATCAAAAGAAGAGAAAGTTAAAATGGTTGAAGAGTGTGATCTGACCAATAAAATCATATCTCTCAGCCAAAGAAACGAAAGATCTTCAGTTGTTTTCGATCTTGGTGAAAATTTGAATTTACTTGGAAGTTCATCGCCAAAACTACAAAGCCCTGCATGGACACAACTCTGCAAAGAGTTGGTAGCTGTCAAACAGTCGAAATCTCTCTCTCCTTACGGAGGACCAATTAAATCTAAACCAGAAACTACAGAACCTCCAATTTGCAAACCAGCATCTCCTGTAATATCTGGTCTGAATATTTTCAAGGCTGTCAGCTCTCCAATTGTAGGAAGTCCTGTTTATGTTCAATTCGAACCAATTTCAGTTAGATACCAATAAGAAAATCGAATGTTTTGCATCTTATTCAATAACATTTCGGATTTTCTTGTTGGAAAAAACGAAAATTTTCGATTTCCAAAATTATTTTATTGATTTTATTGTTTGGGCTTTATATATATTGTTCTAATGTTATTTTATGTTGTTTTTGTTGGTTTGCGGTAAAAATTATTTGATATTGTTTTGAAATTATTTTTTTTTTTAACAAAAGTATATTGAAGAAAGGATATCTGACTGTAGCTTCTGATTTTTCTTCTAAAAGAATATTCTTTCGATGCAAAATAGGGTTGTTAAAAATATCAAAAATTAGCGTTTTGAAGACACCATGGTGTCTTATAATTTTCCCTTCCTTATTGGCGTGTAGAAATAAATGCGCCAATAGATTGAAGAAGAAGAATTGTTTTTCTCTTAATGAACTTTAATCCTTTTGATATAAGAATATTAAAAACATTAATATAATTTCGATTTCGGAAAATAAATTTCCAAATTTTTTGTCGATTTCGGAAATAGCAGGATCCCGCATCCAACACGCAACAACAAAACACAAAACACACTTTTTGGTTCTTTCATCGTTTTAATCGTAATTTATGTAATACATGATTTGGATAAATTTTACAAAAATAGAACCTATATTATATTCTTTTCAAAGATTCTTGCAAATCATCAAAAATAATTGTATTTTAAAAAACGATCAAATTATCCTTTCATTATTTTAAACTTAAATTAGTTTTTATGATTGACTAAAGCAATCATATTTATTCATCATTAAATAAACAAAAAAATAATATTTGAGAGTTATTTCAAAAAAAAAACACATTGAATTTATTAATTTGTCTCAATTTCAGTATTATAAATTTTTATAATTTCAATATTTTGAAATACACTTTTTAATATTTCAATATTTATGATATTTCAATGTATTAAGTGGTCTCAAATTGAGCTTCTCAAATATAAGTTGGCCTATTCAAATAATAAAATTAAATAATATTTAAAATAATAAATAAAAGTGATTGAGGTCATAGCAAAACGGCTGTTTCAGTCATTAATTCTTAAAAATAAAAAGGGTAAAAACTAAATACAATGGGTAAAATTCAATAGTGTCTGTGCTATCGTTCAATTTGAAGGTGTCTTTTGAAACCGCAAGACACATTGAATTTTTGAATAGTGTATTATGGTTTGACAGACACCAATGAAAAAAATAAAATGATATTTATTTTAAATATATAAGATCCTTATATAAAATATAAATATTTTATCGTTTTATTTTCTTGTTTTAGAAATGTTTTTTATTGAAAAAAACCGCAGCGGTTATGACATCGAGCGAAAGTCACTCAAAACAGCTTAGACATGTCTATTTTGACGGCATTAAATGATTTCATAGGAAATGTCTCAGTTGTTAATTAAGTTCACGTGAGCTTTTATGAATGAAAATAAGTAAAAAAAAGAATTTTCTCAAAAAAAATTGTGTACGCATTGAAATTTTTATCTATAAATTTAGATATGTCATCAATAATATAATATAATTTTAAATTCGTGGAGTACACTTGGGATAATTGAATATGGGCTACCCCATCCCAACCTCTCAAACTTCCTCTGAATTTGGACAAGGTATCCCAATCCCAAAGACCTATCTGAATAAAATGAAATAAGTATATTATATATATTATTTATTTGCTAATAATGAGCATAAATCGCTAAAATTATGAAGAAATTAAAAATTAAAAATTAAAATTAGAAAAAAATGTTGATTTAATGAGAGAATATTGTATAAAAATAGAATTATTAGCTAAAATACGTATTAATTTTATGATATTTCAATCACATTAACGAAAATCGCCCATTTTTAATTCAAATGGGCGGGAAAAAAATAAAATTCCAAAAAAAAAATTGAATTGGGGAAACGATAGGGGACGGGATATAAGAAACCCCATATGTTTGGGAATTTTTCGCATCACTATTTTTTATTGAAAAATCAATAAAACTAACTCCAAAATAAAATTTTTGATTTAAAGACACTATGATGACACCAGGCAAATCTTCCAAGACACCTATCGTCGGGAATCTAACAACCCTAATGCAAAATATCATGAAGATGAAGATTCATTTTGAAATTTATAATAATTCATAACAGCTTAGCAATATCTACATTATTTGTTAACAAATTTTTGATTTCTGATATTTTTCAGATTTTTTTTTTGTAAAGTTACGACATTTTAAAAATGAGTCAAGGTATTACTCTGAATTTCGAATACATTGGTGCTCACATCGATGATTATATTCGAAATGAAAATCTTTTTGATACATTCGAACTCGAAGACATCAAAACAATCATGAAATATTCCAAATTAACCACAACTCAGTTCATTTCTCTTCTCAAACAATCATCACCAACTATCAGCGCCAACAAATTATACAAATGCACACGAAATGCGAAAGTTACAGTCCAAAACATCGACGAGGTCTTTTCAATTCTTAAATCAGTCAAAAAATACATGAAATTCAATATATTTGATGGTATCATTGATTTCTTAGAGGTAAATGATAATGAAATGCGTAAATCTGCAGAAGAAATCACAAAACTTCAAGAACAAATCCAATCAATTCAAATTGAACAGAATCAAACACAAGAAAACATCAATCATTCACAATATCTTTTAACTAAAATCTCATCACTTAAGGCAACTAATGATTTTGATAGTGTTTACCAATTCTTTGAAGAACTTTCTTCTCAAGGCAATCGCAAAATTATTTCAAAGGCTTGTGAAGAAGGACTTTGGAAGAAGACAAATAAGTATGAAGAGAATGTACTTCATGTTGCAAGTGAAAAAGGAAATCTTAATCTTGTCAAATCACTTATCGAATATGGCTGTGATAAAGAAACAAAGGATGATGATGGATGGACACCACTCATTTCTGCATCATTAAATGGTCATCTTGAAGTTGTTAAATATCTTATCTCAGTTGGAGCTGATAAAGAAGCGAAGGATAATGATGGAAATACTGCACTCATTTGGGCATCAAGAGATGGTCATCTTGAAGTTGTTAAATATCTTATCTCTGTTGGATTTGATAAAGAAGCAAAGGATAAGGATGGATGGACTTCACTCATTAAAGCATCATTTAAAGGTCGTCTTGAAGTTGTTGAATATCTTATCTCAGTTGGAGCTGATAAAGATGCAAAGGATAAATATGGAGATACTCCACTCATTTATGCATCAGAATATGGTCATCTTGAAGTTGTTAAATATCTTATCTCAGTTGGAGCTGATAAAGAAGCAAAGAATAATGATGGAGATACTGCACTCTCAAATTCAAGAGGTAAGGTAAGAAAATATCTAATATCTATTGGAGCACAATAATCAAATCAAATAATTATTATACTTTTAAATCTTAATCAAAACATCTAATTTCAATAAGCCCTATCTCTAGATTAAATGTATATTTTCTAGTTTAACTTTTTTAAAGATTACGTATTACAAAATATGATCACATTCCTCAACTTATTATTAATTTTTATTAGAATTATACATTTTACGAAAAAAATTCATGTGAAATATCCAACGTTATGAAATTAAAGTTAATCAAACAATAGTTAGTCATTTTAATTCAATGTACACCAGTTCGTCATAGGATCATGCTTACAAATCATTATTTTTATCAAATCATTTTATTGGTTTGTAATAAAACCTCATCGATTATCGCAAAATACCATATTGTCTTTCTTTCAATACAAGATAATTAAAAATTTTTACTAAAATTTACGATCAAAGAAAATATATTTACAATTTACAAATTTAAAATGAATAGGATATCTTTTTTTGCTTTAAGAGCATCATCGAAGTTCATCGAGTGTACAGAGTCTAAAGTTTGGACAGAAGAATTCGATTCTACAAACGTAATTGAAATTTCCGTTCAAAAATATAATACATCGATTATTTTTCACACAGTAAGTGGGTTTGAAGCACATGTTTATGATAGCTTCGGAGAGTATATAGGTTATATGTCCGATGACTCGCATACAATTGTCAATTTTGGCAATCAAATTGGCTCAATTTTTGTTCATAAAACAGGCGAAACAACAAATGTATGTTTTTCATCAATAATTTACAGTGATTACGACAATGCAAAATATTGTTCCCAATATATTACTACTAATATTGTTGATCATTCGTATAAATTTGGTGGAAGTTTGAGTGATGAACCAGATGTTGCGATCATGAAGGGTAATTTCATATGCGCATGGATTACATCACCGAATGCTGAATCATTTTCGGTCTCAGAAACTCAATTTGAAAAAATTACAATTCCTAATTCAGTTTTATTAATAATAAATGCGTCATCGTCTGTCAATTCGTTAACTACGATTACTCCAACCCTTGTTTCTTCAACGCAAACAACAAATAATTTTTATTCGAGTTATTTCGCTCTCCAGAGCTCATTCATTCGTAACGGTGAAATCATTCGCGATGTTACAGACACGGTCAGTGAGAAAATTACTGTAACAAGCTCAAATCGTGTTATATTGAAATTATCCAACTCATTAGTTGTTTATTTCCATGAGATTTCAGGCGATACCATTGTTTATGATCCCACCGGTTCGAGTATTGCTACTCTAACTACCACACACCCTTCATTTGAGACAGGATATTCATCTGAATACAAAATCATAATTTCCAACATCAATTCTGCCACTGTTTCCTATTCAGCGTTCCTTGTGGATGGTAAGTGCGAATCTACAATCATTAATTCCAAGTATTCATTGATCAATTCGGAGTTTTCAACAAAAACTCTTTGTATCCTTTACCCAGCACAGAATCCGATTACGATCACTTCACCTAGCCACTTATCATTCACTATTTACCGACCAAACGAAAATTTAATCACAAATTCAGAGCTTCTCTTAACAAATACGCGAACATGCATGATCTACATTGCAGACTTAGCAACTACAACCAATGTTAACATCGAAGTTTCTCAAATTACAACAGAAGAAACAATTAAATTTTATTCATTGTTTTATCCAACGTATACATCCACATTAATCGAGCCAGGAGTTCAAACAATCACTTCTACAACTACAACAGTTACAATTGACAAACAACTCGTCTACAATACAGTTGAATTAAAACTTGGTCAAATTTACAAATTGGATTTCACGACAAGTAACTATACATTGTTCTTTACCAACCCATCATCATCAATACACTACGCAATTCTTTCAAACGGCACAAAAATTTACTTTAATCAGTTCATAGATTTCGGAAACAACATTGGCTCTGTTTATTTCCAATTACCATATTGTCCTAATACAGGAACTATTGTTTATTCAGCTGCACAACTTACTACACCTTACAAACTGATAACGAATGAAATGAAACCATTTTCAATAATTAATCCAACACTTTCATCGACTAGAAACATTTCTATGATGTATTCAACAGGATTTAGTTATTGGATTATTTCTGATTCAGTTTTTTCGATAAATATACAATCAAAGCCAGGTATACAACCCGATTACATGGATCTTTATTGGGAAGAAGGCGAAGAACAATCATTTTTAGTTAAAGAAACAAGTCTTTCTTACAAAGCGAAATCATTTTTATTACAAATTAAATTTAATGATATAGAACTTGCTGATTATTATATTATCACATTTTCTAATGATATAAAACCAATATCATCAATTACTTCTTTCTATTACAATCCAAATTCAACAACAGAAATCAATCCTCGTCAATACAAAGAAGAATTAATTACTTATAAAATTTTAAATACATGGAATATTCAAATGTTTACAAACAAAATTAAAACAAAATTTATATTAGATCGTCTACAAGCATCATTTGTTATACATGATAATCAATATAATGGAAAAGCTTATTATTTAAATAATACTTTAATTGGTAATTTTAGTTATGATGAGAATCAATATGGAGCATTCTTTCCTCATGGAGGATACGTTGTTTTAGATTCTAGTCTTGATATAATACATGTTTCATCGATGTTCCCTTATTTGATGGATAAAACATGCCGCAGATTTGGTATTTCTAATATTCCTTATACAACTTTCTCTATATTGAACAAGGATTTGAATTCTAATTTCACTGTTAAATCAGGAATGAATGAAATTACTACATGTTATTGGTTTAGTTTCCCTGATTCAACACCAACAGATATTTCTGCTGAATTGTACATAAGAGACAAAATTTCAGCATTTACAGATAATTCTACATATATAAACACAACAATTCATTCATACGCACAACAGTTTAAATCAATATTCATTGCATTGCAAACAGCTGATAATTCTTATTTCGGATCATTATATGTTTATCATAAATTGAATCAGAGTAAATATGATACAAGATTATCTACTACGTTCCTTGATACAACTGATGGATTCATATTAACAAATAGTAAGTCAGATCCAAAGATAGGATTGACACGATCTAAAACACCAGGAATTTTAGGAATGATTATTTTCTTATGTGTTACTTTTGTTGTTGCTTTGATTGCTTTCATAATAATTCAACTTCGTATGATGATTTCTACAAGAAATCCACATGATGAAAACAGTGATGAGTCTCATGAATCAGTTCCAAACGAAATAAATCAGGAAGAAGACCAAGTTCAGCTGAATTCAGATGATGAACTAAATATAGCAATCCAGAGATCTCTCCAGGACCATCTACATCTAAATGAAATTGATGAAACAATTGGTCCTCAATCTCCTCCTCCTTCAAATGTCGTTGCGGAAAATGTTGAATTAAATAAGAATCAGAACCCATATTCAATAGAGAATATGAATGAACCTGATGACGGAACTCCTGCAACAACAAATCCATTCGAAGCTGATGAATATTAACTTTTTTATTTTTATTATTTTTTTGTATATTAAAATCATATATTTTTTACCTCAATTTATTTTTTCGCCTCATTCAACTAAATTTAACATTGTCTAGCTCATATTTGATCATGTAACGTACGTGAACAAGAGATTTTTTTATTATAAACCAATTTTCCTACGAAAAATCTCCCTTTCTTTTTTCTTCTTCAATTTTGAGTCACACTTTTATTGTGTTTTAATACAGGCGTGAAGTCTGTTAAATATGCAATAAAAGGGTTATTATCTTACCAATGATTATATTTTATTCTAATGCCGAACAGCATTTGAATCAAAAATAATCGTGTTCGAGATAATTTTTTTAATAAGAACGAAACTAAGTTTTGATACTTTCATTTCTGGATAATAAAAGTTAGACATGAAACATTTTATTGTTGATTTGAGCTTTGACGGTTCTTTCTCATCAAAGATAAAATGATATCTTTCAATTACCAAAAATTATCAACACTGTGATAATGACATTATAGTACAAATCATAATAAGTTTAACATCTAAGGTATTAAAATTTTGATTTCGATCTCAAGATATTGAGCATTTTTACTTTTTATATAAATATACATTGGGGAAATGATATTGAAATCGAATACTTTGGATTTATTTTCTAAATTTTTATTTTTTTCAAAAACTACTGCTTTGATTCTCATTTTCATAACTCATACGATCTTAACATTTATTTGCAAATCAATTTCTACCTATAAAATATGTGTGAATTCATACATTTGAAATTTCAATAAGATTGAATGCTTAACCGATTTTTCGAAAATTTCCAGTAGAAAGGCATGCCATATTTCTTTGATCATTTTTCAAAAAAATTTTTAGGTGTGAATTCATACCTCATTTCAATTTTTTTTAAATTATTTACTTCACTTTTAATCAAGTAATGTCAATCCAGCGACGTTTAGCAGACAATCTTGAAACAATGTGGACCAATTTCAATGTAAATGATGTTGCTGTTTGGAGATGCAACAGTAAATCCGACAGAGATAATGTTGTTGACAAATTATGCCGATCATTTTCAGGATTACATACACACTTAGAGAACAACCATATGGTATTCCAAAAGAGAGAAGTTCCTGTATACAAAATTCCAGAGAATTTAACAGATCTTGAAGACATTGCAAAATATGCTGATTTATATTGTACTAGACCAATATCAAAAGCTCTCGGATCAATTGCAATTGCAGAAGATGCAGTAGCTGTTGTTGGTGTTCATTGTGTCTTTGATGGAGGATCATTAAAAGAGAGGTTATCGATTTTGTAATTTAATCGTCGTCGTTATCGATTTTGTAATTTAATCGTTATCGTCTTTTTCTAAACGTGCATTTTTACATTAAAAGCAATGCAACTCCAAAATTAATTGGTATTTAGACTTTAATTAGGTGCAGACAAACGAAATGCAGTCCAAATATTTTGGTGATATATGAATTACATAAATTTAGGGAAATTGAAATTATATCTTTTTAAATTTTTAGGAAAACAGATTTATAGAATTGTTTAAGTCATCAAAATAATGCAGACTTAGGTCAAATTTTCCAAATTTAATCATTTGCAAGACTTTCAAGCGACTTCAAAATGTCGAAATTAAGTCCAAAAATAAATTACGATTACAGTCTATCCTCAATTATTATCACGCTAATTATTGAGTGACCATGCGTTCGTATGTATGTAATACCTTTTAAAAAGGAGATGAGAGAGATAAACTACATTTACAATTTAAATCTGATGTATTTACTTGTTACATTTACAAATGTAAATGTTTCTCGTAATGTTTACATTTTGTAAGTATAACGAATAAAAATGACGCACTTTTTTACAAAGTCAAATTATTGTTCGATTTTCAGCTTGTAAACGATTAATTGTATAAAGCAATTGATATTAGCACGATATAACTGAATAATTCTAATATTGAAATCAAAAGCCCTTAAAATATCATGATATTTTAATTTCATAACAAATCTAGGAGACTATTTGATGAAAACATATCCGATGTGGTTTTGTTGTATTATATAACTTGTTATTGACTTCTTAGCTTTCCAAATTTTTTCGATAATGAGAAAACGAATGAAAAATCAACATTGGTCCATTTAAAATTTGATTTGTTTACATTTTTTTTACTTTTTGAATTTCAATTTATATTTTCCTCAAGAAATACTTTAGATTTTAAGAAACTAAATCTATAATCTACTAAGAAAATATATTAAATCCTATAATACTCAAAGTTTGTGATAAATCAGATCTTTTTTATTTTACTTTTATTATGTTTTGCAAACTTAAGGTCCTCACTAGGTAAAACATAATACTCTTTGAAGTTAAGTATTTTCACAAAGAGAGGACCAACAATATCAAAAGATTGAATAAAGATTTGTATTATTATTTATTTTTAAGAACATGTTTAAGAACCCTCATTATCTCCACGAATATTGCATATTTTTCTATTCTAAGACCACCAAAATTACGTTTTAATATAGAAAATAACATATTTATGTGATGCTAAAGTCGAAGTCCTTAAAAAATTAGTGTTAAACATCCTATTGTTAAATAAATTTTTTAAAAACCTTAATAGGATAAAAAAAAAGAATTTACACTCTCTCACTTTGAAAACGTAGAAAATGCCAATCTATTGGTATACATTTTAGTTTTGTTAAGTTTACAAAACGATTACTCTAGATTTTAAAGATTTATCAAGAATTTAGAGAATATCCTTCTCAAAACAACTTCAATAGCGAAGGATTAGTATTAAATCGGATTTGTAACATAATTATAGTACATTACAATACAATTTCTCCGACTTTTAAATATTTTTGAAATATTTACAAAATATGCTCTTTCTATCATCGATACTTTAATACAGAGCAAATTTAGTAAATGTCATCACGTTATTTTTTCATAAATCGTTTTCGAACTTTTGAAATATTTATTTTAAACCAGTTTTCTACATTTAATATGTGAATTATATCAAAAGTAGATGGGCGATACTTGTAAATCTATTTAAACTATTAGTTTGCTATTATTGAAGAACTTTATAATTTTTTTTTCTTATGTATGGAATTAAAGATAATTTTGCCGATTCCAACTGGTTTTTCTATATGAGTTAAATATGCCAAGTGAAATCGGACTTGCCAATATTGTAAATTGAAGTATGGACTATATATCGATTTTCATTGATTGATGAATAACTCGGAGTAATGTAATTGTTGATAATGAAAAATAGTTTTCAATTGCTGGTAAGGGCCAATGTATGTTCAATAGCTCCGAAAGCAAAAAATGCACGTTTAGAAAAAGACGATAACGATTAAATTACAAAATCGATAACGACGACGATTAAATTACAAAATCAATAATGACCCTCATTAAAATATTTCAATGATCTTATTTGCCAAGATAAAGAGATTCCTGAAATTGGAATAAATCCAGGTGCATATGAACCATTCAGAGAAAAGATGAAAAACACGAACTTTTATATGACACCAGTAGATTGTGATGAAAAAGCAGTTAGATACTCATCAAGAGATGGAAAATATCTTACAAACGTTCCTTTTGCATTGTCTTTCAGAGAGAAAATGAAGATGGAAGATTTTCAAGTTTTTGACAAAAAAGACAAAAAATTGCATGGATTCAGTGAATCTCTCTTCGCATCACAAGTTTTATCAGTCTCTGCTTTAAATGGAAAGTTTGATAAAACAGGTGTTTGGGAAGTTTTTGGCACTCGCCCTTATGCAGAGAAAAATTACAAATTAACTCAAGGCCAGTATTTATCAACTTTCAATGTTTTTGCTGATAACATTACATTGAATGATACTGTCAAAGATTTAATGACACAAATGCGCAAACATATGAATTACCAACTCAAGAGGGGCGCGCCATGGGCATCATTAAATACATATGCAACAAATTATTCTGAAGGAAAAGTTCAAGATGGCTGCTTCACTGTTTTATCTTCTTTGGGAGAATTTAAGATAGGTGGTCCTGTAAAAGACTTTCTTTTCCACTCAACAGCAAACTCCAGTTATTGCTCATTAAATTTGTTCTCATACAATGTTAAATCATCCAAAGATAATATATATAATTTGGTACACACACATACATCGAATTTCTTCAGTTTCAGAGAATCAAAAGCTTTTCTAAAAGGTGTTAAATATGCAGCAACTAAAATTGATTTGAACAGCAAAATTGGTGATGCACTTAATGAAGTAATAGATTATCAAAAACAAGTAATGAAGAAGAATAATACAATTGCAAAAATAGTTAAATTCTAGTTACCTATTTTTGTATTATTAGAATTCATAATATAAATTATTTTTATTTTTTTAAATTTTTATGTTTTTTTCCAATAGATTGCTTGACATTTCTGTGTCAAAATTGCACGGCCACATATCCCTTCATGTTTTGCCATTAACTCTCTACATAATATTGCAATCTTTATAATGTTTCAACTACAGTGAAAAAAGACTGAATTATCTCATTAAGAATGCGCCCTTCTTTGAATCCGATGTTAGATCCAACATCGCTGCAGATGATGTCAAATGTTTCTTCAATTGGCTCTATAACTTACTTTTTCGTGGGTTCGATGAAAATGATCTCCTTTTGCTCTGAAAGAATCAAATGATTTCTCTTTGTCTTATTTCCTTATCAATGATTGTCTCTGGTCCAACAAGACCCTGCCAATTACTACCATCATTCTTCTGGAGCCTTCCAAATCTTGAAATTTCAGCTTAGCGTGTTCTCTAGTCTGAACAGCATTTGATTGTAACAGAGATTTTTGATTTTCAAATTTTTCATGAAAATATTATTGTTTTATGCATTTATGATAGGCCTTAATTTAAACTCTCAAATTATTTGAATAGGCTCTTTGATTTCTCGATCAGATAAATTAGGCATGCTTTAGATAGTAAAAAAAGAGGAATAAAGGCAATTAGGTACTTATTGTTAATGCATTTCTTGAGAGAAAACACTTATATTACGCTTAATTTTTTGGTCATTTAAATTTTATTTCAGAAATTCTACATAATAGATATATTTAAGCCATACAAATTTCATTATAAGGCAATATTGCATGGTTTTATTGCTTAAATGGCCTGCATCTAGCTTTGATGACCACAAGTAACTTTAATCATGACACTCTTATGAATTTTCCATTAAACTATAATAGTTTCTCAATACATTAATACAATTGAAACTCCGTTCATTTATCATAAATCTCTAAACTTCTGATTTCAGTTTCTTTACAAATCTTTATATTTTGAAAGTCAGAAAAAATCGTGAATAAATAATCATCGCCGCATTTGCATCCACTTCTAAAGTTCTTGATATGCCGCGTAAAAGATAGAAAATGTCACTTTTTATATTGGAGGATGTCCACAAGCGAGAAATCTCCACGCGCATCAAGGACACTTAAGTCGACAGGTAAAATGAATTACGTTCGTACTTCTCCAGCTGCCACAACTAAAGCCAATAATTCTAAAAAGAAACAAAAGACCGGATTGAAAATGTCACATACCCAAATCAAGAATGACAAGAGATACAAGAAATATGAAGGTATGGACATCCCTCAACTTAGAGTTGCCAAAGCCGAAGAAATTGAAAAATTGAATTTCGATGAATCCGAATTCATAGAAGCAATAATTCAAATGCTGCAATACAGTGCACCAGTAGATGCTACCACAATTGGAGCCAAATGGCTTACAGAGACATTAGAAGATCTAATTAACGACTATAAGTCCAATCTCGATAAGATTAACAACGAATTCAAGGATAAGGAGCTTGCAATTCGCGAAAACGAGAATACAGTATTTTCCAAAGTCCATGATCGCCACATTTTGGAAATTGAAGAAGTCGAAACCGCAAGAGAAGTTGAACAACTTAATAATGAAACCCTCGTTTGCGGACAAGCGATCGATTTGCAGAAGCAAGCCAAGACATTGGCCAAATCCAACGATTTCAACGGCGCAAGGCAGCAGGCTCGCAAAGCAGAAGAAGTTAATCAGAAATACATCGGCAAAAGGAAAGAAAGCACAGAAAAGAAGTACAACCAGGAGCTTAAGAGACTCCTCAATCTCCAGGAGAAGCAGCTTATGATTCTCTTGAACCGTTTGAACCAATCAATCGATGATAATAACAGAAGCAAAGACAATTCAATTCGCGAGCTCCAAAAGCAATATCAAGTTTTCTACAAGTCACAGCTACAACGTCTCATCGTAGATGGCCAGAAACAACTTCCTTCTACAGAACAGAAATCCAATTTTGTTGTTGATATTAATGTTCAGTACAGAAGAATTATTCTTGATGCAGAAAAGAAATACAACATCCCTCTTAGTTTTCTCCTTTAATTTACTTTCAATTTTTTTATTTATTATTTATTAGTTCTTATTCAAAAGAATTTCTTTTTATATTGCTCTGAATAAATCAATCTTCTTTATCTTTAAATTTTCTTCTTATTTGTCGATAATTTAATTTTTTTATTTTCATTTTTGTTTAAAATCACCAATGATCTATTGGGCATCATACAAAACTTTGTAAAAATTATCAATTCTCTATAACATCTTTCAACCTATAAAATAATATTTGTATCAATTGATGAATGCTGATATTTTTTTTCACTAGTATTAATATACTATCATATTACATATCTTAAAGGTATGAAACACATGGGAAATATTCAATGTTTTCATGGAATTGCCTAATCAAGACAATTATCCACCCATACAACATTACAGTATGCAATAATTGAAGATGTTAACGCTCAAATATCATATATATGAGTTAAAAAAAAATTTATAAATAATTTCATGAAAAATTAATCAAACATAAAAGATTTACGCACACACATAAAACAAAATTATTCAACATCAAGATAAGCGAGAATTCTCTCGGCAATTTCAGCAGTTGCTGATTGAACTGCGTTTGAAAGTTCGGAAATCCTTTCAGGATCAATTTCTTGAACCAATGTTTTAGAAACTTCAGATAAATCTTCAGATCCGGATTTTGCTGCATCTAAAATTTTGATGATTGTGTGACAAATTGCAAGATTTAGCGTTTCGTGATCTATTTCGAGGAGCTCAACTATCCGATGAATAAAATCATACTTCTGGAATAAAAACTCAAGAGTTGTTGTTGTTGCAGTGCAAATTAAATTTGCCAAAGCAATTGTTGCCTCTGTTTTGTATTCCAGCACATTTCCATTCATTAATTTAATAACTAATTCTACTATTCCCTCCGAAATTAGTAATTCATGATTGCTTTCGTAACTAAAATAAATTGCTAAAATTCTACATGAAATTGAAGGAATTATTGGATCTGAATCACTTGAGGAGCATTGCAAATGCTGTTTTATGTTATTTTGTAAGCATCCAAGATCGAAATATTCAGGCATTTCCGCACATAAATAATAAATCAAATCTAGAGTGGATCTGACGATCTCCTGGTCAGAATAACGTATATATTTCAGAAATTTGTGATTGTATTCCGTCACAGAAATGATCGGATTAAGTATTTGAGCGTTATCATTTGCAATAATTGCAAGACCTCTTATAGATTGAGTTAAAAGAGGTGTATAATCGTCTTGATTAATCCATTCCATGTATCTATTGATTAGATCATGTGTGATTTCGTCATCAAAAAGTTTTGGAACGTTAAAATATAATCGAGAAATTGTTGCTAAGCAGCAGCATTCTATTGTAATATACGGATCATTTGACCAAAACCGAGTCAACTCTGAATATTTTGATTCAACGTCTAACAATATTGAAATTAATCCTAATTCTGCGAAAGATTCTGATAATCTTTTGTTGACTAATAGCATATTATCAAAGCATTGTAATATTCGCTGTAAAATTTTAGAATTTCCGGAATTTTGTAGCAATAAAAATAAATCTTCGAATATAAACTGCGGAATTAATTCTAAGAACTCTTCTTTATCACAAGATTGTACAAGTAAAAGGCACACAGTATCAATAATTGCAGAAATTCGTTCGTTCTCAATGTCAGCATTAATGAAATTATGAATTAATGGATAAAACTCTGCTTCACCAAGAATATTCAGGATATTAGTTTTACACGATTTTATAATTTCGTTTATTTTATAAAGAATTTCCTCATATTCAGTAAAATCTTCGTTATTCAGTTGCTGGAGAATTTCTCTTACCACTTCAACTGCATCTTCTGGAGATATTTGTTCGATTTGTCGCTCATCTATCATTTCGGTTATTTTAGATTCGCTCTCACGACATGAATCCTTGATTTCCATTGAATTTTGATTTTTTTAATTTGAATTTATAATAATCGGCATGGAGAAAAAACAAATCACATTGATTCAACTATAATAATTTCCCGTAGTTCTACACCCACACACCATTGTTTCTCTCGAAAATTATAACTAAGAACTCCGTATAGAGAAACAAAACTTCCCTAACTCCGAAACTTTACAAATTAGACCTATTTATAAATAGCAGGGGATTTATAAATATACCCCCTTATTTGGGATTTCCAATTAATTGGAAAAACCGCCCGATTGGAAAAACCGTCGCAATTGGAAATATTGCGAGATTGGAATTTCCAATCTCTCAATTGGAAATTCCAAATAAGTTTTTATTTGGAAATTCCAATTCATTTGGAAATTATAAATAAGATACCTTATTTATGAATACCCTTATGTTTGGAAATATAAGGGCTTTTAGAAATTAGAAAAAAGAAATTTGAAATTGGAAAAACCAGAGTATTTTGATTATACTATAGGTGAATGTAAAAATTTAATTAGTATATATTACATTTAAAAACTATTGCATTTTATCAAATTTTAAATTCAACAAAAATTTTGTTTTGTTTAATAAGAAAAAAAAAAAAAAAAAAAAAGGTAGTGGGGCCTCCAGGCGCGTTGCGCCCTCTAGCCCTGAAGATGTTTAGTATAAATGAAGTTTATATTCGGAGGGCTTCCAGGCGCGTTGCGCCCTCTAGCCCCGAAGATGTTTAGTATAAATGAAGTTTATATTCGGAGGGCCTCCAGGCGCGTTGCGCCCTCTAGCCCTGAAGATGTTTAGTATAATTGAAGTTTTTATTCGGAGGGCTTCCAGGCGCGTTGCGCCCTCTAGCCCATAAGAAATTTTTCCCAAGACCCAAAAGGAGGACCGAACCCCAGCCGACCAACCGTTGACTTTTTTGTAGAGCACTCAAAATAGTATAACTTTGTCCGGACAAGTAAGGGTCTATCGTCGCTACAGGAAAAGTTACAGGCGTTCCAAGGAAGTATACTTTGAGAAGCCTTTTCCCCCTTTTAAAACAAGATAGGACGGTTATTTTACAAAACTGACAACACTTTGACCGAGTAGTTTTTTGTGCTGAACAAAAAGTGTCATATAAACATCTGTCAAAAACCGCTTTTTAACTTCACTTAAAATGCCACGTAAGCTACGTAAGAATATACGTAAGAGGAAGGGAGCATTGAAACATCCAATAGTAAAACTGACACCACAACAACAGTTGCAACAACAAATGATGAATGACCCCACTATGTTGCAACAAATGTCAAGCAACCCTATGCTTTTAAACCGAGTTATTGGTGCACAGAGTGGAGGTTTAAGAGCGGCACTTTTAGCGAAAATGGCAGGCTATGGTGGAGCTGCAGACGGAACAGCTTATAACCCTCAAAGTCAAATGAATTTGAGTTCACTCAAAAATCAAATAACAGATGTCAAAAAGTCAAACATAGACATACAGAAACAAATAAGTGAAAACGAAAAGAAACTAGAATATGACAGACACACAAAGAAACTAAATGAGTTAAACGTAGAGAAAAAGAAGAAAGAAGAACAACTGAAAGAACTAAGTACAGAGGAATATGCGAAAAAAGTGTCAGAAAAAGCAGCAGAAGTAGCAAAAATGGAACAAGATGTTATAAATTTGAAAAACCATACTACTCAATATAAAGTACTGAAAGATGAAGAGATAAAACAAAAAGCCATGAAGACATATATGGATAGCGATGAGTATAAAAAAGAAGTTGAAGCAAATGTAAAGGCAGAAAAACTTTTACAGTTGCAAAACCAAACCGTACAGTATGAAAACTTAGCACAAGAAAGTAAAAATAACGACGCAGCCATGCAAAAGGCAATGAAAAGCGCAGAATATATAAAAGCTAATAATGACTGGTTAGATGCCCAAGCCAACGCTAAAGCAGCCCAACTTATAGGGTCAATAAGGACAAAAATACAAGCGGATGAAGACAGTTCAAATGAAGCTTTAATGAATGCTGACTTTAAGAACGCCTTCGAAGCTCTTCATAGTAAGGTGAAACTAGTGAACGACTTCTCATCTGGAAAGAAACTGAAGTCTGAAGGTTTCGACAAAGAGTTAAAAGAAGTAGCACAAAATATGACGAAAATAACAGATGCAGCAACGAGACAGGCAGTTCAAAGTGCCTATGACTCCGTGAGAGCAGCTGTTGTGGAAAGTCAAGAAAAAGAGTTACAACAGACCAAAACAGACCTAGTAAATGCTTTCTTAAAAACGAAAAGTCAGGTAGGACATTATGCTGCAGATGGAACATATGTGCCAGCTGGTGGAACTTATATACCAGCTGGTGGAACTTATATACTAGCTAGTGGAACTTATATACCACCAAACCCTCCAAGAGAAGCACCTGCACCAGGACTACCTAAAACATTTACATCGTCACATGGACACAGACACAGGCATGCACCAAAACCAACACAACAACCAACAGTTCAAAATCCAGCACAACAACAACCAACACAACAACCAACAGTTCAAAATCCAGCACAACAACAACAACCAACACAACAACCACCTCCACAACCAGCACAGCAACCACCTCCACAACCAGCACAACAACCACAAACAGAGCAAGGACATAAAAGAAGTAGAGAAAAAGGAAACCAAGAATTCTTAAAAATGCTTAAGGAAGATTATGGTTACCCAGATACTATTGACTTTAGTGACAGATATAAAGAAGCTATTAGAAAGTTCAAGGAAGGAAATACTGACCCGAACCTATTTAGCTTTATGGCTCAGCATAAAATCGGATATAATTTCAAACCTGGAAAATACAAGCTCGCTAAGGGATATGATTTAATAGCATATCATCCAAATGACACGGATGAATTTACTCCGAGATATTTGGTGTCAGAGATAAATGATAATTCAACTCTCTTCATGAAACGCGTAAAAAATAGAGACGGAACGAAAGAAGAAAGGCTTATGAATGCGGATGACTTAAATAGGGAACTTGTTAAAAACGGTCTCGGAATATATGAAATGCCAGCAGATGAGGTACAAGAAACTCCACAGGAAGAAGTTCAGATACAACCAGACATGGAAGAAATAGTTCAGCAACAACAGCTAGAAGAGCCTGAAGGAAACGAACAAGTCCCTCCTTTGGAAACTAACTTCACAGAACTAGATGAAGATTTGGAACAGCCGAAAAATCTTGACCCTCAACAAGAGTATGCGGAGAATATGGAATCTGTCCAAGAGTCTAAGAAAAATTCGGCTGACATAGTAGAAGAATATCGAAAAATGTTCGCCGACATACAAAAGACTCCAACACCAGATGAAAATATTCAGCATAGAATGGAAGTACTGAAAGATAATGTACACAAATACAATAATCTTTTTTACTTACGACCATATAACGTTCAATCTTTCGCTGAACTCGGTGAAAATAAAGGGTTAAATTTCAACAAAACATATAGAAATGAAACATTGTTTAAAGTTCATTCAGAACCTAACCAATATGGAAACAAACCTACTTTTGTTTCTGCAGACTATGGAACTACAATGAGATGGGGTCATAAAGCTAATCCGGATAGGTGGTTCATAAACTTACAACCACAATTCCAAGAAGTTGTAGACGCAATGGAAGTGAATGGTGAACCAGATATAGCTGGTATTTTCAGCGCGGCTTTAATGCCATTGAAAGATATGAAACATGCAGATATTTTGGACCAGTATGAAATGAACATGGCTGAAGGAAATATAACACCTGACGTTCTAGAACATTTATCTCAAAGAACTACACAGAACCATAGAGATGGTATATTTGGTGAAGAGTTTAGAAAGAAAGTTAGGGAGAAAGAAGGAAGAGAACCTATTGTACATGACCTTGCAAACGAAAGTTTGCAAAATGTCATAAAAACTTACTTTGCAGACAATGAACCGAGAAGGGATGAATATTTAAGAAAACTCAAATGGACAGTACCAAATGAAATGTTAGTATTGAAAAACATGTTCCATGACAAATAAAACCAACTACAGAAATAAATGACGCAAGACTGAAACGTTGGGTAAAAGCTTTCCCATTCACAAAAGATATTATTGGTTACATGGAAAGAAAACCAGAATGGCTACAAAAACATATATTTGGAAACGAGCTTATTCCATATGGACAAGCTCTGTTTGAAGAGCTTGAACCGGAAACTCAGGAAAGAGTCATGCAAACAATACGCCAAGACTCAAATACAAACTATGACAAAATCTTTCTAGGATATTGGTTACCTGAGATGGGCGACCAGAGCCCAAAGGCAAAAAGGACATGGGAAATTTACAACATACTAGGTGAACATGAGGCAAAGATGCAACAACTTGAAGCAGAGGGCAAGTTACCAAAAGCGACACCAAAGAAGAAGAGAAGAGTAGAACAAAGTGAAAGTAGTGAAGAAGTAACTTCATCTAGTGAAAGTAGTGGCAATGAAGGAAAAAGAAGAGTTAAAAACTCAGTCAGGAAGAAAGTAAAGCTTGGTCCGAGTGGGTTCTATTATGACACATAAATCCAACTATTCTATATTTTTACCCATATGAAATGTACGCCGCTCAGAATATTACGCCAACAGTTTTGGATGCCATGAACGGAAATGTTTCCGAATGGTATAACGAATGCGACAATGCCATTAGAAGGTCAGAAATAGTTCCTGGAACTTACGAATATACAACTGCTGTTTCTTATGGAAACGTAGGTGAGTTTGGAGAAGGTTCTTCAACAACAGTAGATATTGCTTGCGACAGGTTTCATATTATTTCTATTGACAACTCATTCTTATACGTGGAACAAGACATTGAAATAAAACCTTCTGCCAAGTTGTCTGACAAGAAAGGTTGCAATGGAATTTTCTATGTCGGATACCAATATGCTCCAGAAGTTTTCATGGGATATAAGATATATTCTAACTCTGACTTAGTTCAAACAGTAACATGGGCAAACTATGAATGGTTCGCTTTGAGAAACTCAGTACAACCACAAGCTAGAGAACAAACAGACCAGTATGCAAATATTGAGAAAATAAGAAGACTTGACCCTAACGTTCCAGGAGTTTATGTTAACCTTTCTGGTTCAGATGGAACTGCTGCCACTAAAGTAAAACTGAAACTTAGAGTTCCTTTGTCATCTTTCCTCATCTTCAGGTTTTTAAGATACTTGCCAAACTGGGCAGGAAAAATTTCTATCGAACTTACTCCAAGCAAAAATAACTTAGTCATTGCACCAACACAAGACCCATTCACTATTACAGACGTAAAGGGAACAAATCAAACATCATTCGCCGAATTTTGCAAAGACAAAGTTGACTTAGACTTTGGTTTCTCAAACTTCAACAATGAAGTAAACTATTATTTCAATGCTGCTGGAAATGCTTGGGACCCAGTTAAGTTCACATGCGAAAAGTTTGAATGCAAGAGAATAGAAAGCAGACTTGCAGTCTATATGTTGGACCCAGATATTTCAAATGCTTTAGCTGCCAAATATATTGCAGTTCCACTTATGTTCCCTATACACCAAATATCTGTCAAAGACTTTGCAGGTGAAGTTGGAAACCAAAGTGCTGACCCAGGTGCAAGAACAGATATTGCTTTAACAACTGCAATGAAACATGCAGATACTATGTTTGTACTGTTCAGACGAACTATAAATGACTATTCTTGTTTCTACAACCCTGGTATTAAATATCATATAAACATAGATGGCAAATATTATCCAAGAGAAGAATATTCTACAGTTGAGGATATGAGGTCATACAACTTGACATTAGATGCTATGAACTTTAACAACAACTTCACAACAACCATTAACCCTGAAATGCAAAGTTCTATTATGCCATATGTGAAAGTATGGACTCATACAGGAGGTCAAAAAACTCAATATACAAATGGAGACCGTTCAAACTTTTGGCTTGGCATTCCATTTGCTGACTCAGAAGACTTTATGGGTGGTATTTCAACTGTTGGTACTGTACAAATACAATATACTGGTGACAGAGACGGTCCAGATGAATTGAGAGCAAAGAAGTTTACAAAACCAATAGCACTTTTCACTGAAGATGCTCTTTTGAAGATTCGTTCGATGAAACCTGCTGGGGCTCCTCAGATTGGCATAACGACAGCTTCCATCGAGCAGATTTTGGCAGCAGGTCAGTAAGTTGTTCTTGAACTGACTTCTCACCATCGTAAATAGTTATGACACCTGTTTTGACATAATATTGTATTATAAACTTTCCTTTAGTAATATCGGTCAGTTTTGTTGTTATATTTTTGTCTGCTTCAAGAACTTTCACCATTTCAGTTATACCAACTTTCTTTGCTTTATGAAAATATTTAGGTTCAGCAAAGACTGCTATTCTATAACATTTTCCATTGTTTGTGTAAAGAACTATTCTGTCAATGTATTTGTATTGTTTGTGTGTGTAAACTTTGTTTTGCTTCAATTCGAAGAGATACTCGAATACGTCCATATTTTTATTCTAAGTAAAATGTCATTTCCGAAAAATAGAAGCGTAAGTGTTTCAAAAGGTTTAATGGCGGTGGCAGATGTGAAGTTAAATTCACCAACTCAAACAAACAGTCAAAGTGTTATTGTCAATGTCAAAGACAGAGATGTTGAAGTGGGGAAACCATACGAAGACGAAGATGGTATAACAATTGTTCCTGTAAAAGAACAACCAACATATCCTGAAGTTAGCAGAGACTTAAGTTCTGTTGCAGATATTCGAAACGACTACCAACAACTGAAAGACAAACTTCAAACTCAGGAGAAGATTTGTCAAGCTTTAGGTATAATGTTAAACTTAGTCGAACACAACCCTGTAAAAGTGAACTCATATGTCATTGCACCTCATGAAGTTTTGAAAGAACTATTGAAACTTTTGACAGAGGCAGACGATATAAACATCAAAGAAATAGAACCCGACATTAGTTGCTGTGGTGTTTCATATAATGTCATTGACAAGATATACGTTATGAAAGGAGGTGAAACGTTGAACTTAAAATATAGTTTCCCAGACGTTATAAAAATATTTGACGACCACAACATTTCATTAAAATTTATTTGCTAAGTAAAATGTCAAAACTTCTTGAAAGATGTTTGAAGAAAAATAATATAGACTTTATTTCATGTAAAGGACTTTACACACTTTTGAACGATATGAAAGACCCTGTTTTGTTTGTTCGTGTAGACAAAGGAAAGTTCTATGTCTTTACAAAATATTTGAACTTCTTAGACAGAGAACTTCAAGAAACGCCATGTGAAAGTTTAGATGAAGTTCTTCTCCACTTTCAGAAAAACTTTTAAATATATATAAATGGCAGAAGACATAATGGTTTATACTATTACGACTAAAAACCCTGAGTCATATAATTCTATAACAACAAACTTACAAAGTCCTCAAGGACGATATTGTAAACTAACCTTAAACACAATGACGACTAAAGCCTGTTTTGCTCTTTTGACACCAGAAGACTTTATTGTTGTGAATGGTAAAAAATACTCCTTTGAAGATACTTACTCAGATATACCACCAACAGGTTTTGTTGACTTATTTAATACTTTAAGTACGGGTGTAACATGTGCTGCAACTAGAGCAGGTTTCATTATGTTTGGATGTCCGACTGAGTTTACTATAAACGATATGAGCTATAATACAAAACTTATTTCTGGTTTTTACTACCAACAGTTTCCTATAACAGGAAAAGGTGTCATACAAGGAATGTCTATTCCATTGACATTAAGCACACCAATCTTATATATTGTTTCAAACTTAGGTTCAAAGTGTTATTCGAATGTCGACAGAAACTATTATGACCAAAAGATACTTATGCGTATAAACAATACTTTCTCTGCTGGTTTGCCTATTGTTCATTCGAATGCAGAATTTTCAACCTTAGTGAACTCAAACACTTTGGCAAGTATAACGTTGACATTAGTTGACGCAAACTTTGTTCCTGTAAAACTTTTATGTCCTATGTATTTGTCAATGACGGCAGAAAGTTTCGAATTGGAAGATGCAACTGGTGAAAGTATTGTATTACAAGAACAACTTCAACAACAAATAGCTCAAGAACAACAAATGCAACAACAAAGTCAAGAATAAAAAAATATTTTTTTTTATTTTTATAAAAATGTACAGAATAGATGTTTCAGATTTTTATGACTTCCAAGCATTCAGAAATATGTGTCCATTTCGAGACTATAACAAAGCAGTCGAGAATTTGAAACGTTTAGTCATTTATGTCGACTCTGCCCCAGAATGTTATGTTATGAAAGAATGGGATGTTGTCTTTAACAAACCAAGAGCAACAATAGTTTCAGAACAGGAATGTAGACAGAAACTTAAGAAAATAAAAGTCGTACAAGTTGGAATGAAGATGTTAGATGCTTGGGATATCTTATTGTCAAAACTTGAAGATTTTTCAGTTCGTGGTATAAAGTTCTATACACCATCTCCAAACTTCTATTCTATCTTCACTGGATATAAATATGAACAAGTAGAATGGAAAGAAAATATTATAGAAGCTTGGTTAGACCATGTCAAAGAAATTATATGCAATGGAAACGAAAAGGTTTATGAGTATATCTTATGTTGGTTTGCAAACATCTTACAACATCCAAGTGCTAAAAATGAAACTGCTCTCATTATAATTGGAAAACAAGGAACAGGTAAGAACACATTCTTTACAGATATCTTATGCAAACTGTTAGAAGGTTATTCGAACCCTAATATGACAAACTTAGAAAACATCTGCGGTAAATTTAACTCTTCAATAGAGAATATGAAACTTATAGTATGTAACGAACTTCAAAGTATAGATACAACAAAAATTTTGAACTCAGATGCTTTGAAGAGTCTTATAACAGACAAAGTTGGAGTTGTTGAAAGAAAGTATAAAGACCAAAGAGTTTGTGAGAATGTTGCAAACTTCATTATGGTTTCAAACAATGCTGTTCCGATGAAGTTAGAAAGTTCTGACAGAAGATATGTAGTTGTCAGAACGTCAGATTCTCATATGCAAGATACAGAATATTTTGACGACTTAGCAGAAACTTTGACACCTGAGTTTTACAACCACTTGTTCTCATATTTCATGACATTAGATATTTCTAAGTTCAATCCAAGACAAATTCCACATACCGAAGAGAGACAAACATTGTTAGAAGCAAACAAGAGTGTATATGAACTGTTCATAGATGAAACTGACTTTGAGTGTTTAGATGAAAGGTCATTGTACGATTCGTATAAACAATATTGTCAAGAATATGGTTATATGACAGCGTCTAAACGAACATTCTTGGCAAATGTCAAAAGTCTTTTAGACGTACAGAATGGTGTATATACAAAGAAAAATTTTTCTGAGTAAATTTTAAAAAAATATTTTTTTTATCCGATAGAAAAGATGACAAAATTCATCTCAGTAAACAAGTACATGTCAGGACTTAAAGAAGAACTAGACCCATTCACATATTTGAATGTTTACTTCTACCATTTTGAAAAGTCTTCATTCAGCAAAGTTTGGAACATCGAACCAGTTAAGTTTGCTATTGTGACTAAAAATGGTGCGAAATTTGAAGACTTAGACATAGAAGGTTTGTTAACAGTCAAAGAAAGTTTTGACAGAAGGTTCTCAAACCTTAAAGAAGGCAAAGCATACAAACTTGTTATACCTTATGAACCAAAGAAGACAGACGACTATGAATATTATGAGTCTAAAGTTGTAGAAGTTCAAGGTAAATTGGGTAAAAAGATTTTAGAGTCTAAGCCGGTGTTTGCTCCTAAAGAGGAAGAGAACATTGACATTGACCCAGAAATGTTCTAAAAATAAAATTTTATTTTTACATGTCAAATTTCTTCTTCGGTGGAACTGGCTCTGGTTCAGGTTCTTTCTTCTCTTCTTCTACTTTCTTTCTTTATTTCTCTCTTCTTCTTTTCTGGTGGAGTTATGTCAAATTTCTCCGAACCATATTTTTGTAAAAGTTCTTTGTCCTTTAATAGCTCTTCTATTCTGTTTTCTATTTCATCTTCAAGAACAGCGCATGTGTCTTCTTTGCATTCTAAGAAGTTTTGTTGGACTTCATCTTTCCAAGAGGCGTCATCTCTGTCAACAAGTCTGTCATTGACAAATTTTAAGACTGCTCTGCTTAATGTTTTATGGTTCTTGTCATATTCCCAGAAACAGAACTTTAGAACAAATTCACCTTTCTTGTTTACACTATGTAAGATTTTATGGTCGACAGATGTTTTGCTGTCGAAAAGCTTGTCTCGAATATAGATAGCGAAATCGCTAGACATTTTCTAAAAGATAAAAATTTTAATTTTTCTAAAAATATGTTAGAAAAAAAGTTTGCTGACATTGACAAAAAATTTGAGAATGTTTTAAATAAGAACAAGAGGAAGTTGGAAAATGCTCAGATAAAGCCTATACATGACAAGTTCTTATTTGCTCAGAATGGTATAACAGGTCTAATTGCACCACCTGGGTCTGGTAAGACTTTCACTTATCTTAAAATGGCTGCACAACAACAAGAACTAGATGAGAAGAACCCATTCTATGAGTTAGTTGTTATTTGTAGTACTTCGGTCAATTTGACCAAACCGTCAATTCGTTCAAAGATATTATAAAGAAGTCTAAGTTAGTATGTATAAAGGATACTGAGTTGTTAGATTGGATAAAGAAGTACCAAAGAAGAGTTTTGAAGTATAATGCTATAAATGAGTATGTCAATTCGAAGTTTAAAGACCCAAATGAGGAAATGCAGAGAATATTAGAGAAGAAACACTTCAGAAACAAACAGAAAGAGATAGAATACATTTCGAAGAAATTGCAATCTTACGATTGGAAGACTTACCCTCACAGATGTCTTCTTATCTTAGATGATTTCGCCTCTCATCCTTTGTTAAAGAATAGAGAACAAGACATGTGTCGAATTCTTAAGAAGCTCAGACACTTTAACATTTCAGTCGTAATATGTGTACAGACAGCAAAGAGTTTAAGTAAGGATGTTAAAAGAATACTTACTGACATTATACTTTTCCCCGGATTGTCCGAAGACGATTTCATGGAACTTATGAAAGAGTCCATGGCAGGTAAGTTTGACAGACATGAACTATGGGAGAAGTATAAAGTCATACAAGACCCTCATACTTCTTTCAGAATTCATATCTACGCGAACAAAGTTCAAATTGTAAAAAGTCAAGCGTAAAAATAAATGGTTCATCTACCCTACTTGTTTGAAGTTGTCAAAATACTCTGTTATTTTTTCCTTTAACAATGGCAAATCTTCTTTGAAGGTAAGAATTGTACAACCTTTCATATCATAGTGTGTTTGAGGTAACGTATCTTGAACTATTTGTTTCACATCTTCATTTGGGGTCATTGAAATCGGTAAGTTTTCGCGATAGAACCAATTTCTGTCAGATTTGTAAATCTTAGCAAGGTCGTAAAAGCTCTTGTTGTTTCTTCTGACTAAATGCAACATAACCATATCTCTGTCTTCTTCATTTTCCATCTCTTCAGTATAAATCATATACTTATAGTTCTTTTCCTTACCTTTTGGTACCGAACGTGGTATTCTTTTGAATGCTTTTGTCTTTTGCTTCAATGACTTCATCTTTTGCTTGAAGTTTCTTTTCCATCTCTTCACGTTCTTGTCTATGAATTTCGTCAAGAAGTTTGTAAACATGCCATGCATAACGAGGTGAAGCCCACATTGCTACTGCATTTACTAAAAGTCTATGTACATAATATCCTCTTAAATTTATTGGCAAATTTTTACGATTTTCATGTGTTTTATGCAAGACCGAAAAAAGTCGGTCTAGAGAAATTTCACTCAAAAGTTCTTGTGTGCTTTGGTTTTTGAACCAATCGTCTGCGTGTTTAGTATCTGGAGCAAAACATGCTGTCAAAATACTTTGCATTTGGTACATGTCGTCTTTGACAGAACGAATGAGACGTAACTGTTTGTTATACTGTATGTACTCGTATTCTTCATTTATAGCTTCATGGACTATAACTGTTGTTGTGTTCTCTGTTGTTGACATATCTGTCTTTACATACAAAATAAAAAAATAAATAAAAATAAAATTAGCGTTATTTTCTGACTTTCACAAAAGACCAAAAATAAACGCTTTACATGTATTTTTCAGCAACTTCGTCAAATAATTTTATAGCTTTATCTATCTCATCTACTTCAAACGTTTCTTTACCTTTCATGGGAGCACCATACATTTTCTCAAACTTTTCAAGTAGTTCTGTTTCTGCAGCTCTCATATCGTTAACAAACACAACCTTGACTCTATTGACTGTACTGTCATATCTTTGAGTTATATTATATGTTCTTCCTATCTTATATCTCTTTGTATTGAAGTCCTTCGGTTTCTGAACGATGTAAAGTAAGCCTTCACTGCAACGTTCCGTATCGAATGAACCATATGTTATGAAGTTATATCCAACAACTGGGTCTAACCATAACAAAACTATTGGTATAAGACTTTTGTCGATGAGATATGCTCTTGTTCCATAGAATGCTACTGATATCATAAGCTCAGGATTTCTTGTCAAAATTTTCTGACTAGAAGCATTTCTAACCCAGTCGTATGCTTTCTTTCCAGATGGAGATATAATGTCTGACAAAGAATATTTGTTGTATTTCTTTGAGTATCTTACGTTTAAATCCCCTATTCTAACCACTTTGGTGTTATTGTCTATCTTTTTAACTGTTTCAAACTCAATGTTTGTCATTTTCTGTCTTTACATACAAAATAAAAAAATAAATAAAAATAAAACTAACTTTATTTTATTTATTTTGTATAAAAGATATGATTTCAGGGATTTTTTTGACGAAGTGTCAAAGTTCACTTCGTCAAAAATAACACAAAAATAGTGTATTTTAAACGAAGTGTCAAAGTTCACTTCGTCAAAAATAACACAAAAATAGTGTATTTTAAACGAAGTGTCAAAGTTCACTTCGTCAAAAATAACAGTTATATAATGAAATTTGGCGACCCCGAAAAAAAACGGGCTCGCTGTTCTTCACGATTTTCATACGGAATCTCTACCCTCGGTTTTCCGAGGGTAGCAAACATATGAGGAAATTCATGAAATTTGTTGCTGAATTCAATAAAAATATATTTTAGGTGAAGAGGTGAGATCTCACCTCTTTTCTCACCTCTTTTCTCACCTCAGTTATTTTATAAGCGTTTTACATGGTAAACGTTATTTTTTAAATTTTGTGAAAACTCAACGGTTTGACACATGCCATATGCCATTTTACTCAGAATTTTGTTGCTGAATTCAATAAAAATATATTTTAGGTGAAGAGGTGAGATCTCACCTCTTTTCTCACCTCAGTTATTTTATAAGCGTTTTACATGGTAAACGTTATTTTTTAAATTTTGTGAAAACTCAACGGTTTGACACATGCCATATGCCATTTTACTCAGAAATTTGTTGCTGAATTCAGCCAAAATAAATGGTTCATTTACTCACAATATTTTTGGACAAAACGACCCCAAACTTTTAACTTCTTTTCTGCAGCTTCTAATGAAATTTTAGCGAGTTCATATTCTCTAAATTCTCTCTTTAAATCTTCTTGTTCCCATTGGTCTAGTTCGTATGAAGAATCTCTATAACCATAACATATCTCACGTTCATGTTCTAATTGTTTTTCATGCATTTTTCTAACTTCTTGTTCGAACAAAGGTTTAGCATTCTCTACTGTATCTTCGAGTTCTTCTTCATCTAACTTCTCATGAACTTTCTTGTCTATGGAGTCCATAATTTTTCCAACTGCTATGCAATATTTTGGAGAAGCCCACATTGCTATATAGTTTATAAGTCTTGGGTCTACATACGTTCCTCTAACCTGTCTGATTTCATCAGGAATTCCTGCATGAATTTTGTATAAAAACCAACCGCCGGAATTCCGGCGGTTGCTATATTCTTCACAAAACGCCTTATAATACTCTTCCCAGGACTTATTTTCCAACAACTTTCTAAAGTCTTTCCTAAACTGCTGACACATATTTGTTGCATTTATATAACCATCCTTGTCTCTACGTAAGACTTCAATACCGTTATAAGTGCCTTTTGTGAATGTTTCGCCATTATATTTGTTCGTGAACGTTTTTGCTTCGACTGACATTTCTGTTCTTACAATAAAAATAAAAAATATTTTTTTTAAAAAAACTAACTTTATTTTTTCTATCTTAAGGAAATTCATGAAAATTCAAGAGGGTGAGAAAAGAGGTGAGAAAACGGGTGAGATCTCACCTCTTCACCTAAATTATATTTTTTGCTGAATTCATGAGTTTTGGTTGAAAGAATACGGTGGAGCCAAAAGTGGCTCGACCTCAAAACAAGCGTTTTGTGAAGAATATAGCAACCGCCGGAATTCCAGCGGTTGGTTTTTATACAAAATTCAAGAGGGTGAGAAAAGAGGTGAGATCTCACCTCTTCACCTAAATTATATTTTTTGGTCCGAGAACGACTTTCTTTGCGTAAGCGGTTCAGACCTTCTTCGAAGTCTTGGTCTCTCTTGGACTGAGATTGGAATTGCTGGGGTGGAGCTTGCTGGAACATCCAAGGGTTGGGGCAGTAAGGCATAGTCTGAGGAGGAGGGTAGTTCGGGAAGCCTTGTGGTGGGTAGTAACCTTGAGGTGGAAATTGGTAGTAATTTGGTGGAGGTCCTTGTTGGAACTGAGGTTGCTGAGGTGCAGGGGCTGGTGCTTTAGGTTCCTCTGGTTTGGGAATGGACTCGGTTGGTGGGACGTCGGACATTCGTTTGTGTCCTGTCAGAAGGAAGAACTTTTCCTGTCAGAAGGAAGAACTTTTCCTGTCGGAAGGAAGAACTTTTCCTGTCGGAAGGAAATTTTTTTCCCTTTGTCCGGAAAATTTTTTCCTGTCGGATGGAAAATTTTTTCGAAAGTTCGACCAAAAAGTTCTCAATTTTCGAAAATTTGAATGGTTTACGGACGGACAACTGGAAGAGTTCTTCCTGTCGGAAGGAAAAATTTTTCCTGTCGGAAGGAAATTTTTTCCAGTTGTCGGGAAAATATTTTCCTGTCGGATGGAAGGACTCGGAATGCCAGAAGGATTTGACGAGGCAATTTACCTTATAGAACTTAACGACTGCGTAAAAGACTACTTGCGCAAGGTCATGAAGCCCAAGGTCAAGTTTACCACTATTTCTGGAAGGTCTACACTTCAGCTCGAGACTTCGACCGGAATTCCAATTCAAATACCAGACGGGACAGCCGTTCTACATAACCTCAGAAGGCGACATTCAGCCAGT